GCTGTTGTTTTTCACACTTTAATGTTACTCAAATGTATCCATAAATCGCACGCGAGTGAAAAGCAATGAAAGGTGCAAAGAGAAACTCTACATATTTATGCAGGAAAATGTAAAGCGGTTCGCACCAACAGGTTGTGCAGCATCATTGATACCAGCATCAACCTGACTTTAAAAGGACGTAAAAAAATAAATAAAGATATACACCACAAAGAAAACACATTGTTAAAGAAAAAACATTTTAAACTTAAATATCCTTCATTAACCTTTGAGCAGCAGCCTAAGTGGAAGGAACACTCAGCCTGTCCACTGTTGCATTGCTGCAGTTCTGCAGTCCTGCTGCGCCCTCTGCAGGTCAGAACCAAGCTGAGGAGCTCGACCCGGCACCGGTCCGGGTGCAGCAGCACGTTTAGCATTCGAGGAAAGAGGGTTTGTACGAGAGCTTTGACTTGTTCTGTGAGATACTGGCCTTTTCAATTCAATACAACATAAATATGCCACGGGGCATATGGAGGCATCTTTCAATGTTTACAGTGTAAATCTACCATCCCTTGTAATTGAAACAACAAACTATTTTTTTTATGCATAGTACAGCGAAGTTTGCAATCCAACGTCAGCACAACCAGAGTTCTCGCTCACCACTTTGCCGATATTAATGCACAATTTCATCCTTTGGGGTAAATAGTGTTGAGGAGAAAACACTGCAGCAAGGTGAAATACCGCTTCGGAGGATCACTACTCAGGGGCCCACGTTTCTAAAAGGAAGCTTTCGCTTTCTTCTCTTTCCCTCCCTCCTTTAAAACTGGTTTTGTTCTCGGGCAGACGGCAGAGAGAACTTATCGACGACGTCTGAGTGCAGCCGGCTGTCCAAGTTAAAGTCAGACCTCATTAATGCATCTGATTACCTTCCAGGCAAAGGACGATCAGCAACCGGCCGACACACACACACACACGCCTAGCAGCTTTTTGGGGACACAGATCAATACAGAGGCACTTCAAAAGAGCAATGAAGAGGAGGATATTGGAGAGAGGAATGCGCCGTTGGCTCAGACTACACACTGAGAATGTAAGCAGCGGTAATGGTGAATAATGAAACTTTTAAAAAGGGAATAGTTCACATAGTTTATTGCTTGACAAACTAACCTCATGTCCTTTTTGCAATGAGTCAGCCACAGTTATGGCTGCAACCCAAAACGAATAGGCGTGCTGGTGAAAGGTCAGCAAATTAAATGCCGATCTGAATTCCCCCAAAACTAAAAAAGGTGGAACATTGAAATTACTGGTCCTGTCAAACGGTCCACTTGTTCTCATGAAAAACAGATGACAGTTTATATCCACGTACAAAGGTTTGGACACACTTTCTCCTTGAGTTGAATGAGATGTGAAATCCATTTAGATGTGTGAATGTATTTTAACACAAATGGACATTTGCTCGGTTGATGGCGACCATGTACCAGTCACAAGAGGAGATTGTTTTTACACTGGATGCAGCGGTTAACAAAACAGCGTCGAGCTCCACAGTGGAATTCTGTCTATTCTCTTAGAAGACTCACAGACATCCGCCTAATGATGGCACTGGGGCATCCACGTTTTTGCTTTAAGAATGCCCTGTGGAGTGAAATGTGATGTTTATGTTCAGGGTTACTACTGAAAAACACACTATGGATCCTTGCGGTCTAATAAGCCACTTCATCGGTACCACTAGTACACAGTCCTTTACATTCATCCAATTCCAGAATTGTTGATGATATACTTTCTGACAAAGCACAGGAGGGATGAAAAGGTGCTGAAAAATATTTTTCAGACTAAAAGACAAAAAAAGGGTTTTTCTCTATGATATGAAAGCATGGAGTGTGTGTGTGTGTGTGTGTGTGTGTGTGTGTGTGTCTGTGGCAGAGCTTTTCCACACCGACAGACATAATCCACTCCGCCATCAGCAGTCAACGCGGACTACATACATCATCAGACAACTTGTGTCTGTGAAGAGGAGACGGACACAGCACTGTGCGCGTGTGTGTGTGTGTGTGTGTGTGTGTGTGTGTGTGTGTGTGTGAGTGAGTGAGTGTGTGTCCACGTGCATGCAGTCAGAGTGGTTCTATTTATCTCTAATTACAGAACAAAGTTTCCAGAGGAGATTCCAGTACAGCTGGCAGCTATTCAAATCCATCGGCCCCCAAGTGTGCGTCGCTCACAGTGTTTTGACTAGGCCTCGCTGTGTGTGTGTGTGTGTGTGTGTGTGTTTGTCCTGCGTGTGCCAGTTCATGTCAAAAAGGTCTACCCCGTAATAACTGACAGCTATCATTATCCCTTCCTTTGTCGTCCCTCTCCGCTAATCCGGCTAATTAAATCAGCTAATGTCAATACACAATTTAATCCGCTCGCACGTTTGATTGGACCGGTGGACCCTCGTCGTCCTGTCGCCTGCAAGCAAAACCCTCGCTACTGACAAGCCGGACAGACAGCCAATCAGAGGCCAAGATACACAGTTCACTCTGACAGTTTGTTCCACAGAGAGACACAGAGACAAAGACAGAGAGAGAGGAAACATGGGAGAGGAGCTCTGATTGTACATGCAGAGTACTAATTACACTTAAATTGAGGTCGCATGGTAATCTGTGTTAGGTCATCTCCAATTTCACTTACATTTCCACATTTTGGACTAATTAAAACTCTAAATAATCAAAGACCGTGTGTGTGTGTGTGTGTGTGTGTGCGTGCGTGCGCACATGCCATGTCTTTGCGATGAGCTAGTGGCAAAATTTTCCCATCACATTGCTGGGAAATTAAGCGCTCACTCCCTGATTTTAACAAGACAGCAGCGCAGATAAAGTTCTTTTTTTTTTCCTTTTCTTTCCAGTGGAAAAGTGCTTCTCTGGCAAAAAAAATTAGCGACATGGAAAGAGGGGTGACGAGTCTTTTTGCGGCGCGAAGTCCGTCCGCCAGTTAGTTGATGAAACTGACAGAACTTGGGCGTTAAAAACTTTCAGTGACGCCGCCCCCCCCCACGGCAAATTGAAGCGAGATGAGGACAAGGGGATTTTGCTATTCTCGCAGCCTTTGCCCTTCGAGGTGGTGGAAGAGAACAGAATATGAATTGGGGTGAGGGCGAGGGAGGACGAAAAAAAACACTTCAGAAGATGAAAACAAGCCTTGAAAGGCAACTGGTGCGATGTAACCAACTCTGGCATAAATACTGGATGAAGAGCAGCAGAGAATGCAGGGTAGGTGTCAGAATCCTACACCAGAGTCACCTGCCTTTCACAAAGCACACTCTTAGCCCGGGGTCTTCTGTAGCCCCGGGCGGGTTTTTGGCCCCCGGGCTAACAAGCAATGAAAAAGAGCCTCATTTGGAGATACTCGTCACTGCTGGTGACATCCTCAGCCTTGGCCACTTTCATCTTTTGTCATTTTTAAAACAAAAACAACTGCTGTGCCCTTCGGTACGCGAATCAATGTCCATTGACCTAAACCGCCTTTTGCTACCAAAAAGAAGAAAAAAAAGAAAGAAAGAAAGAAAGAAAAAGAAAAAAAGGAAAATAATGCTTGCAGGCTGGTGTGCACATGACGGTGAGAGAAAGGCCACACGGAAACACCCTGCAGCAAATCAATTATTCAATTAGGGAGGAGGAGAAAGAGGGACAATCACAGCGGGTGAGAGGCTCGTCCTCATCTGTGGTTGATCAGGAGGCCCAGAGCGGAGTGAGTCACCTTACTTAAGGACTACAATATATATATATATATATATATATATATAACAATCGCATTAACAACTCGCGTCACAGGACACCCGAGTCCTAATGAGTACGCGAGATGTGAACAAACATCTTTCGCCGTCCGCTCTACTTCTGGATCTCGCAGGGCTCGTGTCGAGGCTGTAATTACGCACACAGCAACACAAATAGGCATTTCTTTCTCCCGAGAAGTGGCCAGAGTTGTTAAGGCCGTCACGGGGAAGGAAAGAAAAAGTGAAAGCCAAGTGTTTCTGGGTCGCCTTAATTCCTGCCAACCTAATGAAAACTTTGGGCCGAGAAACCGGAGCGCCCAGACATAACAGTTCCCTCGCGAGCCCGGCCCACTTCTAATGACAGGAAGCCAAAATAACCGGCAGGATCTCACGCCTGAAGAATGGCTGTCTGAAAATGATACGGCCGCGCTGAAAATGTTATCAGTCGGCAATATTAATCTCTCACCTAGTGGTAATCGCCAATTTCATATACTATTAAGTTGATGAATGGGGTTTTAACAAACTGCGCTATTGTTAACAGCTTAAAGCGGGCTAATTCATCAAGGTCGTAATTAGTCATTGACCGCAGAGAAGCATCAGCAGTGAAAAGTGCAAGAGCATTAGCGAGAGAAAGACGATAGAAACAAAAGGGGGGAGAAACAGACCCGCCAAAAGACTGATTAAGTTCTCGTTCAGAATTAAATACTTACTATTTGTCATTCCTAATTGATTTGATGCGGGGGTTGGGAGGAGCTGCGCGCAACTCAGCTTCAGCATCAACCAGCCTGACAAGAAGCCAGCGGCTGGAAGGCTGTTTCAATAAAACTGCAACACAGTGACATCTGGTGACGGTGTAAAGTAGTTTGTCCCGTCCTTCTCTACCTGTTGCTTTTAATAAAATAAATACGAAGAGGGGCGAGGTGGTCGTTCCAATGCTCACGACTTATTAAGCAACTCTGGCGAGAGATTAGTCATCAGACAGATCAAGGTGTTTGTGGCGTGTGTACAAACATCTGGGTTTTCGAGAAAATATCGCCGTTGCAAACGTGGATCTCCAATGATCGGATTATCATAACACCGCTGATTCCACGTTGCACGGCAGTGCACTAATTGAGAGACAAGACTCTGACACAGCGGAAACAACAAGGAAGGCGTGTGAGAGACTGGCGGTGACAATATACTCATTGGGCTCCTGTGCGAATAGAAACTACAAGGCAATAGGCGTGGCGGGAGTGTGGGGGCGGGGCGGGGCGGGGCGGGCGGGGCGGGCGGGGCTCACCAGCTTGTTCTCTTGCAAGTAGAGTCTCTGCAGCTTAGGGCATCCTGCAGCCAACGCCACCATGCCTTCATCCGTGATACTGTAGCACTGTCCCAGGTGGATGTCCTTCAGCTCGCTGCAGTACTCTCCCAGCTGAAGGGAAAGAGGACACGCGTTTATTGAGCAAATGTAAAGTGGAATACTTCTTCTTCATTTGGGAGTAAAGACAAGAAATTAGGTGGATGCATCACAGACAAAGATCTGGACATTAAAATAAATTAATCAATTAAAAGAAAAAAGGTTTCTTGTGCTGCTACTCTGATTCTGATGCCATACCTTTCTGAGTGCTTCATCCGTCAGCTGGTCTTGGTTGCCTACGTGCACCTTCACCAGCAGGTGGCAGTGTGTAGCCAAGGCCGACAGGGACGCGTCCCCGAGCTGCTTGCAGCGGTACGCTGTGTACTTCTGCAGGCCTGGGCAGTGCGCAGCCAGGGAGGACACGCCGTGGTCATGGACGCCTCTGCAATCCGAGATGTTAATCTCCGTCACGTTCTGCCTCCGAGAGGCTATTTTCACCAGGAGGTCGTCGTTTACCTTGGGTGACGGGAACAGGGAGGGCAACGCAAGGAGAGATGGAAGAGCTGAAAAATGTCCCAAAGAAGCGCACTGCTGGACTGGAAAAGAGAGAATAGAGTGCTGTGTTCTTACTTGTTGTAGGCCACTGAGGTCGATCTGCTTCCAGAACTGGAAGTCCAAGCAGAGGTCCCTCCAGTACTTACAAACTAGAGAGGCACACAGACAGCGCTCCTTCACTGTCAGGTGGGAGAGCACCTGAAAAGAGGGAAAGAAAACTCCAATCTAATAAAAGCCACGGTCCAGTTGCCAAGTCAGGTATGTAGTGTTTTAGCGTTTTCCCCATTGTGCAAACAGTGACAAACGGCGTATTTAGCTGCTTGATGAACTCCGACCTTGAGAAGGATGGAGGAAGGCAGGTGGTTGATACTCGAGTGATCACCGCCGTCAGAACTTCTCCCCTGGCAGTCGTCGTAAGGATGCCGGCAGCAGGGGGACGAGTCCGAACTGTGGGGCGAGTCGGCGTGAAGGCCCGGCCTGCAGCAGCCGTCGGCGGGTGAGGAGGAGGAGGAGGAGGAAGAGGAAGAGGAGGAGGAGGGGAGTGGACAGAGGGGAAGGTGGCAGTGCCCGGTTTCCGAATTCGAGGCAGCCTCTCCCCCACCTCCTCCAACTCCTCCGTTCTCCAGCCCTCCGTCAGGGGCGGCGAAGGCGCAGCGCGGCTGCTTACAGGGCGCGCACCTCTGCACCTCTGAGCACTTCCTCTTACACACCTGCGCACACACACAAAAACAAAAATTTTCTTCAGGCAGGTTAGGGCAGAGGTGACTGTTCAGCCTTTTAAATGGAATTGCGGCGTTGAAAAACCTCAAGCCTCCAACACAATTAAACATTGAATCAGAGCGGCATGATTTGTTTTGGCGAGGGGGAAAAGGAGGGTTGCTTAAAGGATGAAACTCAACGTGTTATGTTTCTCTTTCAAAACACTTTTTCTGTTTAAGAGATTTGTTTTTTTGTCTGAAATTACAAACAGCTTTGCTGCCCGGCCTGCCTAAATCCTGTGGCTACCAGATAGTAAATATTATTCAGCACCAGTAGCGGTGAATCATGGCGGTTGAGGTTGATCTGCACAGATTTGAATCAATACCTTCTCTTTACCAGCCAGAGTGGATTTGGTGCCCTCGCTGCCACCTACCATCTCAGTGTAGTCACTGGGGCAGCCAGGCACGGGTACGGGCACGGTCACGGACACCCCGGCGGTTCGGAACAGCGCCGGCGGTGGAAACAGCTTGGCAGGGACAGCCGACAGGAGGCTCCTCCCTTGGCCCTCCCAGATAGCGAGCTCCCGCGGTGACAGCAGGAACTTGGAGCAGTCCTCGGGAGACGTGAGCGTTGCGTAGTGCTCGGCGAGCTTCGAGGCAGCCGCCACTCCGATGCCGACGCCACCCACGCCGGGGACGCTGATTCCTGTGATGCTGTTGCTCCCGTTGGCTCCGGCCTCCAAGTGGTCGCTGTCGTCGTCGAGGCCGCCGCTGCTGTTGCTGTGGACAATGAAGCAGAGCATGCAGGGCAGCTGCAGGAAGCAATTCCTCTTCTTCTTCTTCCTGTGGTGCAACTTGCGGGTCCTCTTCTTCAGGCGGTAACCATTTTTCGAGAGAAGATGGCCCATATAGATGATTCAAGGAAACTCTGGAACAAACAGGAGTCAGTTAATTGGTTAATAGATGTTTCAAGAATTTGTACTTGTATCCTTTATCGTACAAGTGTCAGCCCAATCAATATCAAAGTTTTAGTAGCAATACCAAAACAAGGCATTCAGTACCTTACTTCTTAGTAAAACAAGCCAAACATTTCAAAGGATTGAATGTGCTAACACAAGCAAGAATAACGAATTTAACATTCTAATAAAGTTATAAAAAAAATATTCCACTAACTTCCAGCCCTTGACTGTTTTCAACACTGCAAAACAATTGGCTCGGTGAACAAAATGTGCTGAGGTTCCCTCAGTAGTGTGCTAGAGAAAAAGAGTGGCCTCATATCGTAAAAATATATATTTACACAACAATTTGTAATGTTGTAATGGAGAACTAATGAACGGCATCAACATGTTTGATATATATTTTCTGGAATAAATTATGAATGTTGATGATGATATGATTACATTAGCGAGTAAACAACAAATATCTAGTTGCTTGTTATTTTAGTTTAAAACAGAGCAAGTTCTCTTTTTGCATTAACTGGTGTCAGAAACAGCTGGAAACACATGCTGATGAAGAATGATGGCGGACGACACTGTCTTCTTCACCAGCATCACATGTAGTGCACATTACCAGAGAGTGCACAGCGACCACCTGGCGCAAAGCCGTTATATCCCTGCTGAAGGAATCATTTCACCTGCGTATCACATGTTTAAAACACCGCTATTGTTTTCGATAGCTTTACATATTAAAATACTGTAGTGCAACGAGGAAACACAGCGATGCACCATGTGATCACAGCAGAGTCCGATGTAAACATTGAACAGGTGGTCATTTGTTTGTCACACATATATTGATATAAATATTTAACGGTATACACATATATATATATATAACCTGGTTGTCCAGACGTGACGCTGATTGCAGTCGCAAACAGGTTAAACTGTTACGTGCAATATTGCCTCCAATTGAACAACGTATCCACCGCCTCGTTCGGAGAAGACGGTTCGGGCGCTAACCCGGTTCTGCTGGCTGACAGGCTAGCTGTCCCCATCACTGGATGCTAAGCTAGCTGTAGCCCCAGCATGAGACGTATCTCACCACTTCACACGGTGCCCCCTCGCGCCGCACGGTGCTCGCATAACACCGCCACGCCGCACGGCCACGGCGAGTGCTGACAAGTCCCGGCCGGAGAGACGCGCGGGCGGGGATGAGCTGCGGCGGAACGAGCGACGTGTTCGGCCAAACAGAGGCAGCTCTGCTGCTGCTGCTGCTGCTCGGCTGTGGAGGACAACACTTCCGCACCGAGAGGGCAGCGGGACGGAAGCCGACGAGGAGCGACTGACGTAATGCGTCACGGGGCCGCTGCGTGAACCTCGTCAGGAAGTAGCGTGAGGTGTTCACTGGTTATAATACTTTTATTATATCAACGGATGGTATATGTAGTTTGAGCACGTGGTGCGTATGTTTATATGCAGCCGCTGGTGTCAGGGTTGTTATCTTGGTGGTTGGTTGAGTTGTGGTTTTCAAGAGGTTGCTTGTGTTTTCAACGGTTCATGAATTGAATAAACGTGTACAAATTGATAATTAATTAATTAATAACATTAAGTTATATAATTATATAAACATATGATACGTGCATGCATGTGTGTACAAACATTTGATTAAAAATAAATCATATTTCAATAAACTCCAATTACGGTGAAATAATAATACAATTAATAACAGTAACCATTTACATTGCAATAGACATATTTACCAAACGTAATATTCAGCATTCGAATGTCTCTGCTAGCTAATAGAAGATGAATACTGACTACGAGGTACATTATGGGAAAGGCGAAGTCTCGACCCATACGAGGAAATAACAAGATGATCTCAGGAAATATTCTGCAAGTCTGTTCAAGTCACTTATTTATACAACCCAATATCAGAAATTAACAGAAGCAAGATGTTATTGTGGCATTCCGAGTGGTATTGTTACCGATTAGGATACTACTAGTGTTAAACATTCATATCTACTACTACGTCACAATTAACTTGAAATGACATTGTCCTCTGTCTCTCTCTCTCTCTCTCTCTCTCTCTCTCTCTCTCTCTCTGTCTCTCTCTCATGCGGACACGCGCACACACAGTTCCTGGGCGTGTAGCTCTGCAGCCACCAGCTCCTCAAGGCTGAACGGAAGCTCCCAAAATAGCAATGAGTATTCGGGAAGCCTGGTAAGAAGAAGAAGAAGAAAAAAGCAAAGCAATGGCTGAAGCAGTTTCGCCGATAACTCGACAAGTAACTAAAGAAAGCCAAGAACTCGGGACCCCGTCGGTGGAGTACGGTCTTGAAGACGTCGAAGATTGTTTGATTTACGACCGGCACGGAGTCCCTGTTCCTTTCAAGAAATTATACCACGACAGGAAAGCGGTGATAATTTTCGTGCGGGTAGGGGACACATAACTTTACTTGGTTCGAACCTTGCTGATGACTCACAGGCTTGTGGATTGAACAGATTGAGCCTCGTAAAGGCACAAAAACAACAGGTGAGCATCAGCCTCGCTTCCCCTGCCTTCCATGGCAATGAAGAGAGCGTGTCCATGGGTGAAGACAAAGGGGGGGAGGATGAGAGTTTTAAATGATGACATCTCGTTTTTCTGTGACCCCTTTTGACGCGTTGCGTTCCCGCAGAATTTCCTGTGCTACAGCTGTAAAGAATATGTGGAGGATTTGAGCAAAATCCCTGGAGAAGCCCTGGAGGTGAGTCCCGGTCCCTCTGTCCTGACAATTTGACATGCAAATCGGGGACAATAGTTTGGGGTAACTCTTGATTATGGCCGTTGCAGGAGGCTGACATTCGACTGGTCGTGATCGGTCAGTCTGCTCATCGTCACATTGAGGTAACTCTAAGACTCATTTCAGTAATTTGCTCCTGTACGTCCTGCTGATTTCGTTTTCAATCTCGCCCAGCCTTTCTGCTCGCTGACGGCGTATCCTCATGAAATATACGTGGACCCTGAGAGGCGCATTTATCAGATGCTTGGAATGAAGAGAGAGGAGAAATTTACAGAGTCCGGTATGCAGTAACACGATGAGGGTTAACCCCCCCCCCAATATATTCTGACATGTGAGGAATTGAATCTGTGTGTTTGTCTTATCTAGCCCACCGTAGCCCTCATGTAAAGTCTGGTATCTTCATGGGACAACTGAAGAGCATATGGAGGGCGATGACCAGCCCTGCATTTGACTTCCAGGGGGACATGCATCAACAAGGTGGAGCTGTCATTGCAGGACCAGGTAATGCATCTCTCCCTCTCTCTGCCTACTTGTACCTTTCTCTTTTCCTCCCTCACTTTCCTGTTCTCTCGACAGGCCCCCGGGTTCATTTTTCCCATTTCGACACGAACCACCTGGACCACATGCCCATCGACTGGCTCCTGCAGCTCGCCGGAGTTCATCACACTCTGGACTTTGGCGATAAGCCGAAGATCGTTGATGTTTAGCGAGCCGGACTGCCGGAGAAGCACCTGGTCCCACGTCGCTGCCGTCGTCACCCGTGCAGGGATCATGCACACAAGTTGCTTGTTTAGTTCACAGGAGGAGTTTGGGTAACATCATTCTTTATAACAGATGTTAGTGTCTCGACATTTCTGGGCCCGTTGTTTGTCATGCCTTCTGAAACTGTGTGAAAGTTTATTTTGTTAAAAAACAGTCTTAACTCAATGTCTTTTTATAAACTCTTATTTTTTAAATTCATTTTTGAAGCCAGTAAATGAGCTGAGCAAACATGTTGTGGCAGTGAAAAATGTGACGTTTGGTGAAAAAAAGCTGCTGTGTTGAATGTTTTGAGTGTGTAAAGTGGAAATACATGAATTGGCCTACTGTTCTCTCACATATTTTCAACCTTTCCATCAGCATTGTAGTATTATGTCTTAAGTAAGATGGTGTGATGCACACATCAAAACAATTGGTGCACTGGTATAAAGTTAAATTGGTATTTCTTGGCTGCGTTTTTCTTGTGTCATTATACATATATATTCCAAATTACACGTTAATTACGCATTCATATCAAAAATGACACACACACACACACACACACACACACACACAGATTAGGACTACATTCCCCACGTTGCAGCGGCTGCAGATCGACAGTGGAGGGTGGGCACTGCACTTCCAATCCTGATACGACAACATGCAGTGGTGTTCCGAGGGGAGAAACCTGCCCCCCTGCTCACAGACGTCACCACCGCCGGAGAGAGAGCCTGCAAGCAGCAGACAACAGGACCTCGGCTGACACGCGCACACGCACGCTCACTTCCAGATCATCAGACCACCATGCCACAATAATACACGCAGCACCACTACGGGGATACGCAGCCGCACTGCGAAGCGAAAGGGGGGGGGGATTGCAGCCGCCCGGGAATGTCCACCGTGCGGACCTGAGGACAACATGAAGCGCAAGAGCGAGAGGAGAAGAGCCGAGTCGAGGAAAAAGCGCTGCGCAGCTCCCGGCAGCTGCGAGGCGGAGCCAAACTCCAGTGTTTACACTGAGATAACAGGTAAGCTGCGCAGCGTCTGCGGGACCGACCAGGCCAACTTTCAGCGTAGTTGCAGTGATCATGCGGGGGAGCGTTGCGTTGTGAATGAGCAGGTAGTGTGCAAGGTTTTTTTTTTTTGTATTTATGACCAAATATGGCGACACCCATGTGCCGTTATAGTGAAGGCAGCCTCGTTGGCAGTATGTGCACAGCATGCACAGTACTCGAAGTGGGGTTTTGCTTTAGTATGTTTTAGGGCGAGACATTACAGCATGAATTCACTCTAGGGGGTGGGAGGGTCATAAACTGCATGGAGAAGGAAGTGCCTTAACGGTCCTTGTCTGCCCGCTGTCAGCATCGTCCAACGCAGATTTTTAAAATATTTTCCATGGCGTTTTGCTGGTGTTGAACATCTTTGCGCAGCTCAAATCTGAGAAAAGGGACGTTCGCTGAAATGTTAATCACGCCTCTGATTGGCCGAGGGATCCCCCTAGCAACCGCTCGGGCAAAGTTCCCGGGGCCTATCAGGTGTCTCCTGTTCAGAACTTTAAACTGGAAAGGGCGTGGCGGAGCCCGACCGACGGCCGGCTCCTCCAATCACGTAGAGTCCCGGACCCGTTGTATCCAATAGCGTCCCGCGGAACGCCGTTTTTTTATGGCAGAGTACGCACTTGCACAACCTACTCGTCCCTCTTTGCCTGGTAACTTTTCTTGTCTCGTAGAGTTAAATTAAGCGCAAAACGTTTTACTTGTATCCCCACTTTTTTTTTAAGTATCGTCTCACACATTTCAAAGTGTTTAACTCAGTATGCGCGAGGGCTCGTGAAGAAAATTGACGTCGCACGTTTCTCTGCCGAGCAGTCATGTTCAGAAAAGTGGGCAAGATGACCGCGGACGATGTTTCGTCCAGATCCGTTCCGTTCATCCGGGGTAAGTCGCAGAGAAAAGACCGAGGGGGGCGAAACGGCAGACGAAGAAGAGCCGCCTGTGGCCGAAGTGGAGAGACGACAGAAGCGCGTGCGCGTGACCAAATAACGTTACCAAGTTAACAGCCTCGCTATGCGCGCGCCCCCCCCCTTTCCTGCCCCCGCAGATCAGCTGTATTTCGCCATCCTAACGCAGAAGATCAAGAGCACAGCCGACCGACACTGCTTCTGCATCGACGACGAGCTGGCGTACGAGAAGTAAGTTGCTGTGTGTGTGTCTCTGTTGTGTGTCGGATGCGCTTTGGGACCCTGACCTTTGACCTCCAATTACAAGGATTCTAGCTTCGGGTTGCGGAAGTGATCGCGTGCGGGATTGTTGTTTTCCTCAGATCGGTATTGATCAAATGTAACGTCAATCAACGTCTTGTTTTGTTTTCAAGATAATTACACTATTTTTGTGGCTGTTTGTCATATTTATTTGATCGTGGCAGTAATTTAAGTAAAGGCAAATATAATGCATACAGACTTTGCACTTGTTTTTCCCCTGTATAAATGACCCAGTCTGGCATAAGATACTTTAAATATAAATATAGTCTTTGCTCGGTTCGTTTGAGCGAGATTTATTCCTACTGTGACACACTCTCGTTCTCTCTCTCAGCTTCTACGCCGACTTCGGTCCCCTTAACCTGGCCATGTTCTATCGCTTCTGCTGCAAGCTGACAAAGAAGCTTAAGGTAAAGCGAACCGCTGCTCCTAATCTTCCTGCTAGAGAGGATAGGAGGCGAAGACCCCGGTCCATCAACATCTATTTATATACCTGCAGCGGGGAGCACATCCGTCAACATTTTACAGTTGCATTTACAGCCCTGTTATCCTTGGGTGATGCCAACTTGTGTCTTTTTTTTAATTTAATACCACAGTCAAATAAACAAATCTAACGACATTTCACACTTTTGCTACGAATGTCTTTGCACAGTCCATCATGCTCTCGAGGAAGAAGATCATATTCTACACCTGTGGAGACCAGAAGAAACAAGCCAATGCCGCCTACCTGATCGGCTCTTACGCAGTAAGCGGCGCTCCCAACACGCGTGTTACACGGAGCTTGTGAGAGTATACATGGGCGCCTAATGCATGAGGTATTTGCTGACCGTGCACTTGTATTTAAAAGGTCATGCATCTCAACATGATGCCAGAAGAGGCCCACAGTCTGCTGGTGTCGAGGAATTCAACATATATTCCATTCAGGTAACGTTTCTCCGCTTTTATATTTCACGTTTCACGTCCTATTCCCAGCAGCTGAGAACATTTGTGCAGATGAAGCCGGTCGGTGTGTTTTATGTTCTAGAGATGCTTCGTTTGGAACCTGCATGTACAATCTGAACATCCTCGACTGTCTGCGCGGCATTCAAAAGGTACGTCCCCCTCTTTTAACATTTCTTTACGTCTCCTCCCCGTTGTGTTGTGCCATTATTGAAATGACATCTCTCTGTCCCTCTCTCCCATCGCCGTCTCTCAGGCTCTGCAGTACGGCTGGCTCGACTTCTCCAACTTCGACGTGGAAGAATACGAGCACTATGAGAGGGCAGAAAACGGAGATCTGAACTGGATCATTCCGGGGAAGTTCCTCGCGTTCAGTGGGCCTCATCCGAAGAGCAAAATAGAGAACGGTGAGTGAAGGTACATCTTCTTTTTTTTTTTCCAACGTGGCTTTTATTAAAGCACGTCTGACCTCCTGCGCCTCGCCCCCCCAGGCTACCCGCTGCACGCTCCCGAGGCCTACATCCCGTACTTCAGGAACCACAACGTCACCACGGTCGTCCGACTCAACAAGAAGATGTACGACGCCCGGCGCTTCACCGAATCCGGCTTCGAGCACCACGACCTGTTCTTTGTGGACGGGAGCACGCCGAACGACGCCATCCTCAGGAAGTTCCTCAACATCTGCGAGAACGCGGAAGGGGCCGTCGCCGTCCACTGCAAAGGTCCGTCTCCGTGCGGCAGCTGCTGATGGGTCGGACTGCTCTGGCCCGACTGGCAGTCGCGGCCACCGCGCTTCTGCTGCGGCGCTCGAGCCGAGGCCCTGACGCCTTTTCTTTCTTGTTTCTTTCAGCTGGTCTGGGGAGGACCGGCACTCTGATTGGCTGTTATATGATGAAGCATTACTGCCTGAGTGCTGCAGAGGCCATTGCCTGGATCCGGATCTGCAGACCGGGCTCCGTCATCGGGCCTCAGCAGAACTTTGTCGAAGAGTGGGTGTTCACTGATTTTAAAATATCATATGCGTCCGTCCTCAATATTTCACGTCCATGAGTCAATAAGCAACAGACAGAGTTTGTGCAGAACAACGGTCTTCGTTATCACCACTCGGTGGACACTGCTGGCAGCATAAGCCGTCAATGTCACCGTCCATGTTGCTCAAATCTGATTGGTGCAGGGAAATGCGTCTCGAACTTCTCGTTCCCGACGTGATCTTAAAAACTATAGTGGTTTGCGTGACAAAAGTGTGTTTTTACATTTTTTCCCCCATTTTTGTTTTTTGGTGTTGTGTTTCCACACCAGCAAGCAGAACAGTCTGTGGGCCGAGGGAGACGTTTTCCGGGAGAAGATGCAAAACGAACGCGAGAACGGCAAGGCGTCCGTCACCAGGATCCTGTCCGGTGTGGACGACATCAGCATCAACGGGAGCAACAAGAACCGGGCGTCCAACAAGGAAGAAACGGTGAGTTTATTTTTATTTTGGAGGAGCCGCCCTCGCTGCAGCTTTAGGCGTACAGACTTCGCCGCAGGATTTTTTTGTTTTGTTTTACAGGACAGGGCGTTTTGTCTATTTATAGCCGTCTCTTTGTGTTCCAGTACAACGACGATGAGGAGAGAAACGGCCTCACGCAGGGGGATAAACTGCGAGCCCTGAAGAGCAAGAGGCAGGCCAGATCGTCCTCGGGTTCTCTGTCGTAAGTAGCCGGGCGGTGGAGTCCCGTCCAGCGGGCCGCATCTCCCCTCGGAGCGCTCTGCATTGTCTCCGAATCACAAGCCGCTTGTGATTCCACGTGGTACGAACTCTTGAAGACCAGGGGATTTCTTTTGCCGTTGTTTAGTCCTCCTGTCCTGTGTTGTCAGCTGTCCGTTATTGTCCGGTTTTATGCCGGGCCAATCTGTCAGGGCCGATCCCCCCCGACTCCGCTAAGTTAAAGAACCGGGCCGCATCCCTCGGCGTATTTCAATAACACTGTTTGTGTCCCTCTGGTTCTTTTAGAATAAATGTCGTCACATGCAGATCAAGTGCAATATAACTCCTCCCATTCTCATCTAAGTCGAGGAAGTAGTGTGACAAATGGTAGAGTGATTGTCTAAGTTGTTTGCAGGATGACACGCAATCTTCCAACATCATTATTTTGCATTATGTTGTGGTTTGGATTTAGAAAGGCACAAACGATGGAGGAAGTTAAATCTATAAATGCGGATAGAATCAAATGTCACGGTTGAAGAAAAATCCTATTCAAAGGCCAAATTGATACTTGCTATTTATAATGCAGCATTTTTTAGCTTATTACATAAATTACTGGTACAACCATGTGCAGCTCTATTAAGGCCTTTTACTGAAGCTCCTTCTTTCTTGAAAATGATGTAATCGTTGCTGCACAGACAAATGAACCGAAACTGCTGATTAAGCGGAGCATCAGACGTACAATTCGTCGGGACGTAATGTTTTTTTTTGTTCCTTCGTATATTTATTTACATCGTTTGTGCCCCGTGTAAACCGAGCCGTGGAAGGTTGTCTGTCGGCGTGGCCAAATGTACCCATGTGGCTCTGGCTTTTGTTGTCCCGTGTCAGGCAGGTGGTAGCGTTCTGCTGCAGCCTCATGGGCACGGTGTGGCCCATGTGTTGCCCGCCGTTCAAAAGGTAGCAGGGAGAGAGAGGGAGAGAGAGAGGGAGAGAGGGAGTGACAGTGGGAGAGAGGAGAATCAGAGAGAGAGGATGTGAGGTGTTGTGCGACGGAGGTAAGTGCACAATCGCTTCCTTTTTTAACTGACAACCTCTTCCTGTAGAAATAACCGCTGTGCCAGTGAACGGTATGGCTGACGTTTTAATGCATACTTTTTGTTATTTTTCTTTCCTTTTCTGTCTTTCCTCGGACGACCATCCACGCGGTCAATCACCCAGTGGATGTATCGCATTCTCGTCTTCACCTCTCATAGACCCGACTGAGCCGACCCGCTTTGATATCGACGCTTATCCCAGATACCCTGTGAGTTACAGCAGCGCTCTGTAGCCTGCTGTACTCCTCCACAACCGCACCAATTATTCAACTAATCGCGCTTTTACAAAAAAAAAAAGATCCGGATTAGTTGAATGAAATGTTGTGGGCGCTCGGCTTGCACCAGCGGCTTGGCACGTCCCAGAGAGTGGTGCTATCAAGGGAAACTTGGTCCTCGTTCTGATCCGCAGTAGTTTCCTGCTTGGGAAAATGTGCTAACGTATCCGCTGAGCCATCAAAGCTTCAGGGGTTCTTGGGGAAACTAGTACTTTGGTGTTGGAAGGCTCGGATTTGCTTTAAATGTCGTTTTTCGGGATGGTAAACTCGTCCCGGCCGCCATTATGACGCAGAGAATTATCATCCTACGTGGCGTGTGAGCTCCGCGGGTGTAATGGGATTTGTTCGCGCGGCGGGCCGTCTAATGTCGGCTGAAGTTGATCAGGCGTCACTGTTTAGGAAGTTTAGGATTAGAACAACGATTTTCTGAAGATGTTCTCCTCCTTTTCCATGCATGGCAACAGGCATGAAACCCGGTGACATGCACGCATGCATGCACATGCCTCTGTGTCAGATCTGTTTGTGTTTAACATGTTATTGATGTTGGGCAGGGCTCATTGTCAATTGCCGGTTGCTTTTTTTTGTTTTTCCATTGCTTTTGTGACTGGATCAGTGTACACGTACCACCTGAGCTCCTATACGGCCCCTTTTTGTGGAACAAATTTCGATATTGGAGAAGTAGAGCTGGTGCCGTTTTTAGAACAAAGCGTTGGAGCTCGACCGATCTATTAACAAGACGGCATCAATCGGTGTTTGCTCTCCACGCATCTAGCTGTCGTAAGTATATTTAGCAAGAATCCCCGTCTTTTTATGAGGTCCCATGAGATCATATAACATTTGTGCCAGAAACAATTTCCTTTTTTCCAAAGCCATATTTTTGGTGATATTATTAAATAGTTATATTTCAGAGTGATAATAGTCAAAAAAGTAAGTAAGTAAATGTACATACTATAAATTTATCCTCACGTTTATACAACGAAATCCCCAATATTGTCGTAACGACTAAACACAACCCATCAACGCATTATTAGCCTCTAGAATGTAGATTCCCACAAATCGGTCGAGCTCCAAGCACAAAGCGAACCACCGAGGCAACGAGGACGAGCGAAGAACAAAACAACCTGCTGCCGTGAGCAAAGCTCTGTGAAAGGTGTGAGTGTGTGTGTGTGTGTGTGTGTGTGTGTGTGTGTGTGTGTGTGTGTGTGTGTGTGTGTGTGTGTGTGTGTGTGTGTGTGTGTGTGTGAGAGAGAGACGTCAACCAGTCCCAGTGGAAAAGCTGTGCACCGGCGCCTGTGAGTCCCGCTCGGACATCTCTTGTCTCTCCGTCCTCTTATCTCCCCCCTCCCCTGCCCCGTTTGATCCGACCCGGATCGGCAGAAAATCAGATGGCGGGTAGCCATGCTGCTCTCCTCCCCTGGGTAGCCTTGCCCTGTGGTGGATTGTGTATGGCTTCCCTTCTTCCATCCTGCATTTCTGTATAGACGGGTTAGGATTTCAATGAGCTCTGCCGCCCGTCAGCCCCCTCCTACACCCCCTCCCCACCCCCCCGCACCCACTCCTCCCCAAAAAAACCTGCCCTGCCCCCGTTTCTGGAGCTCTAACTGAGAATGCTGTAAGTGAGGCCCCAGTGTCTTTTTCTTTTTTTTCTATTTGTAATACTCTCAAACCCCAAGTTTGTTTCTGCAAGAACAGTAAACGTAAAGCTGACGAGCGGAGCCCGTTTTTACAATTCGGAGGCTCCGGTCTCTGTCCTTGTCCCCATTCGCTGTTTCCATCACCGTGTCATTTTTAACCATCATGCTTTGCGTGTTATTGTGTTGACTGGACTGTTAAAATAAAACGCTATCAGACATTAACGCCTTTTTCTTAAATTGAATCATGTTTTCTTAAATCTCTCTAATTGCATAGCGCCATCCACTGGCTTCTTCTGGTATTACTTGGCTTTACTAATCCCACCTGGCTGTTGAAGCTGCAGTAATGATCACTGTTAAGATTATTAAAACCTTCTTGCACATGTCTGTAAAGTCTTTTACTCTCCACTCGTCCCTGTTACCTTTTTGTGCTCTGAGATCGACACAGATCAACGTTTTCACCCTCGTCAATGTTTTGTTTTACGCAGACAAGAAGAGAATAAGATTCACACCAGGTCGTCATCCCAGTCTCTCAGGTAGCGTTTGCAACACACACACACACACACTTCATGCCTAACTGCACTCCGGGCTGGGGCTAATGAACTTTGACCCCTCTTCAGCAGGGCCATATTGCAGGCCAGCGTTGAGGGCGCCAACCCCATGGCTCTGTCCGACCAATCAGACAGCAGGAAGAGGACCAGGACCTCGCTGCCAGCCAGCGCAGTGGAAGAAGGGTCAGTGGCTCTACTCTCAATTTACAAGGGACCAGACGCGTTATCAGGGACTAATGTCTTCAGCCTCGCTCTGCCTAAAGATGGTTTGGATTAGGAATTTACACGATTATAGAATGACGTCTCCCCGTGGCAATTAAATAAGATAATGTCACCAGATTCACTTCAAATGGGCACTCTGATCAGAAAAGACGGTTACAATTGATTACAATAGAATATAAAAAGATAATTCTATTCATTAAAAAATGTACCATTTAAAACTGGTGAGAAAAGCATTTTGAAAGTTATCTCATGGTCCACTGAAATTTCAGCCGTCTCTCAGCTTTGCTCAGTTGTCATAGTGATGGCTGAGATCATGTGATCTGAACTTTGGTCCTGGGAGAACACATGGTCGGTATGTTTCTGATTTATCGACGAAAACCCTGAAAAAGATTAAACCAGTCTTGAGTTGAGATTATTTAGTCAGTTATTAAGCAGCTTAATGTTTTGAATCCATTCCTCTTCCCAGGACCGTTTAGTGCAATTCGCTCATGACGTGTTTGTACGTGAACGGGGCACACAGTTGAAGAGCAGCCAAAGAGGCTATAGCCACTCGTGGGGTGAATTAACGGCTTCCCTCCTCTCCGCCAGCTCGCTGTGCCACACCAGGCTGGTCAGGTCGCTAGGCAACTTGCATGTAGTGGCTGACGACAGGGACCCGATGTGTTGGGAGCCGAGTGGCGGCCGTAGAGACGCAGCCAGCGCCGCGGCCAACACGGGCCCTCTCGTCAACTTAAACATGGCACAGGTCCACCTGCAGGCAAGCTCCCTCAACAAACAAAAAGCACTCTGAGCCACCAACGCGCCGCTTCTACGCCGTCATGATCTATGCTGTCATGTGGTCTCTCGCCTGATCATATCTGTGTGAACTCAGCGGCTCCTCGCTCTCCCTCTTTCTGCTGACTGCTCCGAATTACTTCCTGTTCTCAGGCTGGGACGCGTCAAGAAGGTTGTAAATGTCAAATTTCACTCGTCAATCAAATGTAGTGTTAGGAATGAGCAGGATTCAATGCAGATCTCAATTATTTGGTTTCACGTCTCTGGAGGACAGCGTCTTTAAAGAAAGAAGTCGGACATGAGACAATATTTCAGCATGAATCATGAAATAACACGTCTATTTTTTGCAAATGATCAAATGTAACAATGAAACACATTTTAATTAAGATTTTCCATAATTATAGACTTAATTGAAACATCATTGTTGCTATGGATACATAATTCATTAGAATCCGGTTAACTAAATCGCAACTTGGCCCGGCGGTGCGACCCAGCCACTCACGCGCAATCTGACCCGGCTACTGTAAATCTCCCTGATGCTTCCTCCTCCGACTGGCTATAGCCTCTGTGGACTCTGCTGCTCGCTGTGCTTCCTGTAGCCACGTCTCTTACTGCTGCTCGTGCCTAACGTTTCTCATTTCTTTTTCCTTAAACGCTACAGACGCACCGTCTCCAGAGGACGTAAAGCTCGCGGCTCTTTGCAATCAAATCGATTTTCTAGGCTATGGTACCTATCACCCCTTCAATTTGTTACATTTACTCTGAAGTTTGTCTGGTAGACTGAAATTTGAATCATATTGACTTTTTCCTTTTTCTTCATAGTCACTCCATACCCAAAGCTAGAGCTCCTCTACTCCGGTGAGCCTGCGGATCTGGAAACTTCTATACAGCCGTACTAACATGTTAAAGTTTGAAACAAACGATTACTAACTTGATGTGAAATGTAAATCATTTATAGATTGTTGCCGTAAGGAACTTTTTTTTTTTATACTTTAAACATTATGAAATAGTTTCCCTTCATTGCCTGGTTGTTCCTACTTGTAGCATGTGGTTTTAAACATCAGAGCAGCATGTGAAGCAGATGGATTTGACCAGAAGGGAGGCACGTGAGGCACAGGAACCTCCCGGTACAAAGCCGCTTGCCTTGGATGACTTAGTGTGCTCATGTTGCTCTGTCATTATCTAGCCGGCCATAACTTGTGAAGCTTTTATGCTACTGTATTCCATGACTGTAAATACATTTGATATGCTCAGTTTGTATTTTTTAAATATTTTGTACTATGTTTGAATCATGCTACGAGAAGTCAATGGGGCTTTGGTCCAAGTCATTCATAATCCACTGAAAACATTTGCTTTTAAAACAATCAATTTTAAATAATGTATTACAAGTAATTATCTGGCTTTTGGTCCTTGTACCATGCAATAAATGAATTCAAATTTAATGTTGACTTAATTTTGCCATTTGTTTTCATACCAAAAATTCAACAGACAACAATAAAGAAACTTTCAAAAGCATTTATTCTCCAGGGGTGAACAGCGCATTTTCTGCAATAGAATAAGTCAAGAACGGCAGAAACCAGTGAAGTGCAACCTATATTCCCCGCAGGAGGTAAACCAGTCATTTTCCTGCTGATAGTGCTGGGAAGTCTTCTGGGTCATCTGGGTTTGGAGCCAAACCATCCTCCTGATGATGACAGATATTATAAACTATTTGTACAAACCTATTTATGCTTTTAGTCTGCTAGATTGTAGTGGATTCACTCATCGAAATAGGCTCAAATGGATGCACCGCACCAAACCAATGCCATCCCTTCAGTAAATAAACCAATGGTGAAGTAAAGAAGTCACACCGAGCATCCAGCTATAGTAACCACTGTAAAACATTCTGTGTGTTAACAGGTTAAGATATGTAATACTTAAACTCCAGTTTACAAGACATCTGAGGCAATAATGGATAACGTACCCTCTCTAATATTGGTCTGGGTCTCTCTGGGCGATTAGCCGGGCCACCTCTCGCTCCCCTTCCTCGACCCCCACGACTGGGACGTCCCAGGCTTCCGAAGTTGATGTCCAGAAGGGAGGTTATGTCATTCACAGACTTGCGGAGGAAGGTGCCTTCCTCCTCCACTTCTTCCAGGATCCCCTCCTTCACAGTCTGAGATTGGGAGTAGAAGGTAGATATAAATTACACGGTCATGTGTCTCCACACAAACACTGCTTCAATCCGCTGTTGTTTCAACAGCGTTTGTATTTCATAATTGCCAGAAAGGTTTGATTTAATTATAAAATAACTTACTATATAATACTTGTTGCTTGAGTGTGCGCTCGTTTTTAAACAATCACAATTAAAACTACTGCTGCAGGGACTTTCATGGCTCCAAATATTACTACGGTTCTGTAAACAAATGGAGGGATTCTGTCCACAGAAAACGAACAACGCTCTCCAAGATAAACAGCTAATTGTGGATATGTGACATGTCCTACAGATTCAAACTGCATTAATGTCTACATACGGTCCAGAGGGAAGCGCTTCTCAAACTCTGGGCAGAGCGCCATCTAGTGGGTTGGGGGAAGTACTGCCAAATGCCATTTACAGACTACATACATGCCCAAGAATTCACAAAGATTGTTCATTATTTTAGTTAAATTTAAATTTAACTAAGTTAAATTTTACTATGACTATTGTGAGGATTTGAGGACACGGCAGAAATAAAAGACCACCCCGCACCTGTGGCCTTTTCCCGGTTGACGAGGCTTTAGAATTGTCCTGTATTTTACTAGCGAGCTCTCAACATGGCTCCACTGTCACCAGGAGATGGTTCTCCTGAAATGAGTCAATAGCTTCACATTCTCACCTCGGTATGCTTTGACTTGTGGATGACCTTGGCTTTGGAGGGAATCTTGTTCTCAGATTTGCGGATATTAAACTCCACTTTGGGACGACTAGTTTCCTGCAGGGCCTTCCACTCGTCCAGGGTCATCTCCATGGCAACCTGGACCATGACTTCATCCTCTTCATCCATTGTGCTAAATATAATTTAAATAGATTTAAGGCATTCTTAAAAAAAGGGGCAAGATAAAATGTTGGCATTGTTGCAAACATACAACCAACAATACATACACATAAATATTATGACAGCAAACAAGAGTAAAATAAAAGTCGCCTAAAGACCAAAACCTGATCGATCAAGTAAGAGGGGGCTGCTCTCTCACCACTGAAGCATGTTATGTGGCATTGGTGTCATGTTAAATACAGATCATCATGTATGCATGGATCCCTCACCGATTTGAATCATCTCCCTCTGCAGCGGTTTGTGCCCCCTCGGGATTATGGGAAACCATCTCCATTGACTCATTTCTAAGAGATTTAAAACAACATCTGTACAAATACTGAAGTTTGTCATTTTACATGTTGTTAATTAAACTGCACTTACCTTACAGATTCTTCAAAACTTCCCCAGTTCCAGCGTCCACTGCCTCCTCGCTTTTCCTCAGGAGAGATCCCTCTGCAACGCACGTTACAGGGATTTTGAATTCAGCATGAGGCAAAGACATTTTTAAATGTTTTCCCATGAACTAAAACGGCCTTACGTTCCACTTTGGCGATCATATTCTCTTTTGCCCCTCAAGTTGAAGTTGTCAGCGTTCCCCGTGTATCCTCCTCCACCTCTTGATCCTCTCCTACCTCGGTTTCCGCCTCGGTCTCTGAGGTCAGAGTCTGCGTTATAGGAAGGCCTGAGGATCAAGCAAAATGAAACAGTTGATTCCTGCGACATCTATATAGATATACAGTACAGTTCAAAGTATTGTTCCAGATGGTGTTTGTTTTTTTCTATCGTTTAGAAAGATTTAAAGTGAAATCTGGGGACGGTATTAGTGTAATTTACAGGAGAATGGGGAATTCTGAAAGGTCAGCAAACAGCTCTAATCACAAACAATCAAACCAAGCAAGGCTGTAGAAGCAAATCCCTGTACTGCATTGATTAAATAAATATAAAACGTTGCCTTGCTCACGAACCTCATTTTGTTTAAGGGAAAGAATTTGTCAAATGAATCGTTTAGAAAGTAGCTACACCACTTAATGGAGGAAATGGGTATTTAAATATTGTCCATGAATGTACAAAACTAAATTTGCGGTTGAAGAAAAGTAACATTAAACAGGAACATTTTCCTCAGTGCCGCGTGGTTAGTTTCATGGAAACATTGTATGTATGAGAACACATACTTAGAGATGGAAAACTCCTGTGGATACTCCTCTTTATTGGCCCAGCGGTCCCCCGGGGCAGCTCTCCTTATGGCCACATAGGACACCTCTCTACCATTTGCCCGCTCAGACACGGCTCCATGAAGCGCAGGTTTCTGCTGCTGGTTACGGACTGAGGGGGGGGGGGGGACGTGAGGTAGTCAGATATTTAGTTGGGTCATCTTATTTTGCAAGTTATATCAAATTACAAAACAGCAGCGGTTAGTAGAAATATTAAATAAAAACCTTATTTAAAAAGGTTTATTTGAGAGACAGACAAATATAGATCTGAAAACAGCATTCTAATGCAAATACGCTTTATCCAACAAAAATAATGAGTCTAAACTGAAATGAATCATTAGATGGCAGGTTTTCATGTTATGAATACAATAATGCATTCAAATGTGCTACGAAATCAACATTGAGCAACTTTGCGTCGGATATCAGGTGAAAACCCCGACGGCCAGCGTTGAAAAATCAGCAGCTGGCAAAGCTTAACCAAACTGGCCCCTTTTGGCTGGGACGTCCAATGCAGGAATACCAGCAGCAGGCAGAACGTTTGAATGTTGTGTGGTCGCGGTAACGCGGTCCAAGTGGTTCGCTGACCTGGAGCCGGGTCTTGTACTTCTGACACATAGGCAACGCGTCTGTCCTTCTGAGATTCCTTCTGACCAGCTTTCTTCTGCTTGTCTTTCTTCTCCTTGTCTTGCTTCTTTTTGATCTTCTCCATTACCACTTGGTTGATCAATTCAAAAGGGTCAGCATCGTCATCCAGAAGATCCCCATACCGGTTCGCTACAGCGCACCCGTACGTGTCCGGGAGCATTTTAGCGGTCTGATGATTTAAAAAAAAAAAGAGGCAGAAAACTCAAACGGCAGATCCCTTCCTTAAATGTTCATCTCAAAAGACTCAGAACAACCTTTTCAGTGTACATCTACACTACAATAGGAGCTGCGGCAACGTTCTCCCTCTAAAAACAGCACTTTTAAATGTATACACATAACCAGGTCCCAGTGCTCATCAATTGGCTGTTCGGTAATCAATATTTAAGACAACATTGATTTGAATCTTCTGTTTAAATCACGTCCTGCTGCTAAAATTGGTACAAGAACTGATGTCAAAAGGAGATTTTATTTAATCAATAAAAATGAACAAAAGATAAACCTTTTAAAGCGCTCATCTATCATTGCTGAGGTTACTTTGGTAACACCAGCAACTCATATATCCTCAAACGTAAGTTTGTTTCCTCAAAAATCTTGTTTAAGCGAAAAATAAAGAAATCTAACGTTAGTTATTGTTGAAAGAAAAAAATACTATTACCAGATGTTAAGTAATTGTGAATAATGTTACACCGAAAAGACAACATTTGTAAAATATGAGAATATCAAACATTTCTAGGCGTTAACCATGAATGTTTAAACTTCAATAGTTAATGTTAGTTTGACAATGGAAACCCTAATAGTCAACCTAGCTGGTAGTTTACAATAACAGAGTTAATAACTAACTATTAGTTTGTTTGAACACATTGTTAATGATATATTGGATATAATTTCACGTTAGCTAGCTTAAGGGTTAGCTTAACGTTAGCCGCTTTGCATGCTAACGTTAGCTTAGCGCTCCCGTTGGGCATATTTTAGACAACTTGGCGATTTGAAAGGTAAACGTGCGGTTATCGGTCGTCCGGTGAATTCAGTCTCATTTCATAGTAACCGACAGTGCACCAAATGTATTACCAATCATCCCCAAAGTGACTCTTTTCTGCACGAACCTGTCGGTTGGGAGCAGCTGCTCGGTGGACGCTGATAACTTGAAGCTGAACCTGCCCGAACTTCAGGGGCACCAGCGACCCGCTCGAACCTCCCTTTTCTATCCAATGTATCAGAGTAAAAGCATAAAACGGACCACGTACTATTTCTAGAATCTATTTCTTTTTTTTTTAAAAGGACATTTACATTACATTACTAAAATTGCCTCACAAAAGAACTAACTTTGTGAAATGTGTCTGATTTCATTTCGGTAGTGATTTGATGAAGTATTGAACTCAGCTGTGTTTGGTGGCCTTTTCCATTTCGGAGCACATCACAGAGGAATTACATTAAATGTAGGAAAAGTAAAGTGAAGTATAGCTACATTCATGTATTGTAACTGTAAACTGTCATTTGTGGGATGAGTAATATTTGACATAATGAAACTTTTAAAAAAGCATTGTCAAAGTACATATTTGTACCAAACCTTACAACAAGAGAGCTCTACTGGTATCACCACAGCTTTGACTAGTACAGCTAGAACAAAACCTTAGGTTTGAGTCATTAAGCTGGCAATAAGTTCACACATGAACATTTAGTAAATTATTGACTCCTTCAGCCACGTATAATTGACTGGCATTACACCATCTGGGTCGCTTCAACAATATCCACATGGCATCATTAAAACCTACTTAAAGTATCTGTAAGCTTGCATTTTGTAGTTTGACCACAAGTGTGCAGAACGGGGTAATGTAAAATATGCCCAAAAAGCAGATGTATTCAATCCATCTGTACACATACTGAACTTCCATGAGATCATTTTTTTATTTTGTACACATCTATTGCCACTAAATATCAACATCATCATCAATCTGTTTTGTATTAAAATGTCCAAGATACTTCAACTTCATCAGACATACATATTTTCATCAGAAAATGTTATACATTTATATGTTTTATCTCTTTGGTTCTACAGAAATAGATAGCACCTTTACTGGCACTGTATAATTTTCCACGCCAGTAACAATGAGAAGCAGTTGAATTAGAATCATAAGATCATCTGCATGCATAATATACAGTATAATATCTTCACAACTGATACATTATTATTATTATTATTAATACACTCATATAATCTATCAACCAGAATCTTTTCTAGGAACCTGGGATAGTACCCTGAGAAAATAAATAGGCCTGTAACATCTCTGTCCTCAATAACCGGCACTGACGGAGAAAGAATTGAGTCCGTCACTCAGCCATGAATCTTGCAGCGAGGAAAACAAACAGCAAGGTGACCTTTCTAATATAAAGTAGAATGGCTATCAAGTAATTCTCAATTTGATAACGTCAGCCTATATTTTAAGCCCAATTAGAAGCCTCGGCAACTCAAATCCAGCAAGCACAAACCAGAAGAAATACATAGACAAATTCAGTTTAACATCAAGAGTGTGAGCCTTTCACTCTTGGACTTTTTAATGTTTTAAACCAATATTTTTCCCAGATGTTACACATTGCACGTTTAAAGACACATTGTAGAGTTCAGCAGGATGTATTTGGATCACCATTTTAAGATGACCGGTATAAGAAGCACAAGTAGGCTGTCAGAGAAAGGGACAGGCCCATAAAGCCGAGTGGAACAGCTCACGTAATTTCAGTTCCCTGAATCTTTACTTAGTCTTTAAAATTAAGCTAATTTAGATAGTATATCCAACAATGCCAGCAAACCACAAAGGTCAAATCTTTGGCACAATTAATTCAAGTCTTGAATTTCCTTCAGATAAACACATTTTGTGGGAATATCCCCCAAATGCTTAATTTAGTAATATTGTGGAAGAGAGAAAAAGTTAGTGTTAAATTGAAACGTTCTACTAAAATTAAACACTAACACGTTTTCAAATAAGTTTCGATTTCTTTTTCGCGCACACAGTACATCCTTTGTTCAATGCACGTCCGCCCTTAAATGACTACGTAACGTTGGCGCCTCTGGGCCACCGTTTCCTTTCCCTTTAAATTGACTAGCAATGTAATAACATAAACAGACTGCTCGGCGCGGGAAAGAGCCATCTGCTCCTCAGCAATGAAAAAAATTAACCGCCCTTTACTCTCATTGGCTGAGCCGCGCCCGCCCGCGATCTCTGCGCGTTATCATTGGCCAATCTGGATGTCAGTTTGCGAGAGCGCGCGTCGAGTGTTCAAACCTCATTGGATGGAAGTGCCTCGATAAGTTGCTGCGTTCAGACCGCTCTTCGTCCTGCCCATTGGCTGGCGGGACTGCGGGGCGGAGTCGTGCGGCTGTTGCCATTGGTTGCTTCTGACACGTGGGATCGGATCCCTGCCACTGATTAGTCAGTCAACTGCTCGGGCGCGATTTTGCAACGCGGGACGAGGTTCCTGTGGGCGCTCGCAGGTCAGTTCGGACGACCCGCTGCGAAGAGGAGGAAACTTATCACCTTCTTCACGTCGAACTGTACCTCTCGCGGATACTTCTGCACAATAACAATCCGAGCCTTCTTGGAAATGAAGGTCGTATTCACGCCTGACTGAAAAGCGGATCTATTTATGACTTCTACTGTTTTTTTTAAACCATCCATCAGATTGACTTCTTACAGTTTTTTGGCGGATCGATTGAGAAGATGGCCGACAACAAGCAGCCGAACGTTATTTTCTGCAACGATTCACCCAAAAGAGTTTTGGTGTCCGTTATCAAGACCACGCCGATCAAGCCCAGGAAATCGGAGGCCCTGACGCCGACGAGTCCCGGCTTCAGCGACTTCATGGTGTACCCGTGGAAATGGGGGGAGAACGCCCACAATGTGACTCTCAGCCCGGGCTCGTTGAGCGGGGCTTCGTCGCCGACCGGCACCCAGACGGCCCAGGAGGCGGACGCGGATCCCACGGCCGACCAGATCAGGGTAGGTTCGGGTTGCTGTAACCGTAACGTGTGCGGGTAAAACGTGTTCGTATGGCGGATCGTGTTGCACGTATTAACAGCGAAAAGCGCGCATGCGGGATGTTTTTGCCATCTTTAAAAACAAAAAAAAACTGAAAACAAACTATTCCAAATAATCGTTAAAGATCAGAACAGTTTAGTCATTTAAAAAAAAAATCGCCCGCGCAATAGGGCGCGACACGGTGGTTTTTAAACCCCAGTTACTTCCGGGTTCTGGAGCAGCTGCTGTATGAGCTGCCCGTACATGACGTCTAGCCGCGCGCCAAAAGTAACCCGGATGTGAACGTGAATGTCTCATTATTGGAAAGCGTGCGTCCTTCCGCGATGGGAAATTCTGAATGAAAGGCGCACACCAGTCGCTGGCTAAACTAACAACAACGTTATTGAACATTTTCGAACAAAAAATTTCGTAACAAATGCAGATGTTCATGAAGTAGTGAACATTTCGTGTGCATGAAGTAACGAACATTTCGTAACAAATGCAGATGTGCATGAAGTAGTGAACATTTCGTGTGCATGAAGTAACGAACATTTCGTAACAAATGCAGATGTGCATGAAGTAGTGAACATTTCGTGTGCATGAAGTAACGAACATTTCGTAACAAATGCAGATGTGCATGAAGTAGCGTGACCTTGATGTGCAAGATTAAAGTACCCCCATGTAGATCCATTAAATCCTACAAGTATGCCAATATTCTCTGTATGCTCCGCTTCTGTTCCATGGGATTTGACTGCTTCCGGGTGACACTTGCATTCTCTCTGTCAGGACGGCATCCGGCGAGGACGTCCTCGGGCCGACACGGTCCGGGAGCTCATAAACGAGGGGGAGACCTCGTCCAGCCGAATTCGCTGCAACATCTGCAACCGGGTGTTTCCCAGAGAGAAGTCGCTTCAGGCTCACAAGAGGACACACACAGGTGAGGAGGGAGGTGTGCCTTGATTCTGTGCCGATGTGACCCCAACATGCCGCAGCACGAGTGTGTGTAAATATGTTAGTGGCAGTGAATAAACTGTAAAACTATGACAATACTGAACAGTGTCTCCCCCCCCCCACAGGAGAGCGGCCCTACCTGTGTGACTACCCCAATTGTGGGAAGGCGTTTGTCCAGAGTGGCCAGCTGAAGACGCACCAGCGGCTGCACACTGGGGAAAAGCCCTTTGTCTGCTCCGAGAAAGGTACGTGGAGTGAAGCGACGTTATCGTTTAGTGACCCGTTTCACTTTCAGACACTTTTTTCGGTACTTTCCAGTGGCACGGAAACGTGGCTCAGTTAGTCTGGAGCTTTTAGCCGGCTGAGTGTCAATTGAAGCGTTTGGAAAGTACCCAATAACTGTCTTCCGTATAACTGGTGTGCCAGCGTTACATTGGGGGGGTGAATAAAGACAACAGTGAGAATTACAGCTGTTTCTCAGGCGTTCTAAAATCACAGAAATAACATGGCCTCACTGCATTTTATTCATACCTGCCCCCCCCCCACCTCCATCCTCCTCCCGCAGGATGTGGTAATCGGTTCACCCACGCCAACCGCCACTGTGCCAAGCACCCGTTCTCCCGGCTGAAGAGAGAGGAGCCGAAGGAGGGCCAGGGCACGGCTCAGTCCGTGGACAACAAGGCCGTGGCCGAGTGGCTGGCAAAGTGAGTGAATGTGCCGAGACGAGTTGTCGTGTGTGTGTGTGTATAAAGCGTGAGGAGGAGAACTCATGTGCATTCCTTATGTTCACGCACTGCCGTCGGCCCTCGCAGGTACTGGCAGACCCGTGAGCAGCGCGCGCCCACCACGCCCACCCCCGCCCCCAAGATGAAGGCCCGGGCCGAGGACCAGGAGCAGCAGGATCCCATGGAGTTCCTCCAGTCCGACGAGGAGGACAAGGAGAAGGCGGAGGAGAAGGGCGGCCACGGAGGAGCCGCGAAGCGCCGCCTCCAGGAGCAGCGGGAGCGTCTCCACGGGGCTCTGGCGCTCATCGAGCTGGCAAACAACCTGTCTCCCTGAACGGCCGCCCGGCCTCGCCTTCCTGCAGTATGTGCTGTAGCTAGAAAGTGTTCATCGACGCAGATTCATGACTAGTTTAGTTTTCTACCACCGAGTTGTGAAATCAGACTTTTGAGAGCGCGCTGAATTGGCCTGAGATCCGTGTTCTGCACAACCTCATCGTCCACCCAACCCGCGCCCCCCCACCCCCTCCCACGGCACCAGGAAGGCACAAGCTAAAGCACCTTATTCAGCTTCCATTTTATCCTTTTATTAGGCTGCTATAATTGTAGATTTGACTATATGAAGAATGTCTTTTTTTTATTCGAATGTCTTCTAAAGGCAAAGAGAGAGTACCGATTATGTTTTAATCTGTTGTGTTTGCACTTTGATGGGTAACAAGTTTGTGTTGAGTGTAACAGAGTGTACGACTGACGTGTATATGGACTGGGCTCTGATGGGGAGGGTGCTGCAGCGTGTGGTCAAACATAGGAAATGTTAAAGTGGCATTCCGGCTGTCCAGACGGCCTCTCATCTTGCTCCCGGGTTTCATCTGCAGCGCTGACGGGGAAACTGCACTGCCGCCACCGTGGCGGACGGAATGGACTGAGAGGAACCTTTTTTAAGCCGAGGTGGATTGAAGGGAGACGAGAGCCCGGCGAGCCCGATTGTTGCGGCGTGTGCTTTTTCTTTTTTTTACGTGTGAATGAGAGGTGATCATTGCAAGCCTAATCCAGAGGGCCGGCGAAGCAGAAGCTACCGAGATAATCCAAAACCCGTGACGGCTTCACCACTTTAATCATGATGTTCACACAACGGCATCTGTATGACAGTGCCGTGCCAGTGGCGCAGAGGGAAAGTTCAGCTGTAATATCTTACAGATTTAGGGCAGTAATCCAAACTCAAATGCCTACAGTCCCTTTGATTCCGTCTTAACAGCTGTTTTCCATCTATGTACCAAAATCGCTGGTAAAAAAAGGATGGAAAGTTTATAGCGGATGACGTTAACCACCTTTTATATTAAAAGATGTGAGACCCGTTGCGATACTAGAGTGTGGAAGATCCCTGTCATCCAGTTTTAAAACCTTAAATTATATTTATCTACTTATTTTATGTCTTTATTCCTAACATTTTTGTTGGTCTTTGAGAGCCCTGAGAGTGTTTTGGCAACAACAAAAAAATCACATGCATTTAGACGACCCGTTTATTTAGCACTTACACCCGTAGATCCTGGATTAAGCTTGCAATGCACTGAGGAGTAAATTGGTTGTATTGGTTGTTTTTAGCGCAGGGTGATTTTCTATTCTTTGTTCATTTTTTTTTTTAGAGCAACACTACATCTTTCAACACTGTAAGAAGCCTCTCATCACATCCCGGTCACTCTGGCCCTTTGACATTTGACTCGCATGGATTTACGGTGAAACTGGAAAGCAAGAGAAATGTGGATAATCAAGACGCCAAATGATTTATTTTTTACCCAATTATAGTATATTTTTGAGCATTTCTAACCTGTAGTTTTGTGGTTTGAGAAGATTATGGCATTTAATATATAAATATATATTCACATTATGTTAGAATATCGAGTGTGCACAATTTACAGGAGAGCTCTGAGGTTCAATTTTAGTTTTCAGTTTTCCCCTCCGCTAACAGCCCCCAACAGTTGCCATGTTTTTGACATATGTAGAGTGACCCTGCTTGCTTGGTAGACATTTAATTACACATGTTAATAGGTAAGATCTCTCTGAGCGGCTGTCAACACTGTTATACAATTGTTGGTTTTCAATAAACATTCACCCATCCTGACTCATAACATTCAACGTCTTCTGAAGTTATTCAGTCACTGTTTAAAATTGAAATGAAAGTTTTATTGCATCAATGACAATTCTTTTCTTTTTCTTTTTTTGTAAATCACTTCCTTGATTTTAAACAAACGTATGCACTTGGACAGGCAAAGCGCGGGGACGGCCTTCAATCGGGATAATCAGCATGGCAAATGACGTGTAGCAAGCGGCAGACAACAGCAGCGCTGTACGAGTGCAGTCCACCGATCTTAGAAATAAAAGTGTAAAACCACGCTCCAATATGGAGCATCGATGCCACCCGACGGCGAGAGCTAAAACGCCGCACGTTTAGTTTGCAGAGAACGTCCCCGTAGAAGCTTCTACGTCTGAATCTTCAGCTGTGGGGATCCTCCTGCGTTGCTTCCAGGCGGCTTGTCGATGAAGGTGAGATACGAGTACATGAGCCCACCTGACATGCTGCAAACGACGGAAGCAGTGAATTGTGAGGCCGTGGGAAACAGTGGATGCGAACGCTCGGCTGTGACCGAGGCAGCACCAGCGAGACCATGAACTTCACAGCACTTCGTAGATGCTTTGCTGTGGCTTGGAAATAGAATTACATTCTCTTAACAGACAGAAATGTTCATTTACGGAGACTGTTTTTAAGGCCTCGTGCTGGTGTTCAATCAATTTGTTACATCAAACCCCTCTGAATTTGAGTGCAACCACACTGAAAAAGATAAAATACACATTCTTACCAAATGCTGAGGCCTAGGAAGTTGGTCCAAGAGAACAGGTAGTCTCCACCCACGAAGATGCCGATGTACGCTACTGCAACATTCTTAGAACAAAACAACGATTATGCAGGTTAGGGATTATCTTGTTGGCAGAAAGTGGACACCAGGGAGACACATGGCACTACGACTATGTGGAATCCAGATGCACATACAGGTATAAGCATGGTCGATCACATTACATGGCCTTTTAATCCTTCCCACACAGTGGGAGCAGTGTGCAGCCGGGGAGCAGTTAGGGGGTCGGGTGTCTTTCTCAGGGACACGCAATGAACTAACAGTTGCAGGAGGGGTCGGGCCGCCTTGGCAGAGATATGCCGTGCCGGTGCTTTCTAGTCCCATAGTGGTACTTTAATGGCCGTGTTCATACCTTTATTGCCCCCACTACTGTTGTAGTGAGTGCAGAGTTATAGTAGCTGCACAGGACTATGGAATACATCAGCACGAACCTGGAAAACAAAACAGTCTGGTTAAACAGCAACGTGACAGCTATGGAAGCGCGGGTTCCTCACAAACATGTGACAGTAACTGACATACCCCATGAAGCAGGACATGAGGAAGCAAAAAATAAAAGTGACCTCAACCCAGTCCTGAAATGTGACCGCCTGTGGACCAAAAGACAGAAGTCGGTCAGGCAGGAAAAAGCAGAGCGTTTTGGGAACAAATACCCAGAGATGACGTGCTGGATCAGAGTAACCGCCTCTACCTGCTGTAGATCTCCAGTTAAAGCACTTGCCAAGAAGGTGGGGATGACAATGATTAGTGCATTGTAAAATAAGACACCATACTTCCCGAGGCCCTTAACAAAACACAAAAAGGAATATATTAGACACTTCACTGGGTAACAAACGGCAGTTACTTTTACTGCGTGTTGAATATCACAATATTAATAGAATAATAAATCAGATTCTACTTGTACAAGCAAAATAATTTGATGTTATTGCATCAAAAATCTGGGCGTTCATGTGATTTGTGCGTTCTAAATGCGGTTTACTTTCACCAAACCAAAGCCTGAACTTTGGTTGTTATAAATGTAGGACACACGAGCGTCCAGACCCATTATGTCCCAGAAAAGATCTTTGATGTAAAATAGAATAGAAACATAATCAATGATCCTAACTAGAAAAACAAGTTTAACTTCCTTCCTCCTGTTGTAGCTGAACTACCCAGCAACACGATCTTCTACATCCTGTGTTGCTGTTAAAAAATAAATCAGATAAAGCAGCGAACCACGGCTACACAGAGCGAAGAGTAAGTTACACTGCGTCTCTGGTCTCCGTTGGGACGGACCGCGCAGGGAAGGTTACCTCCGTGTCCAGCTTCTGCTTGGTGTACACGCCGCTCGCCGCGGTGAAGGCGTCATTGAGCAGGATGAAGGAGTAGGCCTCCAGATCAAAGGCCAGGTCTGAACTAGAGGAGAGAGGAAGAGCAAATGTGTTTGTTCTCACATTCACAAAGCATTCCCCTTTCTTTTTTTTTTCTTTTTTTTTAACATTTAAATAGTTCATACCAGGCAGCAACCATGGCACCGAGGACTACGGTCACAACACTGTACACGAGGCGTTTGGGGAATGTTTTTCTGAAGAAAAAAAACAAACAGGCCTGGAGCATTCAGGTAATAACTCCCAAAGCCCGTATCTTGTTTCATTCGACTGATCGTAGATAACACCGGTTTCCTGTTACAGAACTTTCAGACCGGCTGAGACTTGCCTTACCTTAATATATATACTTCCAAGGTCATCGTCATCAAAATGGTGAATTTCCGAAGTACTGTAAACATGGGTAAACTGTAAAAAAACAACATGTTTTTAGGAAAGCCCATAAACAAGGATCGGCAGACTTAAGGAGTAAAAGTACTTTATTAGAACCTGAGTTTTTTGGTGCTTGCCAGTCCTGTTATATGGTTCCCAATAAAAAGCAAAGGAAGCGGGAAAATCTGTGTAGAAAATAAAGGGGGCAATATAAACAAATTAAATGCAATTAAAGAAAGGTTTTATTTTATAAGACATTTTGATATATTTTTTAAATAAATGAAGAACTTCTTACTTTAAAGGGAATACTTCTATCAAAATCTTGAAATTGGACTCTTTTGCTCATTTTGGCAGCATAAAGGACAACAAGTGTGGCGAGCATCTGAAAGCACCAAAGTTACAGTGAAGTGTGTGTGTGTGTGTGTGTGTGTGTGTGTGTGTGTGTGTGTGACACACACATAAAGAAACATCAATATCTGAACAACTTACCTGGCCAATTCCCAGACACATGTAGGAGGGAAATCTGAGAAACCAAACAGACTTTGTGTGATCCAATAATGACTTGATGATTTGATTTGTCATTTTAAGCTTTCCATATTATTTTAACATGTATCTCATACCAGTGACGTATTGTGCACATCCGCGAGGCAACGTTTACCTGAGATACTTTAAGAAGGATGCCCATGCGTGACTTTACATGAGTATTTCCATCCCATCACACTAATGCTACTTTCAATAACACAGTGTACGGTGACGCCGCAAAGCCCCCCGTCCGATGACGTCACATCACGTTACCTGAAGCTCGTCAGCACCGTTTTATTCACCACCGTGATGACGAACGAACTGCCGGCGTAGAACATGGCGGAGTAAAGCTTCAGCAGCCCGGAGTGCTCAGCGGCTCCTGGACAAGAGTCGGAGGACATCGTCAAATGTTGCGGAGACACCTGTCGGGAGACGTTTCACTACTGCACGACTGCGCATGCGCGGAGGACTCAACTACTTCCTGGTTGTACAAACGAAAAGGTAAAGAAAAAAAAAAAGATGTGTGCATGACGTCGGATATCAACCTCGATGCTCACTAGTGTTCACGTGCAAACGTTATTCTAATAAGTTATTAGCTCTGGTCCCGGCGTGTTGTCTGGTCTGCAATTAAAAACGTCTGTCCGGTTTTGGTTGATTTTGCAGGCCAGTAAGCGTGCTTTATCTTTAATTGTCTTTAACTTTTTTGTCTTTAAGTTTATATCTAAGTTTAAGAGCTGCGATATATACGCAGCCGAGGGTTTATGGTTCGCCTGTACTTCACAATATTAATAAAACAACAAACACCGCTCCGCTTCTGCACCAAGGTGGCAACAACTTTATGTTAACTTCAAAACTCACTTCCTCCTCCCTCCTCCTTCCGTCTCCTCCTTCACAATAAAAGCACCTACAGCGAGTACATTAACAGCTCATATGACATTCTGTTCTCAAGCATCCTCTGCACATGAGAATGTAACAAGTAGCAAAGCAGCCTCTTTGCTAATTGATGCTGATCATGATTCATGCCTCGTGGAGTTTCCTGATGTGTACCAGACAAACATTGGAGACTTTGCATGAAGAGAATCCCTGAGGCAAACAAGAGGATTCAGCAGCCAACGTGCATTACTGGTTCTTGCTCCACTTTATAACACTGCAGGTTAAATCCATATTTGTGTCTCCACTAGAAGGCAATGTTGCATCACACCACCTCCGTTCACAAGCACAACTTTCACCATCAGCTTTACTCTCCAGTACTTTGATTGTTTGTGCAAGTCTGTGTTATCATATTCTCGCTCGCTTGGACGTGTTTATTTGACTCCTTGTTTTCAGCCACACATTGAAATTACAAATGATAATTTAGTTGTTGTTTTTTTAGTTTGTCTTATCAACACAAAAATATCTTTTGCAGATTATCTTTTTGTTATTTATGTTTCCCCTTTGAGGCAAGATGAGACGTATCTAAACCTTCCTGACACTTTAAGTGCTGGAGCATCAAAGTTTGAAGACCATCACAGATGTGCTGCCAGCAGGAGTTCAGCGGTGCACAGCTGTGACATGTTTTTGTGTCTAACAAAAACCATCATCTTAAACAGTTGCTAATGTCTTGCATGTCTTGGCTTTTGAATAATTTGAATTTATCCAATGAAGGAAATTCAACTTGTACTGGTTTGGTAATAGATGAGAGCTTTTTAGTGGTGAAGTAGGTTGAAATATGGAAGAAACCTGCTCTGACTTGGGTAGACACATATGAGAATGTTTGCTTGTATACGAGTCTGAGTGAGACAAAAGGGAGGTTTATGCAATTAGCTTGAGGGCCTTTTTGGCCGTTATAAAGGGATGAGTCATTTCAATCATCCTGGCCTGTGAACTTGGCTCCAAAACGGATTACCGGTATGAATTAAATATAGACACCTGTGTTACTGTGAATAAACGTCATCAGCATATCTTCTCATAACTTGCATTACTCTCTACTTTCTCAGTCCAAACGGACACGGATGCATCGTATAAAGGTGCCTGAAGTAGGACTGACAAAATGATTTACTGTTAGACGCCTGGAACACTGCACGGAACAACAGCTGCGTGAGATGTTGCCTGGGGTCAAATTGCCAAGCCTGAAATGTGTCGTACGCTAAGCCGCTGCCACACCAGTTATTTTTCTAGTCCCTTTTTTTGTTGTTTTCAAATTGATGCAAAAAATGTATCCCTCACTATTGTGCTTTGGACGTGCTGCAGAATACTAAACGCAGCATCAGCATTCTGATGATTTACTTTTCATGCTGGTTTTCCTCTAAAGACGTAAAAAGTGCATTAAAAAAGCAGCCAGTAGCAACAACGGAAGTTACAGGTGTGTCTCTGTTTTCTAAGATCATCAATCGCTTTGGAGTAAAACCAAATAAGTCTGTTTGAGCTATGAGCACACACATGACTTGTGATTGCCCGGATATATAAAGGGTCCATCTGTGCATTGTATATATCACTCATATTTCTATTCATAGTTTGACTATTGCAAGAAAATCAATTTTACAACCACGGACACAAATACGAATAGCCTCAAAGAAAAATAACACCTTTTATTAAGTCACATTTAACACACTAGAAGAACAATTAAAACTCAATGTATATATATATATATATATATATAAATGTATTAGCAATGAAATATACTCAGAGTGAAAGTACCCGTAAGGAAGAATAAAGCAACTATATGTTAAAGTTCACTTCACATACTGTAGCGTAGCGTAATCCACAACACTGCATCACATTTTATGAGCTTTTGTAGTTAAAATCCTGTTTTTAAAAGTAACTAGATAAATGTAATCAAATTATAACCTCAGAAATATAGCAGAGTAGAATTATAGAGCATAATGATTCAAATATCAAAGCGCTAGAAGGTTTCAATGATCATAATCAATTAAAAGAAGGAGCCAAAATGACGACGTCTCAAAAAACTCATTTCTGCTTGTTCCTGATTGTCTGCTGCCGCACTTTCTTCAGGATTCCCAACACTTTGGGATGAGCACATACAGGCGTCCTCATGTCCTTCACATGCAGCCTGTGGACCCACAAAGGGAAGAAAACACTTTCTTATGATAACTCTTGCGAAAAAAAATCATCAACTTATCATGTTGTTCATCGCTGATCCAGGACTCACAGCAGAGCAGAGATGTCACAGGCGCGGCCGCCGCTCTGCATGGACCACCGCTGGACCTTCCGTAGCATTTGGAGAGGGATGTGGTTTTTGGTTCTGATGCAGCACTTTGGGATGGCGGCTGCAATGTGGGATAAAGATACATTAGGAGGATTGTGAAAAGAAAATAATATAGAATATGGTAATTCACTGTAAAAATTTGGACCAAATTTGTTTTCTTTGTTTCAGTGCCACGTTGGCAACTTGAATCTCCACAAAAGACCTGCTTGTTACTCGTAACGATTCCAGCGGTTTACCGATTTCTCAAGGGCACAAGACGATATTTGGGGTCTCAATTTGATTGGTTTTCAACAGAGTTATCAAAGAAAATTTAAAATAAAGTTTGTAAAACTGAAAAGCAGCATGGATGAGTTCAGTAAACACGTGCACATTTATACTTTCCACATTAATGTCAACACATATAAGCAACTCAATAACTGTTTATAACCCTTTACAGTTTTATCTTACCGTACCTCAACGTCCTCCCATGTATAGAAAAACCATTGACTTATTTAAATTCAGAAAAAAACGGATAAAACGATGGCCGTCTTGGTTTTAACATCGCCACCTTCTTACCTTCAGTTGAAGTAATGGCCAAAGCACAGAGGCAGAATAACACAAGTGGAAGTTTCAGCTCCATGATGACAGAAAATGATGAGATGCAGTCCGTGCTTGCTTTATAAGTACTGTCACTGAACACACACACACACGCACGGGGCTCTCCGACAGGCCCCGGCAGGTTTAATTGCTACTCTTCTTTTGACATCATCTTTGAACATTGATTGATTTAGAACGCATGCTCGGCTACTGCCACACCCGGAGTCCTGAAAAGGTCGGATATGTAGTGTAAACAATTGAGAGCAAACAGACGCTGGATGAATGTCGAATGGAAACTTATCTCAGGTCAACTGTCTTTGGACAGCCTTGAAAGACTTGGGACAAATTAGTGTGTGTCTGATGCGTTTGTGAGTGGCCGCGACCTCTGACCTCGCTGTAAAGGGAAGGGCTCACAGACGAGGAGCAGGAAACTCGGACATTGTTCAACATAGTAGGTGTTGATAACTAAAGCCTCCTAGTTGACATATGAATCAGTTGACAAGATGTCAGGGTGAAACCGCAGCTCGGCGGTGCACACCAACTGTCACTTTCTCGCTGGGCTCAGGTATGCACGTTGCACAATTCAAGTGCAAACAACATCACTTAATTATAGGAACCTTTTTCTGGCAGCGCTACTGACGGGCTCCCAACGTGGGTGTTTGGGGAACCCGTGGGAAAACAACAGTAGTGTTTAGTTTGCGTTTCATTTTTTGAGCGTGCAACAATACATACCTGATTCCACAGAAAGGCTACAAATCCTTAGAGTAACTTTGTTTTTGTTCACATTGTCTACATTTTTCTTTCTTCCTGTAAATCTGGAGGATTTGTTTGATGACTTGTTTGAAGCCAGTGGGGTCTGTGGCACTGACTGTATTATCAAATGCAATGGCAACTTGAAAAATGAAAGTATCTGATCAGTTGCTCTGTTTTTTCGCAAATAGGAAATAGGAAGCAGGACATTAGATTAATTGAGCTAAGAAAAAGTCAGTTCAGGGCTCAAAATGGTGCATTACAATACTTGGGCTAATTTAGTCAACACATTTTCTATTTGAATGCACCATTGAATCATGCAAATCTATATACGCATCATACGCAACTGGGGGTCATACGCTGCATCAGTGAGGTTTAAAAGATTTAAAAAAAAGAGAAGCTGAAGATCAAGGCCTCCCAATAAGCCACACAGGTATTGCATCAGTCAAAACAGGTCCACGTAAACGTTATTCTAGCAGGCACGACAGCTTTCAATCATTGCACAAAGAAATGTGACAATCAGAATCCTCCTAGATTCATTTAGCCAACATGTTGACACACGACCGAGAAATGTGAAGTTTCATATGACATCTGCTGGTTTATCAGAAGTAGCTTTCCATTTCTTGTAAAAATCAGCTCAGCTCAACTTGATTTTTTTGACACATGCACACATATACAAAAGCAGATGGGAAAGTCAATAATTGTTGTCAGTTAGAGGTGTAATTATGTAAACCCTGGGAATAATGGAAACAGACAGCAGAGGTTTTTTTTGTATTGATATATTCTGTATTGTTTCTCTTATTTTAAATGTACATTAAATGTCAACTACACAAGAAGGAACTGCTTTAGAATCGACATCCAGCTGTTTTACGTGGATGTCTGTAATCTCAAATCTCTGACTTATTTACAGGGTTTTCTGCTATAATTCATATTTTAAGTGGAGCTCTGACGTGTGTTCCAGTCTCTCGTATAGAATACAGTTGTGTTTACATTATGTGCATTAGTATATACATTCCACAGCGAACATTAAATCTACTTTTCATAAGCATTCTCCGTCTCCATTAGGATGTGGATGAAAACAGCCAATTACTGAATTAAAAGACAGGCCTCGCTCTCGCTGACTTTACGGACACACACATATCATTGCAGCAGCGGTTCAGAGAGCACATTTTTTTGAGGGCATAACATAGATTCACGGTTGAAATTTCAAGGCTTGTGGTGGAACAGGGAGGTATGATCTTCTGTTGCAAGGGCCCAGGGAAGGCGGAGGGGCCTCCACAGGGAGCGCATCAGTGCTCCGCCTGCCCCCTGGTGGCCACGTGCAGCATGCGCAGCAGCAACTCTGCAGCCGAGGCCCCCGCTGTGCCGCGGCCCGGATCGGAGGCCTCGATCTCACCGAGACAGTCAGGGTCCACCGCACAGCTCTCTGAGAACGGAGATAGGACTTCATTCAAGCTGTGGCACAAATATAATTCACGCCATGCTGGACTTATCCGCTTTCGCAGCGGATTTGTACCTGAGTTACAGCAGAGCCCGGAAGCAGCACAGTGGCCTCCGTCAGATCCACAGGGCCTCCCTCCCGCCTGGCACGGGGTGAGCAGGTAGTTCTCCTCCACGCAGTTAGCCATTTCCGAGGAGCCCAGCAGGCAGCCGAGGCCCTCCCCGCAGCAGATACTGGGGCCAAAGCAGCGGCCCCGGTCTCCGGGGCCACAAGACATGCACTGGAGGAGAATTGGAGTCATTTAAACATTAAATTGGAGCATTGTCATTTTCATTAATATCCATTCTGACCGTTGATACTTTCACTGTCCTTCTCATGTAAAAATATTGCAAATGGTCATTTTTAGCAGAGAGCTGAAATGATTGCATGATTTCTGCTGCACATTTATCTCACTGAAGTTAAAAAATGATAGTGTTTAAAATAGTAGATTTGTACACAACTTGAAAGTTTTCTGTTTACCTTCAATATTGCTTTTGTGATTTACTTTTATGATGATCCATTCCAATGTTTCTCTGATATGAACCCTCATTCAAACACGTTTATCAAAAGAAATTCTAAATCAATCGCTATTGCATACATACAATCTTCTTCAATTTATACTGTGCACTTTCCTTATTTCACCCGGTGACTTAAATGCCACAAACACACATTTTCAATTTAAGATGTCCACAACGATAAACGAAAAGTCCAAGAAGAAGACGCCAAAGGAGGAGGCAGAAACTCGTAACCGCCCTCACCTGTCTGATCCCGGTCTCGGGGAGCGCTCGTTTCCCTCCACGGGGGCAGTTCTGGATGTAACAGGCGGATGAGATGGCGAGGAGTCCCAGGACGCACAGGGGGAACGAGGAGTGAGGCATCGCGGCTGGTTTGGGGATGGTCGCTCCGGTAAGGTTGTCTCCGCCTGGGTGGATGCGTGTGTGTGTGTCCGCTGTCCCGGCAACACTCCTCACTTATAAGCAGATGGACACGACCCGACAAAAGCGACTGACACTCCGATCTGACGTCAGTGTCGTTCCGCCGTCCGCGTGCACGCGCATCCGAAGGCCACATGCGTGCGTGGCCGCGCGCGCGAGAGGTCGCAGCGCACATGGCTGTGCATCAGATGTTCGCCATCTAACGGATATGCCTCCTTCTGTATTCACGAGCGCACAACACTTATTTGCAAGTAACTTTTGGTCTGAATAATTTCAGCCCCGCCGGCAGACATGGCAAGAGGGCACACATTAGAAACGGCACAAATAATAACAGGAATTAATTATGCTTGTGTACGACTAATTACATCTAATGCAATAAGCGCGCTGATTTGGTACATTTCATGTTGGTCATGCACGATTCAGGTGGAAAGCTGCGACCTCGAGGTCACACAAATTATTCGCCTGATGTTTAAAAACTACTGATGAGCACAACAAGATTAGCATTTTGCAGTTAACATTAAAAAACGTATTCTTGAACTTAGCAACTTATTCCGTTTTGTGTCTTACTGCATGCTGACTAACAAGTGAATGCTAGAGGAGGATTTCTGATGGATACAGAAGGCGTCCCTGAACAATGTGGGATAAAAGGTTTTTAAAAAACGGTATCGGAGTACCATTTATGTGCCTTTACATCTGCTCGTTCAGCGGATGCAGGATCACAACCTTGGTTACGCTCAATGTTGTCATGGAAACGCAACACTTGTGCGGTTTGAGATGCCAATAAACAGTTTTTTTTGTCCCCGACTTTGGTCCCTCAAACCCTTTTGCGCTTGCGATAGCAAACTCAATATTGAGTGATTCCAATATGAAGTCGGGTGGAAGAGGATAAAGAGGGCAAGGAGGGCACAGGAAGACCTGGACCATGCGCACAATTTCCCCCGACAAGGCACCTTATATGATGAGCACAGGGAGAAATATATCAAATAAATTATATTTAGTCTGAAACTTAATACAACTACACGAACTTTGAAGAAATGCAGCTTTCCCATACTGCAAGAGAAACACAATAATACGCAGTTTTTTACCTGAATTAACTGAAATATATGTACATTATCAGTCCATTGAAATCCTTGTTGGCGCTTTTTTTTTCCCTCTTCCAGCATCTGCTGTCTGAGGACAAACCGTAGACGTGTGAGTGCAGGACATGCAACGTGGTGAACGGAGGGAGGAGCGGACGGCCGAGCACCATTGTGCCTTCTTCACATTTCTCCTTCACGGTCACGCAGCCTTGGGTCCGCTCGAAATCCACTTTCATTCCTCGGGCCTCTTGATGCTTCTGTCCAGCAACCTTTTCTCTACACGCAACACGTGTACTCAGCCAGGGTGTCTGCAAAGACCGCAGCTCCAAGGCTGCGGCTATATACGATTCATCGCTCCATGAAAAGGAGAAAGCCGAGGTGGAACAGAAGCAAACAAGACCTTTATTTTCAACGTTCTCTTACGCAAGACTCTTGTTAAGTACTTTGCTTTTACCAATTTTCTTTCTACATCGGAGGACATAGAAAACATTCAATTTTCGACGTCCCCAATCCAAGAAAATATTACCCACAGCCAGTGTTTAAGTTTCTAAACATATGTTATATAAACATATATTATATAGAAATAATTCCAAAAAAAGTCAGAAGAGAGGAATGAAGTTTCATGGAAATTGTTTGTTAGACAAATCACCATTTATTTCGGACGTCATCATGTGATCAGGTGTGAAACATACAGTCCCACTCCTCTGTGAGAAGCAGTCAGTGATGCACTCGTACGACATCACTGCGTGCGCTCAGGCTCCGGCAGGCGAGGCAGGCGATGCGGCCCGATGTTGACGTGGCGACGGAGTTCAGTGGTTGGGATTCCGCCCGCACGCAGGTACGGCAGAGCAAGTGGCCGCAGCTCAGGCGGTAGATGGCTGATGCAGATTTAGAGAAGACCGACACCGAGCAGGAGCACGCCGAGCACGTCTGCTCGCCTGCCGAGCAATGTGAGAGAAGATGAATTAAAGAAGGGGTGATGGGTTCGTATTGGTGTAACTCAGAGAAACATGTCAAAAGGTCTATACTGTCATTAATTTGAGTCTTTTCTTCCCCCTTTTGATTTTGCCGTTAAGACGGTTCTTTTCTAAGCCTTGCGAGCGCCTCCTCTCTTGGGGACAAGTTCTGTTGGTGCATCTCTGGTCTCTCCTTGTTCCTCCTGTATCTTTTCCGTGTTTTCATGTAGCAAGTTACTTCTTGTTGTGAGCTGTACCCAGCATGCAGTTCGGTGGGGTCACTATTATAAATCTACAATTAGTGTTACAAATTGTTTATGAGTGTTTTCTGGTGTTTTTCATTGTTGCTATAAAGTTATAACCACGACTCAATCTCAACACACATAAAAGAAGTAGCTCCGACCGCTGCGTGCTCCACGATGACGAGTAAAAATAAATTCAGTTGTTACGGCGTAACACCGGTATGAACGATGCGTGAGAACTTCATACCGTAGGGAAAAGCTTATACTGGTGTACCGTTTGAACCGGCATACCGCCCAGCACACAGGGTAGTGTGTTTTGTTGGAGTGCTCCAAACAGGACGTTTCTAAGGCCTACCTGTTGGGGTGCTAGGAATGCCTGCAGTCGGACGTTGCTGTGGAGTGTTCATTGGTTCTGGTTCAGGACAGACTCGTCCCTGCTGACACACGTTTGAGGTGAAGGAGGGTCGGCCCTGCAGGGCGGAGAGGAGGGCCTCGTCTAGACTGGCGGACAAACGCTGCTCATGAGAGCTGCCGCTCGGGAGTAAAGCTGCATGGCGAGAGAGAGAGTAAAAGGTCGACACAAAATAAAGGTCAGCAGGGGATATGGGAGGGGGGGGTTCAAATCTGAATTTTAAAGAGCAAGTTATACCAACCTAAAACGCCATCATTTCTCTGTCTTTTTGTTTGAGGTAGTCGTTGCGTCTCGGCTGTCGAATCTTCAGATGATTTGTTGCAAAGTCCACTCAACTCTCGTTTCCTTCTTCTCCCCGACTCTGATTTACCATCTATGGTAAGAGGTTGGGGGGCAAATGTGTGACTCCCGTTATCGGATAACAATGTCCTGCTTGCGCTCCGGGCGGCAGCATTATATTGAATAGCGGCGTTGTCCATCGAGCTTTCCCTGAGACAGGGCGAGTACCGGGCCTGTCCGTCAACTTTGGAGGCTACAAGTCTTGAGGCCTGGGGATTTTCTCCCTCCCCTTGCCGTCCCACCGCCCCGTCCCTCCTCATCGTCCCTTTCTGCAGCATGAAGCGGTCGATGCGGCTCTTCAGTTGGGGGTTAGGGAGGGGTTGGGAGGTGGAAGTGAACGGGACGCCTGTGAAGGGATCGTTGGGTGCTCGTCCCCAGGTGGCTTCGCTCTTCTGGTGCTCCTCCAGCGTGGTGCTGTCCACTGACACGCCGCTGGGCAGCAGCATGGGCAGCAGCATCACCTCCTGGGTTATCTGGTCCAGGAAGTCTTCTGGGATGGAAAGACTACTGGAGGCAGAAAAAAACCCCAACAGGTCATTGGCGACTGTGCAAGATGTGACCATTATTTTTCTGCATCATAAACGGATACCTTTGGGACGTAGCTGCTTGCGGCGTTGGTTTATCCCTGCTGCCAGAAGGGGTAAAAAACACCGGCCTGGGGACGCGTCTTTCGCTGGCTGCGTGGTCTCTTTGGATCCTGTCCACTTCTTCTGCAGGGCAGCAGCGAGCCGGTTGTCCCCACACGGCCAAAGCCTTGAGGCCGAGAGCCGACGCCGAGCCGCCGAACGGCAAGGTCACGCGGAGTTGCGTCACTGCGCCCAACGACTGCAGTCCCCGACTCCACAGCTCCTCTTTACGAGAGGTCGAAGGTCGCGGCGGCGGAGGGGAGACAAACGGGGGCCGGGGAGTGAAATTTGGACGCGTGAAACAGACATGGGTCTCCTCGGTGAGTTCGCACCGACCGACCAGTTTGAAGTCTGGCTCAGGATCACTGGGTTCCGTGTTTGATTTGAAGGCATGGCCCCCTCGTGGAGGCTCGCCCGGGGCCTCCCCCCCCCACTGTTGAGCCCGAAGTCTCCACTGCTGGCCATTACTCTGGCCGTATTTAACCGCATGCTCGTGTTGTCTGCTTGGTTTCTGGTCCTTTACATTCATTTGTTTCTTGTGATGACCTTTGTGGCCTTGGTCAGAGTTCTGGGTGGGTAACGTATCAGAGCTGGTGCTGATCTCCAGCCTCTTGCAAACTTGCCCTCGGTCCATGCCCCAGGACCACAGCTCCACATCCACCCTGCACAGCTCCACCTGGAAGCCGAACTTCAACGTCACCTGAAAAGAATCATTCACGAAGGCGATTAATATATTAGTAGTGCAGCTAGAGATCCAGCGTCATCGCCATCGTACCTGTACAGGTGGCCGTAGGAAGTACTCCAGCTTGAAGCCCCGCCTCCGCAGAGTAGGGTCGGCTGACAAAAGGTTTGTGACATCATAGCCATCTGCACAAAGCTGCAAAAATAAGTAATTTTGCTGTTGTAATACATGGAGGGGAGGTGACAATATAAAGACAATGTGGAAAAAAGGGACGGTACGAATTAAAATATCCATGAACATCCGTCCTCTCTAGTGAGGAGAAATGATTGTCATTGTAAAAAGAACATAGCAAGGTCAGCTGGGATTCAGTCTCCCACGCAGCGCTTTGTCCGTCTGCTTCTTTATTTTCCCGTCTACAGTATGAACAACCACTCCATCGCTAGCTATTTTTTGCTTAACTTTGTTGATTCTTCCTTTTAAGTCTTTGTCACGTATTGGACAAACTGACAGGAAAGCATAACATGTATGTATTAACTAAAATGTATGTACTACAATCAACACGTTAAAGGAGAAAGGCACCGGCAAGTCACTACAAAATGTAAACCCTACTTTGGTGTCTCATCCAAACCTCCTAACTTAAATTCACTTGTCATTTTTTAGCAAATTGATCAAAACTCTGGAAATTAAGAAGATCTTGGCTTGATAATAATGACCATAAATATAAAACAAAATCCTTTGTCAGTACGACAATGAGGATATTTATAATTTCCCTTTTTGGGATCAGTGGGCTGCCATGAGACGTCGGGGAGACGTTCTGTGTGAGGGGTCTTAGGAACACTTACAACCCTGCGGTTGCCGGAGGACCCTCTACAATCCACGCGCAAAGGTCCCCCCAAAAGAAGGCAACAAGTACCCCGAGGAAGATACAAGGACAATAAGTTACCTTGTTGCATTCAACTGTCGTATGAAAGGCCGGCAGACAGAGATTCAAAACCATATTCTCCAACCTGGGAAGACATATAGATTGTCATCAACAATATTAGTTCTACAAGGTGCGCTCGTGTAGTTTTTCCATCTGGACTATTACTTATAATTCAACAAAATCAACACAGAACATAAACTACTAGCTGCCACTGAGGTTAGTGCCGATTAGTCAAACAACATTAAATAAATACGTATAAACAAGTAAGAAATGCCTGACATTTTCTGTTTACAGCTTCTCAAATGTGAGGCTTTGCTGTGTTTGTTTATTTTACATCGCTTGAAATTGAAACTCGGCACCTCCTTGGACAAAATAATATGTTCCAAAAAGTATAATCCAACATTTTCTGGAATAAATAATTGTTCATGTATAAATCATACAATTATTAAGTGCTGAAAAGAATGAATAGTAGCAGTTATTAGTTTCAACAAGTCGAAGAACCAGCCTGAATTACGTTACACAGGAACTAAGAAATTCAGTTCATGTGTAACGTAATTCAGGCTGAACTGCATTCAGCAATTTAATTGATCAAACCAATAAACTATTAAATAAGGAAATAATACGGATTTGACAGATCAAAACGTTAAAACAGTCAGTTTATCGACTTTACAGATATATAATCTTAGCCCCGACGTTGAAGGCTTTGGAGCCAATAACTTATCAATAGATACCCTAAAAAATATATATAACGTTATATTTGCAAAAGCTGAAGTGCAGCGTCGTTCATAGCATGGCTAGTTTTGGAATACATGTAACGTTAATGCACACACAAATACACGTTAGCTAGCAATGTGATATCGGGTAAGACAGCTAATTCACACTGACACACACAGACAACATTAACATTGGGTTGGTAAACTAAAGTATACAAAGCTTACGTTGCTTGTTCGGAGACAAAATGGGCAGTTTTCACTCTAAATTTGACTCCTGGACCACTTTAGCTGGTGGCTAACAGCTACAAGCCATTAGCTAACGTTAATGTAGCCAGCACAACTAAGGAAACACAGAAGGGACATACAGATAATTAAAAACGCGAAGTGGATCAACGGATGCAACTTGTCAACGGATGCAACTTGTACATCGTAAGAATAGGCGTATGCCTACGTGTTTGTATTCCCCACCAAAGCTCAGCCCTTTAAACGTTAATCATTTTATTTTAGAAATCTCCAATTCAAATGCTTTTTGTCAAAGGCTAGACTGTCTTGCTTTTTGTCTTACTTTTCAGAGATGAGTCTTTGTCTACTTGCAGGTCAACATGGTCGCCCAGCGTCACAAAACCCAACCTAACATATCCAGGGCTTTTAATTGTGATCAGGAATCAGGAAACGGGAATTAGGAAGCATTTATTACCAACATATGTCAGACATAGAAGGAATTTGACTTGGTTGCTGCATAACATCAGACAGTAAGACAATGGACAACAAGACAGATAAGACAACATAGTGCGAGAGGAGTAAAATAAAATATGAAAGGCTATGGGTTAGGGGGATAAAGAATAAACAATTTAAATATAAAGGAATAAAAGTTAAAAATAAAAAGTAAAAAATAAAGTGCACCAGCGAACAGATACTACTACACAACTGTGTTGTGAGTGTATGTGAAAGTGACAAGTGACAGGTGTACTATGTGCATGTGTAGTGTGAAGGGAGTGATCGGTGGAGAGGGATGTCAGTCAGTGGGGTCCCGGGCTTTGTTGATGATGCCGACGGGAAGAAACTGTTTGTGTGGCCGGAGGTCTTGGTCCTGATGGACCTCAGCCTCCTGCCAGATGATACTCAAAACATTTAATCTGGGGAATCGTTTCAAAGCTGATTTAACCACAGATGACAAGAAGTGCTGAATTATTCACATATCTTTATTAGTTCTGCTGAATTTGAACAAAGTGGTGGTTTTAATCAAGCCAGAACAATACTAGTAACATAAATGCAAACAATAAATCCGAAACATGTATAAAATTAGTAGCATTTTGTTCTCTAAACAATGCAATACTGTAACTACATTTATCACATCAAAAGGAACATCATTTTTGGACAGGGTTGCTATGTTTGCACCATCATGATAGGCCGTTAGACTATCTACACAGTTAAAGAAAAACACATAAAGGAAAGCTCTAATGGCAAATATTTTCTTGGTCAGTTCACAATAATATAATAACAGTAATAAAGTTGATAATACTATTTAATACCTTAGAGATAAGTTAATTTTCTTGAGAAACATCTTTGTATGCTTGCGAAAACAACACATATAAAAGCCATGATATTCACATCTGAGTCTACTGTACATCATAACTCGGTTGTAGGACACTACATAGTGCAGTTAGCCTGAATGCTCCCTTAAAAACACGTAGACGTTCCATTTTTCAGGTTTTTTTTCCTTTCATCCCCCTTCTTTGTCTAAAGGAACTATACAGAAGAAAGTAGAGTTTCCAGGTTATACAGACTCCCCAGTTTCCAGTTTCACTACCCTTGAAATAAGTTTTCATGTACATTTTACTGTACTTAACTGCCCCCCCTCCACCCTGCCAAACAAAAGAAATAAAAAAACCTTTGCGCTCAATATATCTTTCTTTGCTGTATTGCCACTAGTCCCTCTATCCTCAAGCTCATAAGCTGAAGCTCTTCATATGTATACACACATGCACACACCCATTCTCCCGCGCACACGCACACATTCACAATCTATAGCTATTATAATAATTTATTTCTAGTGTATCATACATTCTATAAATTTCATTTTAACTTTGGGGATACTGACTGATTTCTGAGATCTCTTGGCTGTAAATGCACAAGGTGAATGACACAATTATCATAATAACTAAATTCCAATTGTGTGCTTCCATTCACATTCCTCTTGCGGTGCAATAAGAAGAAATTTGAGCTGACAGCAACAGCCCTCCGATGACCTCTAGTGTTGGTTTTTAGTCACCGCAGACGATCCGCTGAGAAGGCAAATCAGGTTCTCCCACGTCTATAAACATATTCTATATTTAGTTGGGGTTGATAATCTGCTAAACATATCCATTTCATTCAGTTTGTAGAAAATATAAACTCTGTTGGTATTGATGGTGCATTTAAATGAGTCATGCATGTTGGACCCTGTGCATGAAATAAACTCAATCAAGAATAATCCGCCTGTGTGACCTTCAACGGCGATATCTGCTGGTATTTAAATGAAATTGTCCAGCCATCTGTAATCACTTTGTCTAACTGGTTTGCTGATATTATAATTAAAGCACCAAAAATGATAATCACACACTTGATTCTTTTTTTATCATCTGTTTCCAGCATTAGCATTATTTTCGTATACGTGCTGGAAAAAAATGGAGTAAGGCGCTCTCCGGCCAAAAATGCAAGTTAACATCACACACTCTGACCACTATTTCTACTTTTACATTACCAGTGACACAGACTTACAATGAATAAATACCGCATAATGTTCTGGTTGATGATTTCTGACAATATCCCTGATTGTCTTGGTCCTTTTCTAGCATGGGCATGAAATGACCCCCTGTGTTAGTGCTGTCATCTAAACATTGTCATTTAACATTTAGATTTCTGCCATCCATCAGTGTGGCACACTTCTCGTGAACACTGATTCGGTAGGATGTAGTAGTGTGCAACTTGTGAGAGAAAGGCTGCTTAGGAGGTTGAAAAATCATTGATAGATTGAACATAGTTCAACTGCTTGTTACTGATAATGACGGATTATGCAGTCGCCGCTGTTGCTGTTTGGTGTCTTCAGTTCCTTCGAAGAGTATGTCACACTGTACCGATCTATTCTATTGTAGACTGAAATGTTTTCAACTGTACGCTGAAGTGACCGGGCTTGTATCAAACTGCACAATTGTTCGTGGATCCGTCTCTATATCTCCGTGGACTCTATCCTCTCCAGGCGCGAGGGTCCTGCCCAGGGATTGGCAAGCTGGTGGAGGGACGGAGGGCCCTTCTGGTCCTCACAGGGAGGGGAGATGGTGAGGGCGATGGGGCCAGAGAGAGAGGGTGTGGTCTGGGGAGACAGAGGTGAGAGAGCCGCTGGTGGGGGCGGAGAATTGGAGGAGGTGGGGGAGGTGGTGGTGGTAGTGGTGATGGTGGTGGTGGTGGACGTTGTGTTCGGTTTGGCTCCCAGCTGGGTCATGCGTTTTTCCAAGGCTTGGTTCTTCTGCAGCGTCTCCACGTAGCTGAGCTGCAGCTGCGCCTGGTATTTCAAAACCCGCTCCTTCTCGTCCTGCCAGGTGTGTCGCTCGTGGTCGAAGTTCAGGGCCTGGCGCTCCCGTTGCTGGCGCTCCAGCCGCAATGCGGCCTGCAGCTGCTCGAGTTGTCTGCGCAGCTCCCCAGCCTCGTCCCAGTGACCTTCCTGTCCCCGCTGGGGCTGGTGGCCGTCCTGACGGAGTTGCACCTCCTGGCAGAGTTGGGCCTCGTGACGCAGCTGGGCCTCCTGGCGCATTTGGGCCTCGTGGCAGAGCTGGGCCTCCTGACGGAGGTGGGCCTCTTGGCGGAGCTGCACCTCTTGGCGCAGCTGCGCTTCTTGCCGTAGTTGGGCTTCGTGGCGGAGATGAGCCTCCTGACGGAGCTGGGCCTCCTGGCGCAGTTGGGCGTCCGGTCTGATTTGGGCATCCTGGCGCACTCGCATGTCCTGTTGCATGTGGGCATCCTGCCGCTGCTGCGCGTCGCGCCATTGAGCTTCTTCGCGTTTCTGCCTCTCCTGCCTCTGGGCTTCCTGCCTTTGGGCTTTGGCTTCATCGCTCTGCAGACTCAGCAGCGTGTCCGACGTGGGGGTGAGAGAGTTGGTTGAGGGCTCAGTGGGGTTTCGTGGGCAGTGGACGAGTCCCCACGGTGGCAAGAGTCCCGCCGCAGCTAAATTGGGGCTCACCACAACTTCTGCTCCTCTGCTCACTTCATTGAGAGCCCGCTTTAAACTAAGCACCTCTGCTTCAAATACACCCAGCTTCTCTCTCAGGATGGACACCTGCAGGAAGGAAAATATATACAACAGAAAATTTCATTCAGTTTTACTTTTTTTTTATTGGGGACTAATATTGATGACATTAGGCATATTTTGTTATACACACATATACATAAACATAGGTACTGTGTAAACACAGGCTGTAAGCCGTTAAAACAATTACAGATTTGTTGTACATATATGCATGAATGCATGCGCGTACAACAAATGTGTACAGGAAAGCAGTGGGCCATAATGCATCCTGGAAAGCAATGATCTGAGCCAATGCAATGAGCATATTAAAACCGTTATGTGACATTTTATTTTTAAACTTGCTTACAAAGGTCCATAACTTTTGTTTTTAATCTTGGGTTTCTGTGTCACTTTCCCCAGATAAGAAGGTGTGATAAATGCATTTATGGCACTTGAAAGGAGAGGAATATTGGTTATAAACCTAGTGCCTATTTAGTGATGAAATATACACCATTTGTGCATATTGTATTGGAGCTGCAGATGAGCTCATTAAGCCGAAAGTAAAAATAATGTTGCCTCTGTAATATATAAAGTTCGTACAATTTGTCCTCATCAAGTTCTTAAAATCCGTTGGAAGTGAGCAAATGCCCAACAATCCAGGTGTAGTGGTGAGCATCCCAATCGAGCAAACTGGTTGTTAACTCTATTTTGACCGCTCTCCATCATAGGCCATCATCGGTTTCATGCTCTTATTGGGGTGACATATGACATGTATTGTTTTTAGAAATAGCTGAAGAACAGATCAGATACAGTGAGAACGATGTTCTTTCCATAAATATATACAATTCTACACTGATGACATTAGATTATCCAATCAGATACTGGGACAATTTATTGGGCTTAAATGTTTTTTAAACTATTATAGAGGGCACTTATTAGATCCCATTTTGGCTGACTGGTGATAAAAGCAGATGTTGTTCATGTTATTGGGGTACTGAGAAGCACTGTGTGTTGGATAACCTTACCAATTGTGAAATGCTGTCATTACTTTTGAAAAAAGTATTGTCGATGTGTGTAAATGTTTGCGTTTTCCTTTACCTCTCGGAGCCCGCTGAGTATTAAATCAAGTGTAATTGAACACTCACCTCTGACAGAGTCCTCCTCAGCTCTCCCTCACACTTCTCCAGCTCCACGCTCTTGGTGCTGTAGGAGTCCTTCAGTCCCAGCATGGTCTCCTCCCGCTCCCTCAGCTGTGCATTGAGCTCCTTCAGCTGGCCTCTCAGGGCCACCATCTCTCCAGCTCGCTGGGTCACTTCCGCCTGACTCTCCCGCAGCTGCTGCTTCAGCAGCGAGATCTCTCCCGCCTTCTGACACACCTGCCGCATAACGAACAGGTAAGTGGGCGAGCGGCATCATTTTTTTTGCGTTCAGTCGTGTCACGTATTTGAGCTACACATGCTCCCGTTCGCATTGCGTGAAAGCGGGGAGGCTTGACACGCACCTTTAGCCTCCACGGTTCAGTCCACCATGGTGGAACCCTGATTACATGTTACTCAGCCGGCCGAGTCATACACTCATATCTCACCTCCCACTTGGTCTCCTCCAGACGAGGCAAGATGTCAGCCTGCTCCTTTCTGTAATCCAGACACTTTCTCTCCAGCTCCTCTCTTTGGGCCAACAGAGCCGCCATCTCCTCCTGGAGCCTCCTCTTGTCCTGGGACAGACGGCCTATCTGTGCCTGCAGGGCGGTCTGGGAGCGCTGAGCTCGACGGGTAACCTAGAGACAACAGGTACACACGCGTCGTGAGTTTTAACAGTCCCCTTATATATGTGGAACATACATGTGTGTGTAGTTCCAGCCCTGCCCGTTGAGTGTTTAAAAAGCCTTGATACTGCCTCCAAAATATACAATTAAAACGACTTTAAAGAGATTCCGTTATTGCAAAATAAAGTGAGGCCACTTCTTGAGGGTCAAAATATGCAGTGAGTTCACCTGCTGCAGACGCGAAGCGTAGTTCTGTCTCAGCTCGTCCATCTGCCTCTCCCAGACACGTTGCTTCTCCTCAAACACCTGAATGATTGCTGCCTCACTTTGGTCCAGGTTTCTGCGCATATGCTGCACCTGGAAGAACAGAAGGCCACAACAACAGCCAGTTAAAAAGTAAAAGTTCAAGAAGTCCAACTCGGATCAAACATAACATTACATGCCATTTAAGCTGACGCTTTTAACCAAAGCGACTTACAATAAAAACAAACTTCTTAAAATCTGAACTGATCCTATAAACGCTCAAAGGTATCCTGCTCTTTTTTGAAACCCAATAATTGCAAAGCAGCTGCACTGTGGGACATGTCCGAGTGACCTCTGACCTCTTGCTCTTTCTCCCACAGGCGGTCCTCGAGGTCCTGGATGACGTCGTCGGACGAGGGGGAGGGGCGCAGAGGCGCTGGGGCGTCGCTCAGGTGGCTCAGCCTCTGATAGGACGAGGAGCTCTTCCCCGAGGAGGACCGGCCGCTGTCTGAGGCGCTGAGCCCGTTCTGCGGGAAAAGACCACGGCACGACACATCAGAGGTTGCCGACGGCAGGGCGCGTCAAGCAGCAGACTGCGCGAGTACATGTAAGATGGCCGTACCTGGTAGCCAGGCTTTTCGAGCTTGTCGAGCCCTGCAGTTGCCCCAACCATGCCCAATCTGTTGATGTGGCTGGTAGACGCACTGAGAGGCCCCAGGACGGCCGGGGGCCCACAACCGGAGCCCGAGCCTGTATAGGTGGGCAGGCTGGTCAGGGAGTTCCTCCCTGAGTCAGACATCCCTCCCTGAACCACCTCAATACCGCTTCCCCCGCCCTCAGTTCTGCTGACCCTCACTGGACTGTCCTGGTCCAGGAGCAGGGCCTCTGGGACCTCTCCTGATTCTGCTCCTGGTCCATCCCTGCCTCTCCTGCCTCCTCTGCTCTCACTGAACCCTTCACTCCTTGCCTCAGTCTTTCCCTCGCTCCCAGCTCCTCCTGCCTGGCCCACCAGGTTCTGCATGGAGTGGAAGCTCTTGGGAACCACCGGCTTGAAGGCAGAGGGACGAACGAGGCCCGAGTTGTTCTGCATCGCCTGGGACAGAGACGGAGGTAGAAATAGAGACAGAAAAACAAGAGAGAAATGAATGAATTAAGTGTTTATGGTTAGGTTTTAGATTTTTATCAAGTCTACGTCAGTACGATACTTGTCCATGAAGGGTTTTGATTTGGTCTTTGGTTAGTTCAAATCATTCTTCTTATAAATACTGGCCTTCATACGATCTCTTTGTAACGTGACGGCAGTCCCAGATGACCAAATAAAGTGGCCAAAGTTTGGGTAAAACTTCCCCCTTTGTGTTAGTAGCCCTTCCCACTAGCTCAGCAAGGACGCCCTGTTGTGCAAAAGGAGGCAATTTACCCTAAATACTGTAATTTTAGCCCAAACTAACATGTTTCACATTCTTCTTTTTGCTTGCACACTGTTTCTTCCATGAGCTGTGGAGGCGCAATAAGAAGACTTAAACACAGAAAACTAAAACAATTTAGGAGGGAGCTCAATATGATTCACCCACTCTGCCGCTAGTGCTGAAACCCCACAATGCCTTTGGCCGAAGAGGTAAAACTAAAAACTAAACATTTTAACAAGAAAACAAGCTTAAATAGTCGTGAAAAATAATGAACATCTCGTGAGGCAGAATTGAGTGTTCCACTATCTCCTAATCATCATCTCATCCCTTACGTCCATTCTACACCCGCCTCGACCGTGCCGACCCCCCAGGTTGGCAGCCACCGTTCCCTTTATCTTGAAGTACCTGCTCCAGTTTTCCCGACACTGGCAGGATCTTGGGCGGGTTGTGGTTGGGCGGGTTGTGGCTGCCTGGGTTGTTCTCACCCTCGGCTCTGGCGGCTGCCATCTCTCTGTGCTGGTGTTGGTGTTGGCTCATGCCGACGCTGCTCTTCTCGTTGGCTCCTCGTCCCACAATGTTCCCGCAAGCGTCTAGACCTGCGGCCTGTATTTCCCTCTCCCTCTCTCTCTCCGACCTCTCGTTCTCCAGCCTCTCCCGTTCCCTCTCCCGCTCTCTCTCCCTCTCTCGCTCCCTCTCCCTCTCTATCTTCTCCCTCTCTATTCTCTCCCGTTCCCTCTCCCTGGCCCTCTCCCTCTCCCGCTCCCTCTCTCGCTCCAGCCTCTCCCTCTCCACCCGATCGCGCTCCCTCTCCCGGTTCCTCTCCCTCTCGCGCTCCCTCTCTAGTCGCTCTCGGTCCCAGTCTCGGTCCCTGTCTCTCCCCCTCTCCCGCTGCCTCTCCCTCTCCCTCTCCCACTCCCTCTCCCGCCGGCCTGCTCCGTTGCCACACTCCAACTGGTTGTTGTTGGACGGGGCCGTCATGGTGCACTCAGTGTTGGTGGAGGAGGCTGTTTCGGTGGGCCGGTCAGTCCCGGTACAGGTCCCAGTCCCAATACTAACACTCCCTCGTTCATCACTAGAAGCCGTCCCGTCTGATATAGTCGCCGGTGGGCGGGGCAGTCGCTCTGCGCTGCAGCTGCGGTCAGCAGGGCAACGGCGAGAGAGAGGAGGGGCTCTTGGCAAGGTGGTCCTCGTACCCACAGACTTCATGGCAAACTCCTGCTCTCCTGCCACCCCACTGCCAACACTGCCCATAGTGGGGGTCAAAGGTCAGGGATTAGAGGTTAGGAGTCAGGATTGGGGAGGGTGACAGATACATTTGGAAGTAGTGTGGGTCATCACAACCTAATGCAGGTAGTGGGGGCACACACACTAGAGGAACACAGAAAAACGAGAGGGGTTATACAATATTATAATTGCATAATGACTGGTTATACAATAACAGCTAATGCAGAGATCACAACCCACATACAGGAGCAGCGCGTTCCTCCCGCCGTGACACAAATGAGACGGGTCTGGAAAGTTACAATGAGGCTGTAAGTAAAGTGCAATGATGAAACCTGTCCTTCGGCTAAATGATAAAATCACAGGGTTGGTTTATGACATCATTTACCATGTTTATAGTTATTAGTTAGTTAGTTATTTTTTGTATATTTTGTTTGTGTGCTTGAATAAGGTGATGCTGGTTGAAGTGGTCACACTGCATGACAGATTACACTGTATTTTGTGTACATCAATTTTATTGAACTGGAGGATGGTATTTGTTTGTTTTTGTTTTTTTGTATGGACACAAATACAGGAATATCTGTGTACAAGTCCAATTGAGTACTGTATAAAACAACAGCCCTGCAATAAATGTAATTTATGGGAAGCTTATAAGTTTTTGTTCACTCCGTATCTGATGCTGCTTCACTCTTTAGTGCTTCATGTGTTAAGATGATAATAATACCAAAATGATTGTTAAAAACAATTAAAATAAACATACCCCCAAACTATGGCCCAAAGCTGTGTCAATATCTCTCAAGGTCCCGGTATCAGCATCTCAACATTATAAAATACTCAAAAGAGCAATTCATTGCTATGCTGTTGTATTAGTTTGCATGCAGGTGCTCCTGTTCCGGTCCAACCCTCTGAGTGTTCACTGTGTTGCCACTTCATTAGCTGCAGCTAAAAGGGACGAAATCGAATACAACAACCCTGCAATCCATCTTTCCCTCATTAACGTTAAAATGTGGAGTTTTCCTTGAAACTGTCTCAGCGATTCAACTTGACGGTCACTTTAGAGGATGTGGTTTGTGGTGCTTTTGAATTTTATATTGCGTGTTACAGCTGGACTGTGTCACAATCTACAAAGATGCCTTTACTGTTTACGGTACCCTTAGTTGATATCATGTATATTATTTTGCGTATTCACCTTTTGACCAAATAATCATATGATGATCAATCATCATCTTAGTATATAAACAGTGATTCAGATGTCTTTCGTCTATGTCTTTCGCCTGGTAAAAAACAAAAAACAAAAAATGCACGAAGAGAGAGACACCTCTCGGTGTTTCGCAATGCAATTCAACTTCAGCGCAAACTGCAGCCTCCCACGATGAATAAAACAGAATACATAAACTTGGTGAAGGTGGGATTGATTGCAGGAATGTTGTGCTGGGTACTATAGGTGCAGGCCTACATGCGCCGGCCAGTATATGGCAGGCCGTTTTGTTTATGTGTCATCACCAACGTGCAGCATTACAGAAATCGCCCAGTAGCACGTCCCCCCTGGTATAGACAGACAGATAGACAGGCAGACAGGCAGACAGACAGAGACGCAGTCATGCCCGTGCACCTCCCCGTCTCATGCCCGTTTACTAGAGGCTTACTTCCACTTGGGTGAATAGTAGTAGTAGTATCTGTCTGCTGCTCTGCCTCGACCCCCTCCCCTCACGACTCCCCCACTTCTCTCTCCCTTTTTTTTTCTCCTGCTCTCCCCTCCCTCTGCATCCCTGGGCGGCAAGGGCGGCTTTAGCAGCATCCGCATCGAGCCCCGAACCGACTGCGCTCCTGAACAATTACTCGCTAGGCCCCGTGACGAGAGGCAGACGCACGACCCTCGCTGAATCCAAAAAAGCGAAAACCTCCACCGCGTCCAGATTAAAATGCACAGCGTCAGTGACATTGACGACAGTGGCTTTGATTTACCGATTGCAGCGCCCTGGCGGTCCATCATCAAAGGGCTACTCACTGTTTTTGCAGCTCCGGCGTTCTGAAAGATGGCAGCCTCAATAAAGGATGTTGTCGGAGGACGGCAACGTCAGTCCCGGTCGGCTCTGAATTATTCTGCGCTGTTACTGCGGGTCGGTAATATCGGGGACGCTGTCTTCGACCGCTGTCAGCGTCGGATGCTGATGATGGAGTCGGTTGATACGCGCATCAGCTGAGAGACACACACCCACCTCTGGCCCCGCCCCTCAGGCCGCATGATGCACACGCCCCCTTTAGGCATTCGTCCAGTGCTCTCCCTCGGGAGAAGCCTACGGAGTCATGTTCCGTCGCCTGGATGGATGGATGGATGGATGGATGCAGGTGGATGAGACTGACGTGATCCTAACCGACAAATATTTTAATATATGGTGGTGGAGGAAGTCTTCAGAACCTCCATTTACGTAAAACCACTGACATCACCCTGTCAAGTAACTGAATATTATTATTATTACTCATGCCTGATTTTACTGCTCTAAATGGTTGAGGTGGAGCTATTTTTTTAAAACAATTTTGCTGACTGCGGCTTGTGATGACTTTCCTTATTCATTGTTATTTCCCCTAATTGATTACTTGTTTGGTTCACTCAGGGCCCAAAATAACACCTTGCCAATACCTGTTTAGTGTCCTGTGCAATGTCTCATACATTTTGAAGTAGCATATTATAAAGCTGAAGGGAATTAAAAAGTACAAAATGTGAAATGTAGAAGTAGGAAATTGTATGAAAAAAATATGTTTACACAGTACTTGAGTAAATGTATACCGTCAATACCATTTGAGCAATTTTTAATGGCTCACACACTTCCCATTATGGAAGTCTATACGTGTTCTGTTGTTTTACTCAAGGTTTTGTTAGTCGAGTGTGCGGCCCGTTAGCATGGAGCTATCTTTCCTTATGATTATGATTATAATATATACCTATAATGAGGTATCATCTGAGACTGTTGGAAACATTTTCTTGAATTCTCGCTACTTTTGTCTTTCAGGATTTGCATTGGAATTTTTTTTTGTATGTTTTTTATCTCATCTTCTGACATCTGTTATTTATTGGAAGTTGTCCATTGGGGGGCAGTGGTGTTGTGTATTAGCTGTGACATTCGCAGCTGCAACCCTCCTGTAGGTGTGAAAGACACTGGCTACGTCTCTGAGGCACAGGGACACTCTTTGGCCGCTGAGAGACGCTACGTCCCAGCTCAGCTAAGTCTATGTGCTGACTGCCTAGAACATAGCTTTTCCTTGTTTATGCATATTAATAGATGGGATGTACATGTTTGCCGTGCTTTACTTTACTGTTATTGCAGCTTTTTTATTTATCTGCCTACCTTTGGAGTTAGAATTACTGCTAAAGAATCATGAAGAAACACTGCCATTGTTGACCTGTGAGTAAAGTGCAGTGGTATCTATTACTACAGACGCTGGTTACTTAATGCCTCCTTTATTTTTAAAAGGCTTGGCTTCTTGCTCGGCTTGCAGATGTACTCAGCTTGTCAGTCTCGGCAGCGTTTAAACCAGCTACCATTATTGTGATTTGTGCAGCAACCATTCCATAACTGTAGGCTAGAGGCAATAAACACCATTTACAATACATTTTAAAAAATCAATTCAATGTTTTTTTTGTGATTTATTTATTGCTCTTAAAATCTATTTGGAAGTTTAGCTAAACTGCTACTTTGTATTTTTTGGTTTTCAAAGAATTGGGGGTCAGAAGTCATGAGTGACACATGAGGCTGCCTTCATGTACTCTTTCCTGCAAATTTATAATTTTAGTTAATAATCAAAAAGCTTTTGAACTTTGAAATAGTGTTTAAAAAGAAGCCTCTGAATGTGTTGAACAGGTATTTCCAATTTGACAATGTTGGATATTAAAGAACAAATTGCTTCTTTTTCTTTTCACTCTGAACTAACATGCAATGCGTTAGTTCTGCTTGCAGATTGAGATTATAAAAGCAGCTCAGTGTTCACGTGTTTCTCACAAGATGACAGAAACGGCTGCCTCTTATTCCCCCATTTCACATCTTTCAAGTCCTGTTTCCTTTTCTTTTCTCCCACTTGACCATTAGTCTTTCCCCCCACTAGTGAAGATCTCTCAAGATGCTCGACGTGACAAACCCCCGGACTCTGGGCCGCAGTATCTGCATCATCACAGGAGCCTCCAGGGGATTTGGAAGGGCGCTGGCACACGAAGTAAGTGAGTGATTGATGAAAAAAAAGGTCAAATGAGAAAGACTGGCAAACAAAAGAACTGTCTTGGACCTGTCCAGGTGTCCCGCTGGCTGCAGCCTGGCTCTGTCCTCCTGCTGGTGGCTCGCTCTGAGACTCTGCTGCAGGAGCTGAAGGGAGAGCTGTGGAGCTTCATCGTGGACCAGCAGTCGGCGGTTCACTGCGTAGCTGCTGACCTCAGCACGAGAGAGGGACTCGATGAAACAGTCAGGGTGGCGAGGCAGGAAGCTGTGACGGAAATGGATCGTGTGCTTCTGATCAACAATGCCGGTGAGCCTCACGTTTCTTTTTCCACGTTGTTTTGCCCCCCAGCGCCATCACATGACCCCGGCTTGCTTTCTATCGCTCTGACTTTAATCCCTCTATTTCGTTTCATTCCCACCTTTCTCTCCATCTTTCCCGCAGCCTCTTTGGGAAACCTTTCAAACTTTGCGACTTTCACCGGCATCGACGAGGTGAACTCCTACCTGTCCTTCAACGTCAGCTCTGCTCTGGTGCTGACTGCAGGGATCCTGCAGGCGTTCCCCCGCGTACCACTCCAGCAACGGAGCGTTGTGAACGTCTCGTCGACCTTCGCCCTGCGGCCTTTGCCATCCTGGGTGCTCTACTGCACTGCCAAAGCAGCCAGGGAGATGATGTTCAGAGTGCTGGCTGAGGAGCAGCCACATGTCAAAGTCCTCAGCTATTCTCCAGGTAGAGCCATGAAAAGAATCTGATAGGACACGTTGTATCAAGCACATGTGCATGTTATATATATAAAAAATCAAATATATACATTTTTTTTTCGGATTCCCTTCAGGTCCAATGGACACGGATATGCAGAGGGATATTCTAAGGTTAACAGGGGTCAAAAATCATCTGTTGCCTTGCCAAGAGTCTGCTGAAAAACTGGTGAAGCTGCTTCTGGACGATGACTTTGTCTCAGGTACCCACCTGGACTTCTTCGAACTGAAGAAGTTGACATCAAGAGATGACACAACAATGTAAGAGACAGAGGGAAGAATAATAGTGTTCAGTTCATGGAGATTATAGAGTGACACATGGCTAAATGTAGAAGGTCTGATGCTGCTGGTCTCGTGTTAAATACAGAAAAACAGAAAATAAAGCACAGTAGAGCAACTTCGTGTTAGTTTTATTTCTTACAGAACTCATGAAAAACGGACTGTCTATGGTTTCAGTTTTGATGATACGATAACTTTCACAAACTTGTTGGAAAATGAATCTGAAGGCCTTAAAGTTTGTGAAAACACCTTAATTATGGTGTTGTTTTTAATCAGATTTACTGTAATATTGATTTGGTTATTTTGTCATCTTAATTATGCTAACGGCATCATATAATTTAACAGTTTAGCAGTTTTACAGTTTTTTCCACTTCTTTTTTAATTTTGAATTACTAAAACCTTCTATTGCAATATTTGTATATTCTGTTGTCCTTGCTCGAAGCATAATGTTGGAAATAAATAGTCTTTAACCAAACTGTTCTATCTAGAATGTTTTTTTGACTACAGTTCATCCGTTGCTCTCGAGACACATAAATAGACAAATATACAAAAAAAGAACATTTAACATACATTCAACACATTTACGCATTTGGGATTTAACTTCATCAGCCTGTAGTTTTCATTTAGCTTTAACTACGAAGAGATCACCGACGTAATACGAATCTGGATTCATTACAGGACTGAGAAGTGCACTTTTAGAATAGAACTATCTTTGATGTCTTAGCGACAGTAAGTTGTAGAAAGCACCAGAACAGAGTAGAGGCGGAGTCAGCTCTGCTTCTGTCACACTCCTCGCAGCTGTCTAACGTCACCACCGACTCCTGATAGACAGACCCAACTGAGGGCCCGAAATAACCCCCAGGGCCCGGGGAACCTACCAATTCATGGTCGGGGGTGGGGGGGAGTTGCAGGACAAAAAGCCTAAAGTTTAATCACAAATGTAAATAAATGTAAGCATCTGAGAGAATAACGGTGAGTTTGAGTGGTTCTGCTTTCAGACAAGGCCGCTGGCTTTGTTGGCTGCACGTGACATTTCATATTCCAGTTGCCTCCACGTTTCTGTGACTGTTGGTGCCGTTCGAGGCTATTTCAGTACCTCGGGTGTGGAATGTCCAGTTGTCATTGAAGAACGGAGGTCACGGATTTGGTCCACGCATTCCTCAACTACCCCTCAGCTGCATTTAGCTCTCTACCAGCGAGGCGCTCATCGGCTCACCGCAGATCCCCCCGTTGCTCCGCGCCGCCGGAACCATTGCAGAATACATGGAGAACGTGGCGATATTTGACTCACCTGGAAAGGGACGGGGTCTGAAGGCGACCAAGGAGTTCTGGGCCGGAGACGTCATTTTTGCCGAGCCTAGTGTTGCAGCTGTTGTGTTTGACAGGTACAGTGCAATGATGGACGCTCAGTAGTGGGGGTGTTCTGATGAGGTGAAGGTGGGCAAAGTGTTGTCTATAATTTCCGTCTGTAAATCTAAAATGTGTTCACAATATCTTTCTCTTTCCTATTATGGATGTCCATTCACGTATATTCTCATGGTATCTCAATACAAGTTTTGAAGGAATTAAGTGAAATGGTCATCTTGAAGAACTTCAAAACTGCAAACTATTAGAACTTCATATAAAAGGAGAAAAACGGTTCACTCACAGAGTGACAACAAGTTAAAATCTTCCATTTACGACCAATTCACCAAACTGCTTCTCACTTTCACTGCAGCCTTCTAGAGCGTGTTTGCCACAGCTGTTTCCGCCAACAAGACAAACTCCAGAGGTGCGGCCAGTGCAAAGTTGCTCATTATTGTGACCGAACTTGCCAGCGTGCCGGCTGGGCCGAACACAAGCAGGAATGTGGTGCCATCAAAGCTTATGGAAAAACACCAAACGAGAACATCCGGTAAGTGGAGGGAAGAGAAAGTAACTTGAACATTGATTGGTTTTTTTTCTGTGTCTTTCAGACTGAGACATGTTTGGTAGAGTCAGTTTGTTCTATTAAATTGATAAAAAATGAGCTGCAGTTTTGGTGCAATGTAGATTTTGATCAAGACACCATGACTGCATTGAGCCACATCCAGTCACAAGAGCTCCGCTTAAGTCAACCAAGTACCGATAGTTTGGTTGCTTAAAAATAACCACATTGTTTTCTTTCAGTTTACAACCCTAATTATGTGTTTAAGAATATGATCCAAACAACTGTCAGCCAAGGCAGGGTTTGTAATCTTAAATTAAAACAATTCTGAACTCAGCCCACAGTTGGCAAAATCTTTCCAGTAAGAAAACATGAAGCCAAGTTGCTAAATTGCTATATCCAGCAACTAAGTTGCCAAGTCTGCAATACTAACAGTCCATCCCTTTAGGCCTCTCTCCAGAGGGCTTATCACATTCCTGCGACAGATGGCGGATTTTTTTCATTTATGGGCTTATCACATTCTGCAAGGCTGAATTAAGAAAGCCATGTTTGCTTGTTTTGCTGCTCAATGGAGCGGCTCGTTGTCAACTAGCGCAGCGAGCCGTTCAGACCACTTTCACAGCATTGCACTCCCGCCGCGCTCACGTCTCGCGTTGCTCTCAGAAAGATGTTCCAAATCTTACACCGATTATACGCCTTTTAAGTAGACGCTGACATCATCAATAAAACATTAAAGCTCATAGTAACATGTTTGCATGCACAGTTCTCTCCGGACCACTTGTTTCTCAGTCACCTATCCTATTCTTCTTTTGCTGTTTGTGGTCAGCTTGGCGGCCCGCATCCTGTGGCGCCTTGACAAAGAGGGGAGCATAATGTCTGACATGCAGCTCATCACACTGGACGAGCTGGAGGATCACATTCCCGACATGCAAGAGGACGATTTGAAGGACTTAAAAGTGGACATCCACAACTTCCTGGACTACTGGCCCCGTACCAGCAAGCAGCACAACATTGACGACATTTCACATATTTTTGGAGTGGTGTGTTAATATGCGCTATTCCTTTATTGGTCAACCCTCATTATCCCAGATTTGATCCAAAACCTTGTGACTCTATGTGAACATAATTTACACAGCTCTGTGTTCACACTAGTAATTGCCCTCTTTCCTTCAGATTAACTGTAACGGTTTCACTGTGAGCGACCAGAGGGGCCTTCAGGCGGTGGGAGTTGGTCTTTTCCTAAATTTGTGTTTGGTGAATCATAACTGCTGGCCAAACTGCACCGTGATCCTCAACCACGGCAAGTAAGTGAATCAAAACACCTCTTCCGTTTCTCCTTAAAGTAATTTGTTCCTTTGCTCATCTGAAATTGACTCAATTGACTGGTGTGTGTTTGCGTGCTGTTGTGTACCGTGTGTGAACGTGTGTTTACCAGGTTGCATTTGGTGTAAAACTGCTTCCTGTTTGTCTTTCAGTCAATCGGCTGTGAATACTATGTTTCATTCTCAACGGAGGTGCGTTACCTCAACCTCAGTCTTTTCAATTTATTAGAGCACCATTGAGACTTCATCAAAATGTCAACCTGCATCTTGAGTGCTCTAACCTTCATCCAAAGGCTGGAATGCTTTTTAATTTGCACCGGCTGAAAGCTCGTCTTTTTCAGCCACACATATTTATCTAACTGTTTGTCAACACGTAGCTTCTTTCACTCATATGCTGCTGGTTTGTCACTTTGTGTGTTTTGTCGATTGTGTGATTGCAGTCTGTCCATCATCAAGAAAAGCTTCTCTCATTTGTAGCCATTAGTTCACTCTAACCCCACGTTCCATAGGACATGGTAAAAACAACTTTTCCATGTAAATATACAATATCATTTCATTTTTAAGCCTTTTATTTGCTCTTTAAAACGTTGGACTATGTTGGTCAGACATTTTTTAAAATAAAGAATGCAATTCCCAAATTCAGTTTTGCATATTAGCCAAAATAAAAGATTGAAATGAATGAACAGAACTTTTAAGTGTGAAAAAAATCCTCCTTAACTTTCATTCCTTCAATCCTTCAACTGGATTGACAGAACCGAAAGCCACACGATGGAACTCAGTCTCACCAGCAGTCCAAAACTGTGAGTGAAAGACGACCAAATGAAGTCTGCTTGCTTTCCTCTCCCTCAGGATTGAGCTGCGGTCGCTCGGTAAGATCGAGGAGGGAGAGGAGCTGACAGTCTCCTACGTGGACTTCTTGAATCTGTCAGAGGAGAGGCAGCGACAGCTGAAAACACAATACTTCTTTGACTGCACATGCGAGCACTGCAAGAACCACATAAAAGATGACCTGAAGTTGGGGGGAGTTGCAGAGGTGGACGGAGTCAAGGTGCGTGTCCGTTGTCCTCGTGTGGGATTCTCATTGAGCGAGAGAACGGCTTCGTTACGGAAAAAAAGAGGAAAACCCTCTCAAAATATTTAGTGCCCCGTGATACAGACAGACGGGAAACAAGAGGAACAGAGCTGCAGCGACTATTTCAGATGATTCTGAATGAATTCACTGTGTTTAAGGGCCTGCGTTTATTCATGTGATGCATATCATTTAGTTAAAAATAGAAACTGCTTGTTAAAAGGTTAATGAACAAATGTCACGCAGTCACAATCCATGATCTTAATGTAGACACATCCCCTTGTTTAGTGTAGATTGTATGGTTGGGTCAGAAGTTATATGGATTCATGATCCCAACACCGACTAAACACTTAACTAAAACTGTTGACTTGTGACTAGATCATCTGATAATCACAATCATTTCTATGAAGGGTCTTGTGTGTGTGAGGAAACCTTGTTTGTTACGTTTGTCGTGGACGGAGCCCCTTCAGCAGGTTACGGTCTTGAGAAAAAAAATGATAATCAGGCATTTGCCTTAATGGGCCTAAAGACAAATCTGTATTGTCCTCAACGTTACTGTGAAGAGCTGGACACGCGTTCTAGAGCCTCAATTTTAAACTGTCTCCGCATGACCCACAACTCAGCGACATGACTGCCCATTTCTAAATAGTTATTCTAAAGGCTCTCATTGTTTGCGTGTTAATTCTGGCTGTGACCGGCGCCGCCCATCTTCATCTCTCAGCCTACAGAGGAGCAGGTGAAAGAGGCAACAGAGTATTGCTTTCAAATGCTGGAGAAGATGGAGAGCGCTCGACTAAAAGGCGACTACCATGAGGTGCTTCATCAAATAACCAACAATCAAATAAAAAGCTCGTGTAAAAGCTTCCGTGTTTCTTAAATGGATCTCACTTCTTCTCCAGGTGGTAAAAATCTGCAAGGAGTGCATAGAGAAGACAGAGCCAGTTTTGGCTGACACTCACATCTACCAGCTGCGGATGTGGAGCACATTAAGTGAGGTGCAGGCTTACCTGCAGTTCTTTACCGACGCTGCAGACTACTCCCGCAAAATGGTGGAGGGATACATGTGAGTACAGAGCTATTACAGATTTTTATACAATAATTAAGAAACAGACTTTAAACATTTAAAAAACCACAAACTTCCCCACACAGGAAACTGTACCCCCCGAACAATGCTGCTCTGGGAATGGCGTCGATGAGAGCAGGCGTGAGCCACTGGCAAGCTGGGGAGATAGAGGTCGGCCATGCGATGGTCTGCAGGGCCTACGCCATTCTCATGGTGACCCACGGTCCAACACATCCCATCACCAAGGACCTGGAGGTAAACTCCTCCCCAGACCGGGAAGCTTTCCTTTGTATCGGCTGAAATGCTCTTTTCAAAAGCAACTTGTAGGTTGTAGTTGGAAAAATAAGTTACAAGCCCACATTTGGTTTTACTTTGTATAACTCGCTGGCAGACCTGCCGAGCACTGACTCTCGCTGACCTTTCCGCAGGCCATGCGCGTGCAGACGGAGATGGAGCTGAGGATGTTCAAGCAGAATGAGTATGTTTACCACAGCATGAGGGAGGCGGCTCTGAAGAACAAGCCAATGGCCATGATGCATGAACCCAGGTCCGTGGACGAGGGGATCAAGAATCTCTTTCACCGGAAGAAGTGAAGATGAGCGAGAACAAGCCCAGGCGTTGGTGTGCGGGTCTGCGCGTTTAGTCACACGGTCATTTCCTGTTTTGTAGTCACGCTTTTCATTAAAAAGATGTCACGTCGGACTTGTGCACTTGTTTTGTCAAAATGCTTTAGAAAATGCCAATAGTTTTTCTTCTGTGGCTGAATAGATACTATCAAGTTGTGTGACAATGAATGGTTAATGTTCCAGGTTATGAATCCCATTGTGTACTGGAATGGGTCATTTATTACTAGTATGTAATACCTCAACCCTGAAAAGGGAAATGTTTAGTACCCCAATCAGCTTGTGGATAACTTTAACAGCACATGTGTAGCAAAACAGTGAAAATGTATTTTTGCTATAAACAATGCAATCCCTTTTGAATGGGTCAAGTGGACGAGAGGCATCTTACATTGTTCCTTTTTGGGCATTGTGAACTTATGTATTAACTTTCACATTCGGACCTTAAGGCACCGTAAGCATTGAATTTGGTTTTAACTTCTGCAACTGGCTTCTCATTTTGTCCATTGGAGACTTAAGAACAAAATCTCGTGGCATTGTTGGGAAACTAAAAATATCTAATTGGCAAAACAAGAACCTATTAATTGAACACAAAGCAGCACTGTTACTTTGCTAGACTCCCTGTAAAAAGTGGGGTTTTCTTTTTCAAAGCACTAGAGAGGAATTGTATATAAAAGTATAGCACTACACAACGCAGGGTTTGCTCAGCGTCAAAAAGGTAAACTGCATAGATTTGTGTTGTACATATCAAATTTTAAAAAGGGTTGGTTTTTATACTCCCATTTTGACAGACGTCGAGACAGATTCTCATTGGTTTGTGGGTGGACTTCAAAAAACAATGAGCTATATTCTTAAATAACCAGGCTCCAAATTAAAGACTAATGCTCATTGTCCAGGGAAAGATAGCATGCCTTCTCCTTTATGGCTTTTTGGACAGTAGTCCCTCTAGTGTTGTCACTGACAAACCCTACAGTGATTTGTAAATGAAAGATACAATGAGGCTCCCCTGCTGTCCATTGGATGATCCTGCACAATCTGCTGCCTGTGTTCGGACCAGGGCACAGAGTAGAGGACACACAGGGTCTATTAATGCTCCATGAACAAACGGAGATTCTTTCCCACAAAGACTGAGGAAAGTTGCAGTTATGACACAATTTATCTTTAAGGACAATGTACCTTTAAGGACTAATGATATTTTGTGTGCGCATGTCTAGTATGAGCGAGGTGCAGAAAGCAGAGTTGTTCGCCAACATAAGCAAATTTATTTCCCATCTTTTAGCACAAAATGGTATCATTAAAACTCCCTCCAGTCAATTTTAAAGCTTCCTTTAGCAAGTTAAATCCTTGCAAGTTAAATCTCCTGCGGCGCACAAGACTCTACCATTTCATAGCATGGACTTCAGTACATCAATGCCAAACACTTTTGAAACATTTATTATCTCAAGTACAGAAGTTTACATCCGTTTGCTTGTTCTCTTGTACACAATGCTGCCGAGAGTTATAGTCTGGGGCAGAAGAAAAAAAAAAAAAAAAATTAGAAATGCTTTTGGATTCTAGAATGAGTCACAATGTGTCGTTTACTTACATTGACAATCGTGTTTTTATCCAGCAGTTCCGTCACAGACTCCATTCCCTTCAGGCAGACCGTCAGCTTGTTGCCATCACGCTTAACCACCGCCTGACAGAACAACGTTCAGTTTAAACATGCCATTCCACTACCTTTGAATTCTGCATTCTGAAACCCGCCGGCCTGGCTTACCTTGACCTTCTCCCCAGTGATGGTCTCTATCTCCGCTTCCTGGCCGATCTTGAAGGTGTTGACGAGGACCTTTGAGCCGGTGGTGACCGTCACTTTGAAGTTGTCGCCGTTCTCCTCGATCTCAGAAATGCTCTTAATATCTTTGCCTTTCTGGATGAGATCATCAGGGAGACCTCGAGACAGAAGCAAATGGAGAAACAAGCCATTAGTGATTACTAAACAAACATTGCGGTGGTTTGACAAAATATCCATGCAAACCCTTTCAAAGTCTTCTGATCAAAAAGACGTCTCTTCTTACCAACAGCTTTCATGAACGCCTCAAAGTTCTCCTGAGTCTCCAGCTGGTACTTCCCAGTGAACGACATGGTGTCAGACAGCGAACGCAGGAAGCAAAGTGCTGGTCTGTCTCTTTTATGTTCTCAAACTGCAGGGCTGCAATCATTAACCACAGGTGTCTCAAATTTAGGCAACTCCCCCCTCCCCACACTCTCCTGGTGCCACCACGAGAGAGACGAGGACGGAGAGATACAAGAGAGTGACTGGGACTCAAGTCAGCTGGCAGAGTTGAGGAAAAAAATGCCTGTTCACCCACAGAGTGTTAAATTGATGATGTCATCACACAGCACAACATCTGGTGACTTGGTAGCTGAATCAAACTCCAGATGCTGATGACTGGACACACAGTTGCGGTCAAATGTAATTTAGCTGCTTTCCTTCTTTTCATCCCTTTTCTCTTTGTCCCACTTTCCGTCAACTCTGTCACATCTTTCCCTCAGTCCTTTGTTACGTTTGTCCTTGTTGTACTTTCTTTCTTGTCTTTTTCAGCGCACGTCTCAGAGCCTTCCAGAAGCTGGCGTTTTAGAGAAAAGGTTCTAGCTGAGAACTGAATGTTTAAATCTTTATTGCCTGCAAGCAATCGGAGCATATGAGGGGAAACATTTGCGTTTCTTTTTTCCTGAAACGGGGAAAACAAACCAAAAACATTTTTAGGAATCCTGCTAACAGTCTCAGGTTAACAGGAAAGCAAAGTGTTTTTTTTCTATTTTTATACTCCTATACAGTGTCCTAATGAACAGATGAACATCAGATTACGTCGCTTTACCCCTTGTGAACTCTAGACTATGTGACATTACAGGAACCTTTACTCAGGTCACCAGATTCAAGATAAGATATGTGAAAATAAGGCATCTCTCACAGTGCAGACTACCGCCTGACAAAGTGATACGATCCGTGCATGTCAACATGCTGTCATCGGGGTTTCTCTGTGAATTCCTCAATGTATTTCCTTTGTTTTTGGAGTTCACTGTTAGAGAACCACAAATAACAATAAAAAAATGGATCAAAGGTGAACACAAAAAGTACAAGATAACGGTCATAACTGCTGCCAAAATAACACACACACACACACACACACACACACATCGTCATGGAAGGACTCTTTGAATTAGGCAGAGCTGAGCATTCTGAAGAGATAAATAGCGCTGCGGTCTTTGTACGCCTTCCAATAGGCCTGCTGATAGTGGAGTATTTTGTAACACTGCAGCCCGATAAGCTTCACGCTGATTTGTCCTTTGCTCCAAAACAAAAACGATTCACTGATTTGGTCAGGCGGTTCTTGAACAAAAAAACAACAACTTTCATAATCTCTCAAAACTTTATTTCGACATGCAGGTATGTGGATGACCACGATCAATACTCATCCTTCTTTTAATACATAAAAATATATGTTGACAAAAGGCACTCTACACAAGTACGCCGGGGGACGGAGCAACGACAAACATAGAGGTACAACTAAGTGAACTGCAAACAGGAGTCCCGCGTCGTCTCTGCGGCTGAGCGGCCTCCTGGCGGTCAGCGGCGGCTCATTGGTGAACTCGATGGGGAGAATTGAGACGAGCCAGGTGCAGGATCCTCAGGATGATGTCACCGGGGTCGCTGCCTTCAAACTGACCGGCCTGCTCGTCTCCTTCGTCGTCCACGAGGCAGGATTGATCTGTGGTGCAGCTTTCTGTAAAACATGATAAATAAATAAGGAGTTATCACTGGGAACTTTGTCATGTGTTATTGCAGACTTCACAATGTGTTGTTATCGGGTTTTCTTCTTGAACCACAGCCGTGAACCTTTCAGAACAAGAGGGCAAAGACTTTGTTCATTTGACGTCCAGGGATTTGTTTCTTAGCTGAAACAAAGCTTGCGATGCAGAATGATTTAATAAAGTACTGTGCTTAAGCTTTTAGGTGTGTTTATTGTTACTCTAAACTTTTACTCAACTGCGTTTCAGAGGGAAATTTCTTAACTCCAGTACATTTATTTGACAACTAGTCACAGGCACTTAACAGATTCAGATGTTAAACATCTACCATGAGCACATGAATTTCAATGCGTGCAATGTCATTAGCATCCAGATGTTAACTCCAACGCTGACTTCCTTTAAACTAATGCTGCACATTATAGAGTCAAGCTTTAAATGCAGCACTTTTATACTGACAGAGGGCTTCTTTTACTCTAAATGCTTCTTCCACCACAACCCAAATATAGTTCAGGACACCCTGACCTGAATCGCAGCAGACACCCGAAGCAGCGCAGCGTCCCCCGTCGGATCCGCAGGGCCTCCCTCCCGCCTGGCAGGGGGTGAGCAGGTAGTTCTCCTCCCCGCAGCGAGCCGTTTCCGGGGAGCTCAGCAGGCAGCCGAGGCCCTCCCCGCAGCAGATACCGGGGCCGAAGCAGCGGCCCCTGTCTCCGGGGCCACAAGACATGCACTGGAGGAGCAAATGTTTGATCATTACGGCTGTTGTTCAGAATATGCAGGTGCTTTTTCAGCACAGTGCCGAGCATTTCAGGTGACCTACTGTTTGTGTCCCCGAAGGGATATTTCGCTTTTGGACTGAACAAATCTAGCAGGTCTCTGTCAGTTTAATGTTTCTTGGAATATAAATCAGTGAAAGCAGCTCACCTTTCGCAGCGGTGCATCCATGATGGACCTCTTTCCACCGATGGGACAGTTAGAGATGTAACAAGCGGAGCATACAGACAGCAGAAAAAGTAGGCACACAGACACAGCAGCTCCAGTCATTTCTGTTCAGAAAGTGAAGGAAAGCAGTTAAACCCAATATACCAATACATTGCTCCACTGACTTCGAAATCTAGACTCTAATCTGCTGAAAGAAAACTCACTTTTTGCTTAATCTCTCGATGTAGGCGCGGTGATTTGAAGGGGTTTCAGATGCTCCTAATGCTTCTTGTGTTCTTGGTACCTCCAACATGTCTTATATACTTCCAGATCTTCTTTATGAGAGTGACACAGAAACTAAAAAGCCACTTAGAGATCCTTAATGAGCCCGTTTTAGTTACCATCACCTCCGGAAATTAAACTGACCACCGGGTCGGCCGGGTCAAAAGGGCCGGGCAGCTCTGTGGTCTGGTTTGCTTCACGCTGTAGAGTATTATTACAGGAGGGCTCGTGGTGCGTGACCGCGCATGTTGGAGATGACAGGGAAGTGAGAGAGGTCAAGAAGTGAACGGCGAGACGGAATTATTTTAAGCGTGAGTGGATACGAGTGTAGAACACGTTTCTCTTTTTTCAGAGGAAATACATCATGAGCGATTTAATAGTAGCCAACGTTTGAAAGTACCTTTCAACCACTATATTGCCAAAGGAGGTAAAACTATTGTGATTGAACCAATGGCCCACTAATGAGAGTGCAGCAATCAATTCATGAAAGGTCCCATATTGGAAAACTTGAGCCTGGAGACAAAAGCCGGTTAAGGTGTATCATAAATAATGTGAACACATCAAACTCTCAATCCATAGAAAATAAATGTAGCCAGTTTTATTATATATATATATATATATACACCCTTTTTAACTTTTAACTGTGGTCCTGTTTATTCACAGTTGCCGTTGAGATTAATGACATCAGCTGACAGGAAGTAAACATGAACCCAAGCTGTTGCCTGGTGATGCAATTTAAACGCTTTTTACAGATTAAGGCATATAGATGTGTTCTAGAAGAAAAACATAAATGCACATATGAACATGGAAATGGGCACAATTTGTATAGGATAAAATTCATATTTTCGGGGATCGATTGGTGAAGTAAAAAAAAAAAACCTTGTTTAAAAAAGTCTCTGCACAAAACAAATGCCATGACGAGGACACACGCACACGATCACCTCACAATATTCTTTTCTGCTAATAAAGTCTTTAATTCCTTGCAGGAATTGAGGAACACATTGTCCAGGTCCAAGGTTAATTGTTCATGTGGGCTAATTAACACAGCTAATGATTGGCCACAAACCATAAAAGACAGTTTCCCCATTTCAATGATATGAGCTCAATTACTCATTCCGGATCCACGAACTGCCACCTCCCCTTCATAAGAGAGAAATTCAAAACATTGTCTGCGTGGGCCAACTTCTGTGCTAAGAGAGGGGAGAGGCACATCGAGACCAGGACTGATGTTACCTTTCTGTTTGTTGTGGGATGTCACTCAGACAATAGGCCGCTCTTGCCTCCTAGTGGCTGTGGTGAAAGGTTTAACCTCTATGCATTCATTTTCCATCGTGCGTTACGGTTTTCACCTGTCACGCTCATATTGTGGCTAGACAAAACAAAAGCAACATCAAACATGAGGTTCCAAAAATGAGCATATAGATTTAAAAAAGAAGAAGTAAATACCAGGTGTTTGGAGTTTTTCATGAAATAGTGCACATTCCTTGCATGATAAACGATAATCACCTAACTGACTCAGCATAAACTCTACCTGCTACAACCTAAAATACTTAGATTTAGTGCTTACAATGTAGATCACTTCATTTGTGTTTACATGTGAAATCAGTCATTCCTAACATGCACCTTTTTGAGCTGTGTTTAAGAGAAAGTGCATCTATTCTCAGACTGAGATTCTCTTGCATCGCTCCACTTCACAGCTACTAAAGATTCAAACTGCATTGTACATCACATGTCGCCATTCCTCCAAAAGCTGTGCAAAATCCCTATTTCATAGAGAAATGGAGATGTCTATCTAGTGTTTCCTTATTTTTCTGCAGGAAGGCACTAGGCTTGTTGACTTCCTCTCCCCTCCCTTCCTTCCTTCTCTCCGAAGGTACTCATCTGAAAAATGAGAACAAAGCGATTGTTCCTGTTCTCTTTCTTAAGTCACTTCAAATGCTATCCGTGGACGGGCGGCTCATTGTCAGGAGCGTTGCAGTGCGAGCAGGAGGGAGAGAAGCGCAGGTACGGGTACAACAGCAGCAGCCGCAGCAGCACTTCAGCCAAACAGCATCACAGAAAACACACTCAGCTACACTCAACTGGTGAGTGCCACACACACACACACTCACTCAAAGACTCCGCTGCAGCCTCACACAAACACACATTTTCATGGCACTGGCTGGTATGTGAGGAGGGGCTTCAGCTTTTAACGGATGGTTTGGAATGCATGCTGTGGCAAAGTGAAGCCCGGGGTCTCTGCACGGTGCGCCCTCAGTCGGAGAGGTGAAGAGGATAAAAGATCAGGTTCATATCTAAAGGAGCGTTTGTAACTGATTGAAATAGAATCATTGGTCTGTTTCCTATATATTATTGACATGCATTCAATTACACATGACCCTGTGATGTTTATTTCTATTATTTATTCATACGGGGTGATGTTCCTTGTTTAAAAATGTATCTTTGTCATCAGCAATTGTTGTGTCACTATCATCATATTGTGCAGTCTGGGTGTGAATGTGAATGCACAGCTAGATTACTTGATTAGTTAATCTATTAATTAAGTTAAAATGTACCCCATCCTAATATTTGATAATAATTGACTCAAGCATTTTCAGCATCTGAATTAGAAACTGCAGCTTTTCTTTTCTTTCAAAAATGTTCATCTCTGGGGATTTTAAGGAATTACAACTGGAATTTTCTAACCAAACATTGAAACGATTACTTGAGCTAGAAATATCTTCCGATTAGACTGAAAATAAAATATATTCTGTATTGTGTTTGATCTGAATTATGGTATATAGAGTGCATTGGCTGCATTTGCACAGACCAACAGTGATATATCTCATATCACTGTTGGTTTGTAGCAGACAGACAGTAGCAGATAGTAAAGCAGAACCACTGTTTCAGTGGATCGATTTGGATTCCAGTAGTTTGTCATTGATAAGCACTGAGCTATTTACAGGAAGATGCATTATATATTGTTAAGCAAATTTTAGATGTCATGCAGAAGTAAGGCAGTTCCCTTCTGAGCGTTATATTTTCACCCATGCTTGTCATCTATACTAAAGTACACATTTCAAGGGAGATCCTATTCATAGCTGTGGCATCTTAACATTTTACGGTTTTAAGTGTATCAGTTGTATAATCGACCACGGACTTCAGGCTGCTCACAGAGATACGGAGTAGCACACCACAAACATCGTTATCATTGAAGAAGGAAAGAGGAAGTTCGTCCTGTGGAACAGTGCAAAAAAAAAAGAAAAAGCGAAAGATGAACACGGCAGAACAAAAAAAGAGATGGAGAAGCGAAAAGTGTGCGGGAGGTAGAGGTGAACTTTGCACAGATAACTTCCTATTATCAGGAAAGGAGGAAATTTGTTAGAAAAAAAGAAGCGAAAGGTTTCAGGTTGAACACCGAGAGGTGTGGGTGTCAACACAAGACTTTTTGTGTGCCCAGCCACGTCGTTTCCACGGAAACCGTTCAGTCATTTCTGTCATCAACTGTTTGTTTTTTCAGGCACTTATACCTCACTTGAGTATTCTTCCACTTTATACTTTATTTTATACATCGGCAAGAAACATGATGATCTTCAAATATCACGAGGAACTAACGTTTTTCTGACCAATGAATAATGTAATCATCACTCATTAGAATTAGACTCTTTAAAGGGGCCTGAGCCCTGCAGGTTGGGACCCCTGGGACTACATCCACTGTATCTGAAACAATACAAAACAGTAAATAATCGAATTATATATTATGCTATATCAGACACTGAAGCACTTTTGTACCGTACTCATTTAGACTCTAATACAAACTCACTTAACAGACTACTTCTATTTGTGGTATTTCTACATCTACCGAAGTAAAGGGTCTGAATACTACCTCCACCCCTTCTTGTACTCTTTCTAACGCAGAGAGAAATGGAAATGGAAATGGATAGAAGGAATTTCCCACCTACAAGAAGCCCACCTGTCAGTGATGAGCCAACACAAGTATCTCAGCAAGGTTTCTACCTGGGCCCACCCCCGCTCTATAAGCCCCCCAAATTCTCCCCTGCCAGATACCCCATTACATCACACAGCAGAGACACATACAGCGCGTTCAGCCCCCCCACCTTCTTTCCCATGGTTGGTCCAGGCTACACCCAAAGGGAGGGATCCCAAAAACGCAAAAGAACTCCTTTCAAGATGGACGCCCAAGGGAGTGAATCTCCCAGAGAGGAGGAAGACGAAAGCCGCGGCGTGAAGACGGTGCACCTCTCCCACATCCCCTTCTCCCTCCCACCTCACCCCATTCCCTCCCCATCTCCTAAGACCATCCCTGGTATGATCGAGCTGAACACACTGCATCTTCATCTCAGATCACCAGGTATGAATCTACCTGTGCAGGTGAAACAAGAGCCTCCCAGTCCTTCCCCTGTTTGGCCTCCCTCTCCTCTCCTCCTCCACCCTCCCTACTTCCCACCTCTCCACCACAGCCTCCTCCCATACCCCTTCTTCCTGCCCGGCCCCATCATGCACCTCTCCCCTGGTTCCTTCTACCAAAGGGAGGGGGCCCGTCCTGGGCATCGGGATGGACCCCCTCGTGGTGGGACGACCAGTGCGGAAAAGCTTGGTCTCAACGTCCACGTGGACGACAGTTATTATGTAGACGTGGGTGCGGGCCAGAAGAGATGGAAGTGTCGCACGTGCGAGAAGTCCTACACCTCCAAGTACAACCTGGTAACGCACATCCTGGGGCACAACGGCATCAAGCCACATGGATGCCACCTTTGTGGGAAGCTGTTTAAGCAGCTGAGCCACCTGCACACGCACCTGCTCACCCACCAGGGCATGAGGCCCCACAAGTGCCAGGTGTGCCACAAGGCCTTCACGCAGACCAGCCACCTGAAGAGACACATGATGCAGCACAGTGATGTCAAGCCATACAGGTACATGTTTTACAGCAGCTGCTTTTTTAAAAATTTGCAGCTGTCCTCTTGTTATGCCGTTCTTTCACAAACGTTTACCCGCCCCTCCAGTTGCAGTGTGTGCGGTAGAGGGTTCGCTTACCCCAGTGAGCTCCGCGCCCACGAGCTGAAGCACGAAAAAGGACAGGAGAACGTTTGTGTGGAGTGCGGGCTGGACTTCCCCACGCTGGCCCAGCTGAAGAGGCACTTGACCGCCCATCGTGGTCCCACCTTGTACAGGTGAGCACAGAACTGGTTCTTCCCTTTGCTGAAATATCGTAATGGTTGTTTTCCTAATGCAATAGTTGGACACTTTGGGAAATATGTTGTTGACCCGACTCATGTCTGTAAATCAAGCATGAAGCTACAGCTAGCAGCTAGTAAGCTTAGCTTAGGATAAACATGCATGTATGGAAATACTGTCTTTGTGCTAAGCTAACAGCTAACAGGTTGCTAGATCTAGCTTCATATTTATTGGAGTGGTATTGATCTTCTCATTTAATTCAGAAAGTAACCACATATCCCCATTAACACTTAGATACTATTGTTGTTCCTGCAGGTGTGCAGAGTGCCAGAAGACGTTCCAGTACCCGAGCCAGCTTCAGAACCACATGATGAAACACAAAGACATCCGACCGTACATCTGCAGCGAGTGTGGGATGGAGTTCATCCAGTCACACCACCTGAAACAACACACGCTCACCCACAAAGTAGGTTTAATTAGGAGGACAAAGATAAAGACGTTTGTTGACGGACGTTGGAAGCCGAATAGGATCTTTGGCATCAAACAGAGTTTTTCAAATCATGCCTTTTCCATTCTAGTTCTAGTGCACATTATGGACAGTGTCGTGATGGCTCAAATAGTTTGTGCTGAAGCCTAACAGTTTTTTTTGGCAGCTGTCTCAAAGCAATTTCCCCTGAAATTCTGGCTTCTGGAGCTTTTCTTAACCCCTTCACATCCAGTGAACATATTTATTTGCACTTTAGGTGCATTCAAGCGGGATTGCACGCTGTTTGACACACTGCTTCTATATAAAAAAAATGTAATGTAATATCAACTAGGCTTTAGTGTGAAATGTACCATGACGTTTACACTGAGTTACATATTGAAACCAAAGACTGATGTCTTAGGAAACCAAAGACTGATGTCTTTGTATCATTTCATCCATCATTTCGAATTGTCTTCATCCATCAAGACAATTCGGTATATTTGGGAACTTTGGAAACTCCAAAAAAATGGAATACAGATGTTAAAATTTCTCATGCCGCTACCCCCACATTCTCTCCTTCTTCAGGGGGTGAAGGAGCACAAGTGTCGTATCTGCGGTCGTGAGTTCACCCTGTTGGCAAACATGAAGCGCCACGTCCTCATCCACACCAACATACGGGCCTACCAGTGCCACATGTGCTTCAAGAGTTTCGTCCAAAAACAGACTCTGAAGGCTCACATGATCGTCCACTCGGACATCAAGCCTTATAAATGCAAGGTTGGTCAAATCCTACATGTCAGAAAGGGCTCTTTGCTTCATGTTTTGGCCTTCAATTCCTCTTTCTCTCATTGTGGAGAAGAATCGTACTCACACGTAGCTGCTATGTAGAAATATGGTTAATCAGCTAGTTGAGCTCTGTCCAAAGGCAAAAGTAGACACCTGCCCGGTTAAAGCTCACAAGGTGTTAAATGTGCACAAAATGAAATTGTAAACTTCACAGTAATGGGAATTATGTCACATATATACTCTTAACATCCCTCTTGTTTCCTGTCTTTGTGCTAAGCTAACCAGCTGCTGATTAATCTTAGGTCTTCCATATCAATGCCATTGATTTTTCTCACCTCACTCTTGGCAAGAAATCGAAGAGGTGTATTACAGCATGCTACTCCTTAAATAATTAATAATGTGAGGGCTTTCAAAATACGGCTTTGAGGCTTTATCATTATTGAAAAGATAATCGACAAATATGTATTTATTGATAATCACTTCCAAGAACCTTTGATATTTAGTTGTAGCTGTAGTTTTTAAGGATTTCTCCACTTTTCTGGGGAGTCAGGACTGAGGCGATGACCAGATAGCAGAGAGTCTTTTGGCAGTAGAAGCCTCCTCGTCCATAGGAAGGATATCGCCGCACAAACTGCCTCTCTAACAATGGCCCCCCAGCCTCCCCGGAGAACAGGGCCCTCAAATAGATTTCATCTCGCTTTCTCTGCTGCTGGAGGGAGCTTCCTGTTTTCTCACGGTCCTCTTGGACAGTTTACAGTCCCTCTCTCCTCCTGAAGGAAAGGACCACCCTAATAAAAAAGAATGCAGAGGAAGGACAGCGCAGGAGTTGCCCTTCCCTGTTCTCCTCCTGGCCCCGTCTCCATGTTGCTTCCTCTCTCTTTCTTGTGCGTGTGTGTGTGTGTGTGTGTGTGTGTGTGTGTGTGTGTGTGTGTGTGTGTGTGTGTGTCAGGGAGTAGGAGAGAGAGACAGGGGGGGGGAAGACAAAGAGGAAAGGAGGAAAACAAGGACAGGAGGAGGGAGAAAGGGTGTGTGTCTTTGCATAGCTGACTGCCTGCACATTCATTCATGATTGCGTGTAGCTCAGTCTGCACACATTAAGAAATATGATAAACAACGGAGATTTGAGAACAGAGGAAGAAAAATAATGTGTGGATGGTGTTGGCATATTGTTTTTATCTCTGTAGGTAGTGTCAGACAGTCAGTGGAGTAATGTTTTGGTATTCTGCATGTACTTCCTTATTCTTGATAATTTTGTGGTATTTTTCTTCTTCCAGTCCACTTAATTTTCAGAGAGAGTTTATTTTTGTCATTCACTCAATCACACTTATCCCCCAGTTAAAGTTACTTTGAGGGTTTCAAGTTTATATGCAAAAGATGTAATCTGATGATTTGTCATTGACGAAACTGGTCTATAAAGTAGTCAAAGTTATGATATCACAAGAGGAAAAATTGAGAAATATTTCCAACGCTTACTGGTCGGGTGCTGGTGAAATGACACCACGCTCACGTCTATGTAGTAAACGTTAGAGCCAGAAGCTAACTGGCTCAGCCATGTATGAAGACAGGAGCCGGGGAAACCGCTAACACCAGAGCAGACCGCAGGAAGCTGCTGTCATCGGCTGAATTGCAATGAATTTTACCCCAGCCATGTAAACATGTTGAGTTGCTTATATGCCTCCACGTACTTCTCTCCCTTTGTCCCTCAGCTTTGCGGTAAAGAGTTTAACAGGATGCACAACCTAATGGGCCACATGCATCTCCACTCGGACAGCAAACCCTTCAAATGCCTTTACTGCCCGAGCAAGTTCACGCTGAAGGGAAACCTCACCAGACACATGAAGGTCAAACACGGCGTCATGGATAGAGGGCTGGATGAAAGATGTAAGAATACAAACACTGTATTTTTATTTTTATTTTTTTGCTGCAAAACCTGCTCAATGCAACTCAAAATGTCTCTGACTTCAGTGTTCAGGAGAAGAGGGCGATTCTGCATGTCCACTCCCATGAGCCTCCTCGCACGCCTCCGGCCAGAGGAACCGTTTGACCTTTCCCACAAGCCCCCGGGCCTACACGGCCTTCGCATCTCCCAGTCCGACGGCGAGAGCGTCCCCGGAAGCTCGTATCAGGAGGAGGATGAGGAGAGTCTGTACAGAAGGAGCCAGTACAGCCCCGAGGTGGACCAACATGAGCCGGCAGGCGAGGACCAGTACACGGCGGAGCAGGAGGAGAGAGGGCAGGGGTCTCCATCCGAGCAAAGGCCAGAGGAGAAGCAGAAAGAAAGCTTAGATGAACAGAGGGAACCAGCAGCAGTGGGACACTCTGTAGATCCCAGAGGTGACCAAGCAAACCTCTCACAGTCAGAGGAGACATGCGAGCTGGCAGATCACCAAGAGCAAGACGAGTCGGAGCAAAGCAAGCGGCAGATCGACGTCTGCGACGTAGCAGTCGGCGCAGCGGGGGCGAACCGGAGAAGATCAGAGACGGGCGGGACGGCGCGTCGCTCGCACACATGTGAATTGGTGGGACGTACGGGTTCACGGGATGAAGAAGAGTAGTAATAAATAGGAAGAGAGACCGAGAAGAAGATGTAGGTTTAAGGGAAGACTGCTTTTTTGACAAGAAGTAAAGTGTGTCTGTGTAACTGAAACTGATTATGTGGTTTAGAAACAAAAGAGGAACAATGAACATATTATGTCCATCAACCGAGCAGAAGGTAACAGTGAAGTACTGTGAAGCACAATGCACAGAACACGCACTGATTAACAGACAATGACAGAGTGACTGTGCATTTATTGATTATTTTGTATATGCTTTGTTTAGGAAAGAATAAAATTGATCATTTTGCAATCGACTGAAATATGCAATTTTTGCTGGACTGACCTTCTTTTACGTATAAGTCTGTGATATAAAAATCCCCAAAATGTGCTGTTTGTTTTGTACATTGTGTTTTGGACAGTTAAGATTTGACACAGCTTGAGTTTGACAAATCTATGGTGTCCTTATGAAGTAAACTGTGATTTTGTTTTCTGTCTAATGTTTAGATTACTTGTTTTTACCTGTATGCCTTTGTCAGTTGAGTTTTGGGGGATGTTTTACTTCATTTTCATCTGAATGTAATTCTGCAAGTACAAAAATAAAAAGCTTGATGCATAAAATTACCATTGTGTTTGTCCCTTTAGGGTCCCATAGTCTAGACTGTTTTTATAGAATATAACACAAGGCATTAAGTGTCAACCCTCTTCGTCTGACACGTACTTTACCAAGCCAGAGGTGATTGCCGTGAGTTTGAAAAAAACGTTCCTTTTTCCTCCTGCCTCACTTTCAAAGCAGAGGAAGAGGAAGAGAAAACACCTCTCCCCTTCTCTCTTTTAGCTTGTGATCAAACAGCAGTGACGGACACAGTGGGTGTCCCAGACAAAGGCTTCATGTCTGCACGACTCACAATGAAGCATTGTTTCTGCTCATTGCAGAAGCCTCACTGAAAACAGAAACTCTAGAATGAAAGAGATTTTCACGATGACATAGTAGATTCGTTATCTTTTGTTACATCTCATGAAGTAATAGAAAAAACAACAACTTTATTTTAACATAACGCAGAGCTCGCTGGGCCAGTTCAGGTAAACACAGCCATTTCTTGTCAGATGAAATGCAGAACAGTAGCTTCTCCCTTCCTACCAGTGACGACCACCGTGTCCAAAGGGGCGAAACTGCAAACAGTTTGAGGAAGTTCTCACATCCTCCTCTCCTTTCCTCACCTACACGTTACAATCCCGACCACCAGCTCAGAGGGGAGGCCGCAGTTTGGAATCAGCTCCTCTCAGCAGCATCACGTTGAGCAATCGCTGAGGAACAAAGTCCATATAAGTAAGCGACCGCACCTCAGACACTACAGGAAGGATGATGTTTCACAAGGTAATTCTATCCCTCCTCTGTGTTTTTGACGAACCGAAACTTTAGAGGTCATGAGAATGCAAAGAGCGAGAGCCACAGATCAGGTAGCTACTGATGGGAACATGAATCCTCTGGTGAGAAGCAGTGAGGGTTCTGCTTTGCAGTCATAACCAATACATGGACCTATAGTAGAAAAAGACAAGTTGAGATTAATAAATCAGTCTATCAAACTCAATTAAAGTGAAGACCTATATATATATATATATGTGTGTGTATACACAATGTTTCTTTTAAAGTGCTACCAGGCAAAGAATAAGCACTTGAGGGGATTTATTTTCCATCTTTGTACATATCATTTCTATGCTGTTTATTTTCACCTTTTTCTAAAATATGCAGAACAGCAGCATGGTGCTTTTGATTCTGTTATTTGATTGATTTGGGCGACATTTGATAAATCTTAAGCATGCAACCCAGTCGTAGAGACCCACTGTGAACAGCTGTGTTCTTATTGCTCTAAAAAGTAACCCAAAAAAATGATCACATGCCTCCCTGTCTCACTCACCCATCCAGACGCCTTGTATGCTGTTACATAAAAGATCTTTGTGATGTAAAGTAATGTACACTAAGTTAAGAGACGCCAGTAATAGCAAACAAGAGGACATAGCAGTGCAACAAATTGCAACAATAGAAGAGATTAGAGAATATTCCTAAAAAGGTAGCTCTGCCCCCACGTGTGCATGTAGAAATGTTCATTTCCTGTGATTTCACTCCAGCGCAGCTTGTGTAGGAGTTTCCTGTTTTGCTGGCAAATGAGAAAACGAGATGCTGCTGAAATTCTTCCACGTTTTGTTCAACAAAACTGTCCCCACCCTAGTCTCAACCTGTCACCTCCTTTGACCCACAGCCAAGGCGCGCTGCTGTAATTATAGCCAAGGGCCATCATCATCAAAACAAAAACAATGAGAGAAAGGTGAGAGGACAACAGGTCAGAGGCTTTGCTGAACACACAGAGAGATAGCTATACATTAAATACATTTTCTGCTAAATAGAATTTAGGGGCCATTATCACTCACACTTTACTTTGAAGGTGTGTTACTATTCCACCGATTGTCTGCCGTTTTCTAAACATGACTGCATGAATGTAATGTCGTGAAAAGTCTTGATCAATGATGCTGAGTGACATTTTTAATGGCTTGATGGCTTGACGGTCAAAGTGTCTTTGGCTAAATCCCTATTTATTTCCTCACAGATTCTTGAAGTTAGAGGCGCTCCTGCTGACTCCGTGAGGGTTTAGGGATCCCACTGTCACACCACTCAGGCTCTCTGGCATATCTGACATTTGGAACCCTTTATGAACGCTTTATGAAAGTCAGCATTCGATGCTTACTTTGCCAAAGGGAATTACCCATAAGTTATTGTAACGTTAAATTAAAAGCGGGGTAACAAATGAAAGCATGGAAACAAAGAACACAAAACGCATCTAAAATGACCTCTTATCTTTTTAGGAAGACTTTGCAATAAGGGAACAAAACGTAGAAAATAAATACCTCTCAAGCGTATCTTTTGACATTGTCATGTTGACATGATACTTTGCAGAAAAGTGCTGCTTCATTCATGATCCACCTTTGTGGGCCCTCACAGACTCTCACACTCAATCGCTTTCCAGGTGACGTCAATTGAGTCCCGGAGGGTTTAGCGGGGACTTTGGAATTGGGCCTTTGTCTCCTCTTTATAAAAAACACTGCCCTCTATTGTTGGAGCACCTGTACTTTACTGTGCCGTGCCCTGGTTTATTTGATAATCAATAGATTTCTCATCATTGCATTTCAAAGCATCCCTCCAACTAAGATACTTAATCCACCACAGCGAACCCATTCACGTTTGCACTATACTGATTTAATTTGCAAACAATTTGGCCAAGAACATTACTTGTGGATGATTACAAAAAGGTTAAAAGATTTGTAAAAATAGTTATCCCCTCAAACCATCTGAGTTAAAAATGACTTAGACATCAGTGGCTAAATATGCAGAATTTCTAAATTGGATGTCAATACTAAAAATCTCTCATTTAATGTGATGTTGTGATTTGTGAGTATTTTCTGCATCATGTAAAATCAAACAAAATATACAGGCTCCATTGTCAACTATTACGTCTGATATGGCTTCTTTATTGTAGCGGCGCTCCTTCTGTGATTTACATTATTATTAGTTTTTTGTATTCATTATTGGTCATTGTTGAACAAGTTAGTTAAATAAGTGTACCTTTATAACACCAAGCGTGAATATTTAGTAATGTAATATTTAAATGCAAATGATTATCGCAAAAACATAACGTTGGTAGTGTCCGTAGCTTATTTCCGTTGTGTCTCGCTTTTGGTATAACCCTCTAATGACAAGTTCAGGCACATATCAAACACCCTCTGTCTGGGTAAAAAATGGTATCGTCCAAAGATGGCGGCCTCCATTTGGAAGCGATGTGTGACTGCATCTGTCAAAGTTAAATGTTTATCTCCGTCTCTTTCAGGTAAAAACATCTAGCATCTGGCGGAAATACAATTATAACTGTATACAAGTGTATCGCTTTGTATGTCTGAATTGTTTTCCCGACGTTTTGGAACAAAACGTTTATGTCGTAAGCTAACTAGCTAACATTATAGTCCCAATATGAGGTTTCCACACGCGGTTTTCTGTTGTTGACGTCTCCTAAAGTGACGTTTTGCAGCTCATATTTATGCATGTTTGTATGACCTGGTCGACTGATTCTTCGCAGCCAGGAGATGGTTGCTCTCAACAGCTTACACGGATACCAAAGTGTGGGAGGCGAGAGAGAAGGATCCTCAGAACCTGGGTGAGCGACACAACTGCTCCACACAATGATAACTAGGCAGAGGTCAGGATTTGCTTTAATTATCCAGAAGAACATCATTTGTCTCCTATTCAATATACAGAATGCCATACATCAACAATGTAAACTGAATGGTAGCCAAATTGAATATAATAGTTATATAATGGGTAAAACGATAATGGTAATAGCTGCATTTAAATAGATATTTCAAATATCAAGATAGTGCTTCACAATAAATCCAAACAAATAAGAACCAACAGTTCAGATGCAATAGTTTTAATTTGGAACAAGTTAGGTTCAGTATGAATTCAGGCAAAAGGAGGACTTATTTCTCTTTTTTTAGTCTAAAAGGATGAATTGTGAAATATGAAGCCCCCTAATTGGAATTGTTGGAATCTAGCTTCTTGCTTTTAGGGCAATGAAAGTATTGAAAACTGTCAAGTGGAAAAACTTAGAAAACATTTTCCCGGGTCTCTCTGACTTTTAGATGACCTGATTCCATTATATACCTGATTCCAATATATATTGCCACCTGAGAATATTTTGAAATTAGTGACATTGGGATATAGAAATGAAACTCACTCGACTTGTTCTTTATTTGATACGGTTAAGGCAAAGGTCTGTTGTTGTGTAGCTAAATATTGTTACTTAATTTTGTGTCCAGACAACACGAGACTCTGAAGTCGTCTTTTACTGTTTTTTTTATTTATTTTAAATGCTCTTTATCTGGCTGTAACTAGAACTGTAACAGCGACGTCATTGTGCCCCGCTGTGATCACTGTGACATTTGAGATGAAATGTGAAGCTGACGTGTACTCACCCAGAGTACACATCATGAGAGTACACAAGAGTATTGGTTGCGGGTTATTTAGTGCCAAAGAGAACGAAGACCAATTGTTGTTGAGCGCTTGGCTGCATGCAGCAACAGTCAAACACAAACCCTGACTGTGTGCACTCGGTCAACACAGGGTGGCAGTGTAACACTGCACCAACTATGCTTTGGTGTGGGTGTACATATACGCATCCATACAGTACGATACACCCTGATTTAGATTGTGTAAACCATTATTCACTTGTTATTGTTTTTTCTTACAGCTCTACTGGCCACCACCATGGACAGGACCTACGACAGGAATCTCCCAGTTAGCTCTCTGAGCGTGTCTCGGGTAAACGCTAGATTTATATCCTCTATTCTATTTGTCTGTTGTTAACCTTTCACAGATAAATCATCAAATTAGTTTGGATTTCATGGCAGTAGTGACAAAGTTTGCCATAACTGTATATTTTCTGTTTGTGCGTCAGTTTGTTGACAACATTTCGTCTCGGGAGGAAATTGATCAGGCGGAGTACTACCTTTACAAGTAAGAGGGATTCATTTACTCTTTCTCAATTGATTTCTGCTGCTTCCTTGCTTCTGCATGTACCAATGTTGTCCATGCTTTTCTTGGAATGAATTGTCTGTTTAGTTTTTCTGTTCTGCTTTATATTCAGTCACATGCTTTTCTTTGTTCGGACAACCCCAGACCTTTCCTGTTTACTCCTTCCTCTGGAATCTAGACCCATCCTCGTTATTATGAGATTTAGCAAATTGCACCCTTGTTCACTGCAAAGATATTTTCCATTTAGTCACTTGACAAAAGAATAATTACCCTTCAATTTTAGGAAGGTTATTTTCATAATTGATTAAATTGTCCTTAATGAGGTTCGACTTGTATTTTGCTTATATGGGTTTTTGTACGAATTAGTTTCATACAAAATTCAAACCATGTGTAACTATTTTATTCATCTTGTACAATAATAAAGTTGTGATTAATATATAATACATGTAATAAACCCCTTATTTTTTTCCATCCCTGCAGGTTTCGCCACAGTCCAAACTGTTGGTACCTGAGAGACTGGACCATTCACAGCTGGATCAGACAGTGTCTCAAGTACGGAGCCAAAGAGAAGGCCCTGCACACAGTTAAAAACAAGGTACGCTCCATGTTATAACCCCTCGTCATATTTAAAACAAACTGAGCACAGAAGAATCTTTGCTCAGTGTAAAGGAGGCCCATCACTTTAGCAAGGAAATCTGATCAGAGACTCCTCATCGGGGAGGACAACTGCAGTTATCTAGCAGTGCGAGCGATCATAGATCATATGTTAACCACCCAGATGCCTTTTTCAACTCATCTGACCAGTGCAAATTACATCAAACATGTTTGACATTTTCAGCACAGCAGCTGTTCTGTTTCCAAATGAGTCGTAGTATCTGGCAATCCCTGAATTATGTTGTTTTCGTTGGTGTTGTGTTACTGTGAGATAAAAGGGCTCCATGTCAGTGACGCAGTTTTATTGTGCGATATGCTCTTCCTTTACCGAATCACGAATGGCAAACAGTTCACAGATAAATAATCTAAAAAGAATAACGTGTATTTGTGTGTGCAGGTCCAGTATGGAATATTCCCAGATGACTTCACCTTCAACCTACTTATAGATTCTTACATTAAGGATGGAGACTTTAAAAGTAAGGCTTCTTCAAAGCTTGTTTTCAATCAAACATTTGAAAGAAATAGACGACCTGAAATATAGTTTCATCCATGCGAACACATGTTGTTGACATTAAATATTTCAAGGAGTGGGAACAGCCAATCTTTCAAATCACTAAAATTAGATCTCAAACATGTCTTTCCTTGTTTGTAAAAGACAAAGGTGAAGGGGAAGCCTGATTTTTTTATTTTTGTGCAATAACATGGGAAAGTAAACAGTGTATAGTTTCTGGCATACTGAGGCACAAAGTCGGTACTACAATGTTTTCAGTTGCATTTCTGATTATAACATTTTTATATACTGTATAAGCATTGTAGTTTCGTTAATTTTCTGGATGAATGTGGTAGTATGATATATATTGATTTAGCTTTGTCAAAAAACTGTTAAACACACCAGTGAATAACATTCATGTCAACAAGTAGTTTGTATAAAAAATAAAAATAAGCTATATGCACATTTTCATTTTGCACAAAAAAAAAGTAGTTGAAATGTTGTAAAAATAGTGGCATTTCTGTGGCTCAATAGGAAAACTAATGTTCCTCAGCTTAGTGCACCCGGCGAGATCATTAGCACTGCCAGCTGTTTACTAACTTCAAAATGTATTCAGATTACTTTAGTGGATGCAGTGTCTTTGGATTTCTCTACAACAAATTGAGCTTAATTTGAAGGGAACATTGGCTGCTGTTGGTTTAGATCTTTTTTTTTAATGGTATTTTCTCACAATAAGAAAAATATAAAATAACACCACACTTATCCTTTTTAACTTAACAAAGGGACCAGGGTACATGGCGGGTGCAGAGAGTGGAAAAGCATTACATTCAATCCCTGTAATATTAGATTAACTGAACAATCATATAATTTTACAAAGGAATGAAATGGAACCTCCTAAGAAAAGAAACCAAATCAACAAAAGTCTTGTGTCGAAATGACTTCCTGTGTTACGACGTAAATGTACAGGTGCGTGCTCCGTGGTGGAAGAGGTGATGCTTCAAGAGGCCTTCGACCTTCCCTCCACTCAGATTCTGTCTCTGTACGCCTTGGCCGGTTACCAAGCAACGAGGCCACCGCTCACGGTGGGTGAAACGGCGGCAACCGCAACTCGTCAGCATTTGAATGTATGAACCGGTGCCCGATCAAAACGCTCACGCGTGTTCCTCGCTGTGTTCAGGTGTCGGAGGAGCGGGCGCTGGGGGCCTCGCTGCTCCTCTGTGGACTGCAGCAAGACAACACTGTCGGCCTCAGCGCTCAGCTACTCGGCAATGCTCTGCTCGGTGTGTATGCGAGTCAGGGGTGGTGTTTCTTTCTATTTTTCATTATGCCGTTTATTTAATTTGTCCTCCTCCTTCCCCGTCCAGGCAAGGTGGAGATGTTAGAGGGCATACATGCCGTCTTCAGGGGGATGCCTCTCTTCTGGGGTCATGGGTACCTGGGCCGAGCGCTGGCTGTCACGGAGAGAGCAGCCGCTGCTTCTGGTGACGTCAAGCTGACCAAAGACGCAGTAAGGCCGAGAAAACCGAGATGAAAGAGTATTTGTTTGTGTTTTGTGTTTGTTTCCACAAACCAAATCAATCACAAGAAGAAATGTACATGTGTTGGGTATTAAGCTTTATCATTTGCCCGTTTTATTTAGTTGATTATTGCCTGTTACCTCACCCAAAACACTTACGGAGGTAAACGGCTTTTACATTTGCAGAAAAGACTACACTTGAATCCGTTCAGTTGTCGCTATCGACAGATTTTTCTCTTTTTATATTGAATATAGGCAAAATCATTACTGGATTGGTTAATTTCTACTGACTGTGGGTTTGACATCAAACAAACATGTCCAACGTCCAAAGTGTCAGATGGTCCGAGATGACACTGTTTTTCCAATAGGATCCTGTGTAGTCACACTTGTAAACTAGCACACATACACAGGAGCGACAGTTGTTACTTTCCAGGTGGGGTGTATAACGCAGTCTTCATCTGCAGGGATAAAGCACACATGCGTCACACATATCGTCTCATTCATTTGACATATTTGCACCAATGCACAGTCGGGTGCGGTGCCTCTAATCCAGCCTGTGCTGTCTGGTCCAATTGTCCGGCTTCGTCCTCGTCTAATGAGATTTGGGAGAGCCTGGAGTATTGAAGACGTCTTTGCCAATCATTGCAACAGGAACTAAACAGTGTGTGAGAGAAAGCGGCGCAACAATAATGCGGACGAAGCCGATAACACCGCAGGACAGAGAGGAAACATTAGGTCTCAAATGAAGGTGCTGCCGCCTCGGGTGACAGTTAATCTCCCCTTTTCCAAGATTAAGAGGTGAAGCCTTTTGGCCTCGTTTCTTAATGACATGCCTGGCCTGCAATCTTTAAATAAGGGTCTGCATAGGTAATTTTTCAAGTAAATTAATGTAAATCAGATGAAAAGTTTCTCTTTACATTGATAAAATAATAATTTTGCTGTTTACTGCATTCCTTTTTGTCATTGTTTTCAGGTGGACTACGTGAATGACTTGCTGCAGGAACTGTCCTCTACCTCAGACAGCGACTCGTCCGGAGCAGAATCAGCAGGTGAGGAGAAGGAGAAGAAAGACGACCATGTGGATGAAGCAGATCAGGCCGAGCGGGCTAAACTGCCTCAGTATGTCACCAGATTCAAGGTGGGTGTTTGTTGTCTACCAACTGAATTTATGTATATAAGCAACATGGTAAACATGTGATGAACAGTGTACTCTGCATAATAAGAATATTTTAAACATTGGTAGTTAAATTTGTCGTTGTTACCTATTTTTGCGATGTGACTTTGAAGCAGTTCATGCCGGCGGTAAGCGGATTGGGACATCGCTGTGTTTTTGATATCAAAACCACAATTTCGCCGGCATGGAGCAGCCTTCCCGCTGATATTGTTTTGCCACCTTAAGATTGTATCCTGTTCTTGTTCCTTGTCAAAAAAGCCCCTATAATAACAAAATGCTTTCATTTGTGGCTTTGTGAGATGACAACATGGCTCCGTGTTGTTAATGGTGGTTTAAAAAAACCTCAACAGATTGTGTCTCTTAACATCGGTCTCGTCAGGACTACCAAAAAAAAAAAAGTCATATTTACAGATGCACAGGTCAACCACACGTCCCGGACAAAATTCAGTGGATCTCTGCCTTTCTGTATTTTATGTGCCATTCAAGTTATTTAGATGAAGTGATGAGGTTTCCTTGCCTCTTCAGGAACTGAGCAGCCAGCTGGAGTCTGAGGGCAAAGTGGACTCCACCTCCTTCCAGGACTCTGCGAGCGCTCTGGCCCTGCAGAACCTGGCCGCTGCGGAGAAGCCCGACTTGGAGCGGTACCTGAGCCGGGTGCCGGCCTGGGAGGCCGAAAATAGGCAGCTGATCGTAAGAGAGAAAGAGATGAGGAAGAAGGCCGAGCAGGAGAAAAAGGAGCGCTTAGCCGCCAAGGCTGCAGCCCAGCAGGCGTAGAGCCCGGATGCCACTGGATCAAGATCTCTGAACTGTCCATCGCGTATGCACATTGAAATTCTTTGATCGTTTGTACATAACAATTTATATGAGCTCATGTGATCGGTATAGTACTGTTTTCTGTAGTGTTAAATGGAGTAAATATGAGTCTATTGTCAAAATAAAATACATTTTGATTTGTGTCTCACATTTTTCTGGGAATAATTTATTGGATTCAATTATTAGAGCCTATGCACATGTGAATTGTTAAGCTTGGTGGTCAGGTGACCTCAAGCAAAAATCTCCAGCACATCCTCCCACTCCTTTTCCTCTCGTCTTGCTGTGAGTTTTCTCACCGGGTATTGAAAGGGGTTCTGCACTCAAGAATTTGCTGATAACCAATCTAGACAGAACCAGGTTCTTTGCATGGAAAGGAATGCATTAATGGACAAAAACCTTTTTGTTCACAAAGGAGAGCAAATAGCGAAGTATACATTGTGACAAATGAGGAAATAACATGACGGTGCAGCATGAACTAAAGCGTGATACTCCGCGCGTATAAACGGTCGGGTAAAGCCAGACATTTTAAACTTTGTAGAGAGATAAGATCATATTGCTTTGGAGACAAAAATGTTGTTGTGTTTGTGCACATAATGCATTCATTCCACAGCATATTGCAGCTATTCAGTATTCAGGACATGGTCTTGGGAAACAGCCTGGTATGTTGGGGATGAATGAGCTGCACAAAATACAGAAACCAGAATGCTGCTCACTGACTGCTTGGTTGGAAGTAGCTCTTCACCCATTGCCAATGTTTTTAATTATACATAAACACCATTAGATTGCGTTACTTAAATTTGGTCTATTTTGGATAACATATTCTATCAACCTTATTTTGTTTTACTTGACCGTAGAAATGGCACTAACCTCAAATAAGGGTACATTTAATTCACTTGCTTGGAGCCAGATGCCTGTATTTGACACAGAAAATGACTGAATGGAGATTTACACATTAAAGATTAAAGAATAATGTACGCCTTGTTTATATCATGTACTACGTGGATGTTTCCTACAATCCAATTCACTCATTAGTAATGTCTTTACCTCCTTCCTGCAACACAAAATCCCAGTAAACTCGCAGAGATGCTTCTCCCCCTGTGTTAAACTTTGTAGTCAATGAATTAGCTTTAATATGCAGGAAAAGACAAACTTGACTAAAAATCACTGGTTTGAAGGAAACACTAGTGTTTTTTGTCCGTCATTGCGTGTGTTTGAACATTAACCAAACAGGTGTGCTAACAGCGCTAATGAAGTCAATCAGATGTGAGGCGATGAGAGGAAAACAAGTCCGGAAGCTTGACGTCCACATCAGTGGTTCTGTGACACCCGCGGCCTCTTAAGGGCTTTTAAACCCCTGTGTGTGTTTTTATGATGGGGCGGAGAGTGGTCCGCAGGGGATATGTGTCATGGGTTATTTGACATACGTAAATATTACAAAATGTGGAAGAGCAGACGGGCTGCGTTAGACATGATCGGTGTTGAGTCTGGATGCAGAACACCTTCCAGAGTAGATAAATAACAAACGTCTACCAGGGAGCCGTATGTAGAATAAAGACACTTCTGCTGGTAAGAGAATTTATAACAAAAACAGGTAATTCCTCTCATGTTTAAGGTTTAGTGTATTCTACTCTGAACAACTCAAGCCCAAATCCTCTATCTTTATTCCTCTCAATTCCTCTTCCTATTTTTGCTTCTGTAGATGTAATTTATATCCGAGACCCCTTCTGTCTGTCCCATTCTGTAAAGCAGATTACAGGGAATGCTCTTGGCTCCAGAGAAACATTTGTTAATCTTTCATTTTTCATAATTGTCAGCTGCTTCGTGTTTAACATTTTAAAGATATAAGTGAAAACAAATAATGTTTCATTTATCTGTCTGTTTGTTTTCAGGCTACTGAGGGTTTTTATGAGTCCTGACACTGGTGTATTGCTCACATATTAAACACTAATAGATTGGGCTGGCGAGCAGCGGTAATTAGAAATTAGATTTATTTGCTTTCTGATTCGTTTATTATTTTGGGATCATCAGCTGCTATATTAATAAATAATGATACCATTTTTTCAATTAAAATAATTTATACAACTTAAAACACAAATAGTTTTTTTGCACCTTATTTCTGGATTAATGGGAGACTTTCTGTGACTTTGTAATTTGTAGTGTTATGCAAACAATGTTGAAATCCCCTCTCACTCAGTTATAATTACAATAAAACTGTGACTATTTTTTTACACACAAGCCATTGTGTGATCATTTTTAAAAGAAGGCTTGAGACAGAAGTTTAAACCCTCCACAGTTGCCATTCTTTTGCACAAGCCACAAGTCGGCCTGAACAGTCTGTTATAGAACGTTACAGCAGTAGTTGGCTGCAGCAATCAAAACGGAACAGGATGCATCACTCTGTTCAAGGGTAAAGTAAGCTATAGGCTTAGATTGCCGGGGGACTTGGTAGGACACAGAGCTCCTCCCTCCCGCTCTCTTTCTACAATAATCCACGTTTTATTAATGCACATCACTAATTCAGCTTTTTTCCGAGAGTTTTTTGTGCTTTCTCCCCCAGCAGGTCTCCGTAGATCGTAGTTCCTTCTGGACCCTGGTCCTGACACCTGCCGTGGCCCTGCTGACACCTGCTGCTGCCATCATCACCATTGTTATTTTAATAATCCTATTATTTTTCTGAGGCAAATTTGTAATTTGCGATTTTGGGCTGTACACAATGAATTGAATTGAATGTGTGGTTTGCTGGTGAGAAATTGCCAGCAGTTTTCATTGATAAAAGGCGGCGAAACCACTTAAAAGATGTGAAGATGCTGATTGCTTCAAGAGAACAATGGGATTGTTTAGATGGGTTTTTAGTTGTAGACAACAACATTTTCAGTAGGATCGTTACATGCATACATGAAATTTAAAACTATTTATTATTTCAAGACTATACAAATGGTCAAAAATGATAAAAGTAAAAGGTGCCAAATGTAATTAAGTATAATATTATGAGAGAACTAATTAAGGCCTTTACCTGTGACCCATGAACAATTATCAATCCTCATCTTTTTTATTGATTTTTTTATTGGTTTATTTGGTAGGATTTGGCAATGTTCCCATAAGTGCACCGGATTTTGGCCAAGAAGCATTTTTTTTTCATGAGCAAGATGAGCACATTTCCTAAATTGTTGAACTATTCCCTTAAAACTTCATGGGCACTAAAAACACAATGACGGATCCAATAAATACTGTGCACAGAGAAGGCTTATCTGTTGTCAGACCGATAGCCGATGGCTGCTTAGAATGTTTTATAAGCAATATATTAGCTTTAATCCTCTAACAAGGCTCGCTTAATGAGCATTAATCTAGCAGAGAAAGTAAATCACAATTAACAGCCACCATCAGTGTACCTACAGATAATGCTACAACAAGGTTATTTGGACACCGGATAAAAGATGTCTCTCAACATCTACTTGCTTACAGATCCGAACAAAGTTTCTGCCAGCTGCAGTTGCTACGACAACAGAATACTCCGCTGGAAACAGCTGTTATAGATGCAAAGACCTCACAGAATCTTCAGGTCAGGAAATAAAAAACCCACCTTCTTAGTGACAATAATGTCAGAAATCTGAATGGAGCCGTGGGTTTCTTTGCATTTCAATGAGTTTGCACAGCAGGAGTTCACCACCAGCATCCAGTGTGTCCAAAACTAATTCCCAAACTCAGCAGTTAGACCATAGATGAGTTGATTAAATGAGATGCCATGACGATCGGGTTCTGCTGACGTGTTGGGGCTCTTTGGAAGTATATGTTTGTTTCCTGCTTTTTTCCATTGCGCTCTAATGGGTAGCTTGGATCACCTGGTCATGTAGAGATTGAGGGATAAATGTCCTTAATTTGGCTTTGAGTTTCCTTGAGGCTCCAAGTCAATGATTACCACAATAATTACAAACCAAATGGTCCACTTGTGCAGCCGTGACAGCAAAGTTTGTCCAGGGAATCTGAACAGTTTGGATGGATCAACACGTCCCGGTGTGTTGCTGTTTGACTGCTATGACATTAGTCAAAAGGGTTAACTGTCCCGCTGGAAGGTGAGGAAAATGATCGGGTAAAGTTTAATATTGAATGCAAAGTCTCAAGGATGACCTGTCCTCACCGGGTCTGATGACTCACGATGACCATAATTATGTTTACTCTACAGGGATGTTTTATCAGGTCCTCCAAGGTCATATTTACCGCGGTTGTATGAGGGGAATCTATATCTTCAAGGCGTTATTGGATATGATTACATTTAATTACTTTGATGACTTAGCAACCCAAACAAATGAATAACCGTTTAATAAGATTTCTGCTGTGAATCATTTCAAAAAGCAGAGAAAGCGTCATCACATGTCCAACTCTCTGCCAGTTCAACTGTTTACATCTGATTCTCTTTGTTATGCTGAGCGAGATAGCTTACGGATGTTATCTACAAATCTACCAGACCCCAGAATAAACACGTCCAAACTCTCTCTAAACTTTCCATTTATAAAAAGGCTGCCGGCGGAGTGTCAACAACAACTCGTCCACGTTGGACTTATTCTCCGAGATGTTGGGAATCCCCACATATGATGGTTAGTTCATAAATAACTGTAAACTGCTCCATCGGGAAGAACCTGCTGAACACTGACGGAGAGGTGATCCATATTGATGATCGAGTCTGTTAGAAAGAAGTCTATAGGAGCTCAGCAAGCCGACTGTTATTATTAGACTCTCTGCTAAAAACCAAATGTGTACCTCCTAAAACATGGTGCAGTTCCTCTGACCCAAACAGTTTGAGAAAGAGACAAAAACGTTGGAAACATTAGCTTAAATCATCATAAACGTGTAAATTGTGCCTATAAAGAGTCAGTTTTGTCAGTTATTTAATATTTCGGTGTGAACAATAACTTTATCTTACAAGCCACCGGATGTGTCTGTACGTGTCCACGGAGATCATGTGTGACTATAGGTTGTTATTTTATAACAAAAAGGTCAGCAAACCGTAATCTCAGGCCGTAAATCACGGGCTCAAGCCAGATGTTAGACCGAAACAGAAGCACATTGTTTTAAGGGAAATTGTCGAGAGGTACGTACTTATATATATTGTGGCGAATCTATTGTGGCAGGTAATTGCGTTTGTGGTGTTTCAT